CGTAAACAATTTTCTTTAACTAATATTAATATGTGTATACAAATGCAAAACTTATTCTTTAATTTGATCTTACCTACTGTAAAAAGGCTAATAGTAATAGTAGTTAAAGCTTAAATAAATAATATTAAAAAACTTTAAAATTAAATAAGATAAAATTAGTAAAATAGTTACCATTTTTTACCACGATAATTACGCTTTTTACGAGGTCACTTTGAGTGAAGTTTCATGATCCTGAGACGATAAAGAAAATAAGACGTTCCTATATATTATTGTTAATAAAAATATTTGTGTTATTACTTATTACTTATTAATTGTGTTGATAATACTTTGTAAAATATACTAGGAGGCATTCACTGGCTGTTAATATTGAACATAAGTGCAACGAGATTTATATGGTGTATCAGGTGATCCATTTAAGTTTAAAAGTTAATTAATGTTTTAAATTTTTTTGGAATTTGTTTTCTAGGACATTTAAGAAACCCAATCACCTTATACCTTTTGGAAAAAAAAGGTTAATTGTGGCACAATTTTTGGGCGCCCGATAAACTATATTTCTTTTCGCCATCATAGAGCCTACAATGTACACAAATAAAATACAAATTCGGTACATTGATTGGTATACAATAACGTACAATTTATTTTGACAATGTCGTCCGACGAAATACTCAGCGTCAAAATGTTTTCGAATAATTATTCGTATTTTTATTTATAGCACGTTTATAACTCTTGAAACAAGTTTAAAACCGTATTAATGCGCTCACTATATTATTACGTTATGAAAGTTATACGCATGTACTGTATTAAAAAAAAAAAATATTATAATAGAATGTAAATATGAGTAGATAGTACTTACACTGATATTTCAAGTTTCGTTTTTATGAATTTTCGATGATCGAATAAAACGTCTTTTAAAGTAGCTCAGATTTAAATAATAATCAAAAAAAAAAAAAACAAAAATGTGTAACCTTTCATAAAACAAATTAACGATCGGAATATTTGTTCCGTTCATCGACTTCAAAGGTTGGTTTTGTTAGCACATTTTGTCTAGGGGGGGCGGAAAGGTTGGTGTTTTTTTACTAATGTGGGAAATCCAAGAAACAACGTTGGGAAACGGGAATATTTACGCCGCAACTCGTTTTTTTTACAGTCAATTATGTTGGTTTTTTTTTTTTATGTTATAATTTATAATTAAAATCACTAAAAAAGCTCTGGAAAGGAACAATTGACAGTTGTAAAATTGTATACAAACGTTTATAGTATACCTTACCTATATTATATTAGTACGGTTTTTTTTTCTCAACTTAACACAATAATTACTATCAACAATCGCTAACAAGGTGTGTAGGGCTTTCACGATGGATATTCAAAAGATTCAATTGTGATGTAACGGAGGTAATTAATATTTTTAAACGTTGTCATTAAAATAAAAAAAAAAAATAATAATAATAATAACATCAATAGCATAAATATTACAAATCAATATATATATATATATATTTTTTTTACAATCCTCATACCATTAGTCGATTAACAGCAGACAATTGTGTATATAACCCGTATGGAAAACAAATAACAAACAAAAACAATAACTATAGCCCGATATTTAATTTTTGTAGTAAATATTTGTGGACGTCTTGTTCGTCGGCGCTTACGCAAATGTCATTATGCGAGTATACGCACTTATTATCAGTTTATCATACGGGTAGTGTATACATTCAAGCCTAAAAGTGACATACAATCGAGCCAGTATTTTTCTCCATCAATCCGTTATTTCCCTGTCACTGGCATGTCTAAAATAAACTCAGAACGGATCATTGATATAGTTTATACATATGTATATTATAGGCGTAGATGAACGGCGATTTTTGCGATGGCCCCCGGGGGTTTTCAAATACTACAAAAAGTAATAATTTTAAATATATAGGACGCGGGTACATCTAGCATTTTAAGAGGATGTCATATACCCACGTGTGTCTTCACCGTCTCACTTCTTTGTGACAGTTGTGATTTGTGACGTTTAAATTATAGTCTAAATTTAATCATATCAAATAATAAATTGTAAAGGATTGAAAAAAAATGAATACAAAAAATAACACGGCTTTAACTTTTTATACGTCAATTTTGTTAGAGATAATCTACTTACGTATCTTGGATATTATCTTCTTTGTATTTCGTAATTAACAGTTGATACGAATAAATACATATAAATTGGAGTTGAATTTTAAACAAAATGTCACGATCTACGATAGGTGAAAAATCGTTACGGATAGACAAACAGACGGATCCGGTCTAGTCCGGGACGTGACGGATATTATTTTAATGTATCCCAAAGTAAAAGATAACACAAAATCGAGTTTAATTATAATATTGATAATAAAAATAAAAACAATAATAATGATAATAATGATAATAATAATAATAATAATAATGATAATAATAATAATAATATAATAATATGTTGAACATATATATGTTGTACAGTGGCGTGCGCAGATGGACAGATGTTAGGGGCCATACTCCCCTCACCATGAGGTATTTTTAATACAACACTATGCGTAATATAAGTATTTATTCGGTACCTTATTATCAAACAATTATTCATTCGGCCTAATCGAATGGAAAAACTCGATTTATCGATTTTAAATCGGTTTGCTGTCGATCCGCGGAATTTGAAATGCACACTGTTAATAAGTCGGGTACCCACAGAAGAAGAATCGTGTATGATTTATTTACGCTTCGTGTTGGCAATTGAATCATCTCTCCCTTTTGAAATTTCCGGACACGCCAATGATTGTATACGCGTTTATTACCTGATAATAACTGCGACTCGACGCGGCCGCTTGATCCGCCGACCCGAGTAAGTTCCGTTTTGGCGGGCTAGCCATTCCCGATTTTACAACAAAATACACGTATTTGGGCGCGTGTGAAACCAAACCACGGACACGTGATCGGTTTCTACATATAATCACAGACGTTTCTACAACACTTTCCATCCGACGACCTTTTGCCATATTTTCCAATTCGTTTGTTTTCCCGTCGGGTAATCGACTCTTTGATAAACGGCCACGGTGGTCCGTTTACGTCATGTCCTTCATCATCGCGATGATAACCGCCATGTCGTTCATCTTTTTGCGATTAGCATTCGATAAGCTGATATTACAACAATTTCCTAATAATGCAACGGAGAAGTATAACAACATTATACAACATTATAAAATTGTACAAATTGTTTACTAACAATCAAACTGAATGTTGATCTTTAATGAAGTTCCCGAACGTATTTTTTTTTTCGAATAAGATTTATAATACAAAAATTGTTTATAAACGCGCACAAAAATAATATATATATATATAATTAAAATAAACACGCAAATCAATTAAATTTGAAATTAAAAAAATCCGATCGACCGAGCTATGGCCTAAATCAATCGAAAATGGTTTTCGAACAAAATAAGATTGAAAAGACATTTATTTTCGATCGATTAAAAAATCCGTATTCTCAAACAGTTTTTGATCGAATTGTTGGTCGTATATTTCAATCATTCATTTCAACTGATATTTGTTGTCGAAAAGCTTATTTTCGGTCGTTTTATCAAATTATTTACTCCGCTATGCGTTCATCTCGTGATATTAATTTTCTTACGAAAATTTAGATTTAAGAATTTCTATCGGTTTCTAATATTTGTTTAATATAATTTTATTTTAACGAATGTAAAAATGGATTAGGATAATGCAATATTTTTTATTGACATTTTAATGTAATTGATGAATATCGTTCATCGAGCTTCCAAGATATAATATGTTGCAAGAAATTTTATTTGATGGTAAGAGATAACTAAATAATAATTACTAATTATAGTTAAATTATAAAGGGTTTTATTTCTTCTTTAAATATAGTCTTATAACTTCAATTTTATCTGAAAGTCAAATAATTATGGGGACGTATTGATTGATCAAATTTCTCGTCAATGAATTGACCGATACAATAATGCCTTTTATGAAAGCTTCTAACGCATTAACTATACAAAGAAAAGTTGGTTAAAAAGATATTATTTAACTATATTTTTATAGTTAAGAGATTTCTTATGTCAGGTATATATCTGTTAGATAAATAGCTATTTATTTGTAGAAAATTTAATTATATATATTATAGTAGGTGGGTACGTGATTTGTACCTACCTAGGTACTAATTATTTGTAAAAATTATGTATTCAAATTTCAATAAAGGTATAATTTAATAACCAATAATACTAAATGTTGTTGTAATATGTAACATTGATTTTAAAACAGACGATTATTCTATAATCAAAATCAATGCATGTAAATTGTAATTATTAACTTTAAATAGTCATAACACAAACAATTTATTGTTATCGGCCGTATATTCCGTTTTTTCATGGAATAAAAACTTTTTTTTTAGTGATAAGTGATTCGACAATCGAAAATAAAATTTACAATTTCCAATATTCGATCACTGTCTAAGAAAACACTCGATCGAAAACTAGTAATCGAATAAACTTTTTTGATCGAAAATCAAGGATCTAAAAGAGATATTAAATCGATCTTTTCGATTGATTTAAAAATATGCCCCCGGAGTCTAAAAAATAATCCTAAATGCTTGAAATTCCCTTTAATTATTATAATATGCAAGGCTGGGCATTAACGAGTTAAAGAGCCAAAAATTATTATTTTTAACTAAACTAATTTTTTTACATTATCTTAGAGACGAATGAACTTTAACCACTTTAAATTAATAAATTGTTTTAATTCTTAGTTTTAACACGATATATTTATACTGACGTGTAATAATGTATAATATATATTTAATAATTTCAAATTTACGTGGAGTTTTGATTATTAATTTTAAATAAAATAAACAATATTTGTCATTTATTAATTATTATCCACGGAATAAATTTAGACAATATGATACCGTGTGTCCGGGTATATAATACCACTTAATGTTTAATCGTTTTCACTGTGAAAACAATTAAAACAATTAAAAATTTTCAAAAAAAAAAGGTACTCAAGTTACTACAGTTAATTATTTTCAAACTAACTTTTAACTTTACTCAGTTAATTTTAAGAATAATTAATATTTAACGTGTTATCTTTTTTGAATCACTTAAAAAAGTTATTATTATTATTTATCACCCAGCGTTGCTTATATTTTTATATTTGCTTTTTCTAGACGTGTTATGGGTTCCGAAATATTTGTTTGTGTTTTTGAATTATTTATAAGCTAATATATAAAACATTTTGAAATATGTTTCCGGCTCCGTATGAATACCAAACGACATTGTTTACATATCTCGGTGATTATTTTATTTTTTAATATCTCACACGTTTTATCAGTCGCACACGTCGTCGTATTGAGTTCGAAAAATAAAAAATAGTTAGAATGATGATCATATCTCTCGGTGTTTATTTAATCCGGTATTTTGATCGATGGTCTTGCAACATCGCCTACGACGCCGTCGTCGCTTTTTTCAAAACACGGCTTGCCTGTGTACCGCGGGTGTTCAAAAGGCGAGTAAAAGGATCTTATATCGTATTACCTTTAAAGCAGCTTGCATTACTGTTCCCTAAAATGAACATCATCCGACGAGTTTTTCCCGACGAAGACGACATACGTTCGTATATGATTATTATGTAGCAACTCCGATGCGTCTTTTCGTCGCTCCAACGAAATTCTACAATAATAACAATATTATACGTATGTGCTTTGCGTGTTCACAGAAATAAACGAAATTCAATTTCACTCGGTTCTACGGCGTTTGGATCCCGGCGAACGGTTTTTTTTTCTTCCGTTTATTTATGACTTTTTCTCGGCAAGAATTTCGCATAGATGTCTATAGTATTATGCGACACACATTTACCCTGCCGGCGGGAGGGGGATTGGATTCGAGAACGCACTGGTTTTTCTGTAATAGTATGGCGGGTGCGTGCCTGTACGTTTTTTTTTTCTACCGGTGAAAGACTATTGCTGTCAACCAGCAAATCTTTGATCGAAAAATGAAAAAGGACCAAAGGACCTTTTTTAGTTGCGTTTTGGTTATAACATTGATATTTAGGAGGTCATTTGTTTTTTTTTTTTTTAATTTTTCAACATTTTTTTTATTGTAAATCGGTTAAAAAAACCGTGGGCTAATATTTTCACAGTATTATTATATTAGAGTAGCCTCTCTTAGACGTAGTAATATTTTTCAAACGATTTTGGCGATTTTAAAGTTATTTACATGTAGGTTTTTGACATTTTCAATTTTTTTTTTATATATATATTTATATATTGTAGTTACGTATATTTGGATACTATTTGTTTTGTTTGTTAATATATTTGTTCGTGTTTATTATACATGTAAGGTCATGTTTATTTTTGTCATATTTCTGGGTAATAAGATCAAAAAAAAATAAAATGGCGGGTACATATTAATTTCAAATTTTTTAATTTTACATGATATACTATCGCAAAAACCATTCGTTATCCATATACTGGTCTGAAAGTAGTTTTTATATTTCACTTCTATTACGAGATCGTTTTTATTATGCTCGTCTTTTTGTACATTCGTGGATCATGTAAAAATACTTTTTTTTTTCTGAATTTATAGGTTATTTGATAATAGTATATGTAATTTCGCTCTAAATTATTCGAGCAGGTAAAAATCCACTTATTTTTGTTTTTTTTTCCCCCCGGTATTTGTGTTCACTGAATAACAGCGTGAGTATTTGATGTTATTTTTATTTCTCGCTTAAATGTTGGATGCGGGTGGCCTGTGCTGCAACAATGAATATTATAATATTATATTACGTTTAAATAACGTGTTACTATAGGTTAAATGTTTTTTTTATTTTTTTTTTTAAAATTGATGAAAATTTTACCATTTATTATTGTGCATACCTAATGAAAAAAAAAGTAAAAGACTTGTTTAATTCAATCCACAGCGGGTACCTTAACGACGGTTATAACGATGGGAAACCGTTTCGAAAAGGAACGTCCAACAATGACAATGTTATAAAATAAAAAATGAAATAATAATTAAACAGGATCTGTTATAAATCATATTTACGGTGTATAAATGTCAACCGATCTCGTTAGAGAGAACGCGGTCACTGGAAAGATTTTCGTAAAAATACGTACTCGGTAACCGGCTATAGCGGTGGAGTTTTTTTTTATTATAAGTTAAAAATCTAACGTCGTAGGTAATAAAAATAATTTGTTTCTGCAAACAGCTCAAGGAGTCTCTATAACATCTTGATGACGGATTTTCAAACTTAAATATCTTACATTTTGTATAGAACTCGGTTCAACAGACTTTGACCTGCCAGTCAACCGAGATTCTCCTTAAACTTTTTCTTATTACCAATTTTAATGCGCTCAGTAAATACGAATTTGCGTGTACTGTGTATTGTTTTATAATAAAATTCAATCTAATTCGATCAGCCTTTTCTCCAAATTTATAACTTAGAAATCCAAATTTGAACTTAATTATTTATATAAAAAAAAAAATGGCTCGTCCATCAATCAAATGCTGGTTATCTTGATTTCCGACAAAATTGGCAAATACGAAATAATAAAAAAGTATTATTTCATACGTATTTCTTCAGTTTTTTTAATATGAGAATAGTCTTCGAATTGTATAGATTCTATCTACTCTGCCGACTGTAGGAAAATATTATAAATGTCCTAATCATCAATGTCATACATTGATTATTTCGAAAAGTATTTTTTTATTTTTCGGTATTTATTTTAAAATATTTTAAGAAATAAACATGTCTAAAATATAACATTACTCTTATTTTTTTGTCACATTTATGTTCAAAGTTTTTCATCTATCCATTTATGAATTTCAAATTGCAACCTATATTAAACCTTAAGTAAATAAATGAAGTTTTAGTTTGTTATTTTTTTTTAATTTCCGTCAATCCGTTAACTACGTATTTTATGTTTTCATTTGCCGTTTTGTTGATAGACGGAGAACAGCGGAACACTACTAACGCGTCACTCCACGGTTTCTATCTAAAAACGAGTAGCATTTCCATCCCACAAAATTAAGTGTGACAAAAATAACGGTAATGTAACATTTAAATCTGTTTCTTAAGTTTTTTAAAAAGCAAAATAACTAAAAAGTTAATAATTTCATTCCAAGACAATGATAGTGTTGTCAACAATATACTGATAGCCTTGCATACGCTTTTATACCGAAAATATAATAAAATAAGCGTTTGCCAATCAAAACCGAAATCTTTTCCGCGAAGAGTTTTTTCACTCATCCTGCATCAAAATCATTGCTGTTAATGCACGAAAACCCTCCTACCGTCCCTACCGGGACATAATGTCGTGTTAATTGAATGTTTTTTTTATTTCTTTAGTTTTTCTAAAGTATAATATTATAATATTTTTGTTTTTCGCCTCCATATAGCCTCAAAAACGCGTCTTCGAAACCGTGGGAATCGAAAAACGACACGCAGGATCGAAACGAACGGGCAAAAAAAGCGTATGGGGCCCTGCTCACGGTTACGGCACGTACGCCCAACAACGACGCGTATCACAACTTTTCATACGAGGTAAGTAGAGAGGAACGAAAATTGTTTTTTTTTTTTTATACAGGTTATTATTTTCCGGGGTTTTTTCGTTCGTTTGTTTAGTGTTGTTTTACTTTTTAAAAACCTTTATTTTAATCGTTGCATAAATATTTCGGTCCACGTGACCATAAATCGATCAGTGGAAACCTCGTCGTGTAAAACAACATTTTCAGCGGACCGACGCGTGTTATATTATTATAACAGTGTAGGACTTCCTGCGGTAAGGGTGTTTTCCAACATTCCCTTAATCTGTCTCTCTACTTGTGTAAATGACTTATTCGACGACCCGAAATGACTGTCTCGTATATTATTTTATTGTATTTCCGTCCAAAAATATCACATACTTGTACATTATAAATGTTTTCATAACGAGTTTAATACATACACTGTTGCAGATTTCAAATTTTCTGATAGTCAGGTTTTTTAAATAAACTTAAATGCATAAATCATAAAAAATTTTTTATTAAACCACGATAAATTTAAAATAACTTAAAAAGAATTTACCGTACCAAATTCCAGTATGATAAAGAAGCAGGAGTCCACAAAAAAAATAAATTCTTGAAAATCGCTGTCCCCTTTCTCACCCTCCCCCCCACGACAATTCAAGCAATGATTTCACAAAAATTTTACCATCACTATTTATTACACCGAAAAGGATCTACCTTATAAATATATTGTAAACATATTTCCGAAGTATGAACTCATGATAATTTAATATTGATAAATTTCCACCAAAGCAATTTATATACTTGCACTGTATAGAAAAACCACAACCCTTTCCTTACACACAGTGTCTGGTCAAAATAGAACATCGGTTTCGTTCATTGATGCGAGTATAACCCGATTTGTGTATGTTTACTGTTTGGGTTTTATGCAATAAATTTATATTTATAGTTTTTATATTCACTTAAAATATGATTTTTAATTTAGTGATAAAAATAATTAAATTGTTTGTTTCTGTTATTTTTTTTTTTTTGTATTCAAAAAATGTGACATTTTTTATTATTAAGATATCAATTGCGATAAAGGAAACTCGTTTTTCGGATTAAATAGCTCACGAGCGATACATATGTGTACGTTACTAACCTAACTAGAGTGGATATTTATATGCATTTGCATATTATAAAAAAATGGGTACATAAAATAATTATTACACAAATATTTAGTTTACAATTAAATGTGTTTAATGGCCATTTATATAGGTACAGAAGGTTTTAATTTGAATATTTTGGATTTTTAGAACAAATTTTGATGATTTCGTATATTTGTGTAGCATATTTTAAGAAATTGATTTCATATATTTTTAGAAAACACTAAACTCAGCTAAACTAGAATCACAATATATACAAAGACGAACGTACTTTACATGATGGGAGAGTTACTGTTGTAAGGTAGGATATAAAGAGGAATTCGATGCATATCTTTATGCAGCAATTAATTATTGCTAATACTAAACGATTCTGAGCAGAGTGTGGTTACACGTGTTTAAAAGGCAAAATTTGATATTAATATTTTTACACATTTTCTTTCAGAAAAGGTGTAACAGTTGAAAATCAGAAAAAGTTTTTTCGTCGAAATTTTGAACACAGTAAAAAGAAAATTTTACAAAAATTAAACATCATAGTAAAACCAATATATTCCTTGCTTTACCCAGAATCTAAAACAACGGTTATCATGTTATTGTGAAAATTTCAATATTTTTGTCTGATGAAGTACCTACAAAAAAAGGTCTTCTAGAAGATTTCACAATCCAATACTCGGTATATTATAAATGTATAATATAATTTATTATTTGGTAGTTTTATCTCATATATGATTTTAACTGATATCAGGAGAATATGTTATATTATGGCTATTATGTTATAAATAGGAAAATATATGAAGTAAAATATAGTCATATTAGATACAAAGTTAAATTTATTATGTGTCCCCTTTATTAGTTAATATAATTTTTTCACTTTTTATTCACTTATAATTTGTATCTATTCAGTTTTCTTTTTTGTTTGCAACTTTGATTTTTTTTTTTTTTTGTTCACGGGTAGATTTTTATAATAGCATTTTTTTTTGTTTTCTTTAATTAAATTAACGTGCTTCGTATACCTATTCTCATATCAACGAATGGATTTTCGGAAAATGAATAGTTTTTTTTTTTCGTAAGACGTGTCAGAACGTATCTTACTTGTATCATCATACGGCTATTATTATTACGGATGGAAAATAAACTGAAATAAATTTATCTGTTAACTGTTCCACTGTTTTAGGTGGTAAATTGATTATTCAGGATACTTTAGAGTTATTTAATTTATATCTATACGCAACGATAAATTATTAGTCCCGAAATATATTTCTGGGCAAAGTTTGGCTGTATATATTTTCAAATGAGTATCGTCAAAATTTGAATCTAAAACGTTTAGATTACTAAGTTAAACTTATAATGAATGTCAAATTATGTGTTCAAGTAATTGTATTTAATCAAACTGTTTTATCCACAAAATACCTACACAATAAAAACTACGTAAAAGAATTTGTAAATATAAATTGCTTATAGACACCTCAAAAATGTTTTAAAAATATAACCACGTCTAAAAAAAGTGAATTTTAGTATTTTGTAAAAATGTCAATGTCTTACGAATATTTTTAACTGAATAAAAACACAAAAAAAAAAAATCTTAAATACTGAAACCATTATTATCGTAAACATTCCGGTTTTTCCTAAGTTTTTTTTACAGTTTGAAATGATGAAAAAATGGCTTCTTCGAATTGATTAAAAGCTTAATAAAAAAAAAAAAATCTCTTTTTTAATTTGTTGGTTGAAGCAAGATGTCTGGTTGAAAATTTGTTTTAAGATGCAAAATATCGAACAAATAAAAAATAAAATATCTCGTCACGTCATTGTATACCTAATGCGTTAATCGCTGCGCCTTCAATCTAAATGTATATTATTTACATTACAACGGATCACACGACCAATATAGGGGCCGATCGGTGTGATTTGCATTTACGGAAGATTTATATTTTCATTAATAGATAGGGTACAAAACGTGTCATGTTATCCTTATAAGCTGGCTGAGCTAAAATTATAATATTATTTATTTTTTTTCAAACCCTGTCAAAATACGAAACGATGAATAATTTATAACACTTTAGGGAATAATGGTTATGAAAAAAAAACCCGTAGATACACACACATAAACACGCATATACGTGAAACACAACAAATTATCATAATTTACAAGTGCGTGAATATACTGCAGGGTTGGCCGTAATAATAATAATAATATATCAACAGTGTTTTCGTTACGAATTAATTCGCACATAATTATATTATTTGGACGCATTCATATACATACTCGTGCACAAACACAAATCCGCGAGATTTTTTCATACACGCGTTCGCGTTGTATATAATGGTATGGAACAAAATAAAAATAAAAAACTTCTTTGTTACTTCACTGCCCATGTTTTTGTACTCTTAATGGCCGCGTTTCAAACACATGTTTATTTACACACGTACAAATATTAGCCCAGCTCGTTTTTGAGCATATTTTTCAATCTCCGTAAATATGCATTTTATCACGATCGAATGACTGTGTACTTTTTTTGGATTTTTCCCGTAAATTGAAACTATTTCACCGTATTGTTTGTCTGTTATGATTAAAACGTATATACCATTTATTATATATAATATGTACCTCTTTTCACTACTTTTATAGACGTTTAGGTTTTTAATTTCTGGACTAAAATAATGAGCTCAAACCCAGGAATTTTCTTTTTTTGATGGATTTAAGTGAAACGATTTCGGATAAATTTCAATATTAATTTCAACAGGTTATTTTGAAGAAGCGTGTTTTTTTAGCAGTGTATCTACACTCCTAATATTTGCCCGGTAAAAATATCAGAATGTGTCTTTCAAAAGTTTCCTCTCTCAGCCCTTACTCCCGACGTCTGTTTGTATAGAAGTAGAAATCCAGAGACCTACTTTACTTATTTTGACGTTACTTTTTCTTATTCAATTCTATACTACTGCCGAAACGTTATAGCATACTTTTTCACCTGAAATGTCAATGTATTTAGAAACTGAAACGAAATTGTAAAAAATGTCTATAAATACATGATTAAACTCTGGTAACCTTACTAATTTTAAATCAATTCTAAAACAATTAAAATATTTTTATGCCATGTCGACTTGGAGAAAATTCGACTTTGGTGATGCTGCAATTCTCCCATTCACGGGCGTTTTTATAATTCATGTATAAAATATTAAACAACGCATTTAAAATATACACTTATTTGGTTTCATTTTTCTACACTTTTATAACTTTTTTATTAATTTTCCTAAGAAAATGTATTTATTATATAGACGAAATTGTTTAGTTTTAAATAACATTATTGAGAATATTTTCTCGAGACGACGTTTTATGATTTTTATTCTTTATTCCTTCAACCAACTCAACAAGTGCGTAATGAAATTTTCACTTAAGTTTTTTTTTTTTTAAATTTGGGTCTTTTATTAAAATAAAATAAGCATTTTAAATGGCTTTAGGACGTTATTCTAGATTCGGGCTCTAAAATAGTTATCATTAGCAGACAAATCTGAGATTGAAATTGAAATTGAAAGAAAATATATTTATTTTGAGCTGGGAATTTCGCATTAAAAATACCTTTACAATTATAGTGTTTACGGGTACAAAAAATAAAATAGTTTTAATGTAAATGCATTTGGTATCATATCGTATAACAACATAAGCCGGAACACGAAAATTAAATCGGATAACAAATGTGATGCAATTTCATTAAAACATTAAAAATATAAAAACAGGGCTTACGAAGACATGATGATACTCGACGTATTTCGCAAGGTGAGTCGAGCCAAAATAATGAAACATATTTCTACAAAAATACTGCACCTTAATTTTTTTAGGTTATTTTACTTTATTACTTTTTAGTTTTCTTTTTTTTTTGTTTTGAGACTTTCAAATTGTATGCAACTAATTCCACTGAGAAGTTCTCATTTTTTTCAAAATAAAATCGTGCGACGTGTGTGACGTCCGAATAGTTTTCTACTACAAAAAAAGAACATCTCCTTTACTGTAGATTGATAAAAATTAAAAAACTCCACTACGAAATTTATTTAAACTTGAACTTTATCTATTTATCTATTTATAGATATTTTAAAAAAAGGTTTCCATTCAAAAATCCAAATGCGGCAAGTATTTTATGTCGTTTTCAAATATAAGCTCGAAAAAATAATGGTGATATAACAGTTTTTAGAATGTACGTTTTAATAAAAATGTTCACATATTGACTGTTTTTTTTTTTTTATATAAGATTATCTTTGGTAAAATGGATTGTTATATATAATTCAGTAGTGAATGCGGTCTGTGTTGTGCACTCGTCGGGTTGCATAAACGATCCATAAAAATGGCTCGATAACTTACCATAATTTTTTGATTAAAACCATTAGATAAATCACTGTATTATTCTCATAAATAATCATAATATACTGTTTAATATATTCTTCATCACAAATTGATCGCGGTTGTGGTTCTACATAATATTATATTAATTAAATACAAGTTAACATAATAGAAGTCGCGTATAATGTATTACAGCAATTATTACGATTATAAATAAACGATAAAACTATACGATGTACTCGTGTGTCGTTCTAATCCAAATCCAATGTGATTTTACAATTATTTTAACCACCACTGATGATGATGATTACCATGTATTTAAATTATTTTAATAATATTTCCTTTAATTAACGCGCAAAATATTAATGTATTAATTACTGTGAAAATGTATTGTGTTATCAGTTCAATAAAGTTACGGAACTGTTATAATATTTATCGAGAATTTAAATTATCAATCCAATAAGAGGTTGAATATATAAGATTAAATAGTCGGATAAACGAGAGAGTTTAGGCAAAAACATTTTTTTCCCCTTTGTCACTTAGATAAATATTATTTACTTCCGAAAAAAAACTGGGTTTTTTCAAAAATGATATTTTGAGGAAATTTTAGTTATCCGAAAAATTCAGAATATGTCCAGAACATTTTCCATCGGCTTTTTTTTAAGAAATTTTGATCTTTAGTGACAACTTATCGTTTTAGATGAATAATTTGATTTTCTAAAATATTAGCGTTATTATAATAATTATGTACACTAATAAGTACGTTTTTGTTTTTATTATAAAATATAAGGCTTCTGGAATTTAAGAAACGAACGACCCAAAAATATAATAAAAATACAATGGCCACGTAAATAAACTTTATACGCGGACTTAGTGAATTATCGTGTCTTACAAGCAACGCACAAATTCTGAGCCCACGTTTTTTGAATTTATTATTGCGAACATTATCATTATTTTTATTATTATTTTTTGTGCGTAATATTTCCGACTGTATTTTTTTTTATTTTTCATTTTATAACGTGACTCGTTCAAACGCTACTATACATATATTGCCGTGTGATAGTAATCTTTTGTATATTTTGTATTCAAATAATATAATATAATATCGCCATTGTATTGTACGCTTACTCCCGCGTCCGTTTTAAGTATATTTTTCCGCCCCCTTTTCTTAAACAATTCGTAAAACCCGCGAAAGCTGATTAACATCGTGAGGTTTTATAGCGTTTTATTATACTTATATTTTATTCCAACCTAAAGTAACGTCTATTACGACTCGACGAAAATCATGGGGTTTTTTTTTTTTCATATTTTCGCCCATTGATGTCACACTGCGTTGAAACTGAAAAATAACACGCGATCCTCACTTATGGAAACTTACTCGCTTACTAACTTATACTTATTAAGTGTTAAAAATAACAACCAAATAAAATAATTAAAAACACACAATGACGGAACACGACGTCTTAGGGTCTGTTATCTCGCAAATACTGGGCAATTAAAAATTTAAATGCTTTTTATTTTTATTCACTTAGTTAATGGATAAAAAAAAAATATAGCATTAAATATTTGCATAAAAAAACTGAAAATAATTCCGTCAATGTTAATAAAATATTCTTGTAAGAGTACAGGGTTTTAGTGTTTATTTTTTTTCATTCTCGTTCGTTTTAAAAATTTAACTTACGTCAATACAATTATTGTTTTTATCGAAACTTTTTTTAAATTAGATTGCCAGTATAGTGAGACAATAAGATGTGTGTTTTTATTTCCGGGAAAACGTCTTTTTAAATTAGGACTAATGATCCGATTTCTCCATCTAATACCGTAACAAACGTGTGGTGTTCGCGAGATAGTACATTATTTAAAACATTGTTTGAAATTCTCTACTCTTTTTCTAGAATTTAAATGAACTGATAACTAGTGATGATAATATACCAGTTTTAGTTTTGTTAATTCTTAGTTACTTTAGCTACAAGGGGAAAAACCCGGCTAATACTGAATCCTTAATACTGAACAGTTTTTCCAAGATTCGTTTAGAAACGTTATTATTTACAACAAATTAAAGTTGCTTCAGTATAATATATAAACTAAATCACTCTTTATTTTATTTATCTCTGTGGGGAGATACACAGCAGTGACCGAAGTATATCCCGCTTATATACATATTTTATTGGTTGAATTAGTGTTTTTTTTTTTTTTTTTTACCTGTCTCTGAATTTTTGTATTAGATTATGAGCCTAACCTTTTTGTGTTTTGGATTTGTGTTTTTTTCCTACCTATTAACAATATATCTACCAAAAGCATTACACCGATTTTAGTATCGATCAAGTATTTTTTATGAAAGTAATTTATGACAGCAAATCATGTACCTTGTTAATATATGCATTATGAGGAGGACATTTTATGATATTTCAGGCAGTTTTCTAAACAATTGAAAAAATACACAGGAAGGGTAGGAAATTTTACGGCAGTAACAGTTTCCGTTATTACTTATTTTTAATTCGGTTCAAAATAATCATATCTAATTTTCCAATATAGTTGTATAATTTCAAAAATATTACGACTATAGTCATTATAGTAATAATAGTAATTTTGAATTGTTTGATTATTCTAGAATTAACTTATGCAAGTATATAGGTAAATTTAAATACCCAGAAATTAAGCGTAATTTCACTGGAAGAATCACACCACAGTGACCTACCATCGGCGGTATAAAAATATAAGATCTATTGTTTTTTTTTTTTTTTTTGGTTTTTTAGTTATTTCCGGTGTTTTTCTTCCTGCATTCAATACATAATATATATAAACGAAAATGGAATTATTAATGGAGGGCACGTTACAACGAATCCCAAAACCACCGTGCACTTAAGTTTATTAGAGTACATATACTGTATTGTATTATACATAGGACTCCCTTACAAGGATAATATCTACCCAAGAGTACTGTAAACACTCCGCCACTTAAAAACAACAGACCCTCGAGGGACGGTCTGTACAACATCGTGTATCGGCATGCAGACATTATTATTATAATATAATATGATATTATAGAACAGACGCTTTTCCACGATAATTTTGCATTTAGTTGAAAACGAATAAAGACCCGATTACTGGCGATATCTTGTACGAAAACCGAGCGAATAAATCCCCTACCTACCGATTTATAAAAAAAAAACACGGTTTTGATATTTCGGTTAGGTATGCTGAACAAAATATTTTGGTATGCTATTCGGTTAGGTTAGGTTGTAATATGCATACATTAAATCTAAACAATTATTATAAACGTGATCATAACACGTAACTGATATAAGAACTGTTGTACAGTAATATACATTTTCATAAAAAAATAGTATAGTTTTGTTAATTGTTCAAATTCAATGACTTTCTGATTATTATATTGTATTTTGTCATTATATTTTTAATCAACACGAGATTAAAAATGTATTTTATAGATTTTGACAAAATTTTTAAAGACAAATCCAATATAAACAAATATTAATTAAATGTAGTAAACTTTATTACAAAGTACAAATTTCCATTTAAACTTTCATATGAACATTCAAATTTTTTCTGACATTATAATGTTGGTATTATAATATTATAGTTTGTTACCACCATGTGATTTATGAAATTGAAACAACGCGATACAATATTATTACTAAACAAGTAATAACTGATATGCCATAATTTTATTATACGTCATGCAATTGCTTAAGATACAAACCATTCGAATATAAAAAATTAAATTTAAAAACAAATTTCAAAATTTTCAGAAAATATCGGTAGTAAAAAAAAAATTCATACTTATTATTATTGATTGTTTTGTGTCTGTACTTTATAAATTGTTAATAAAAGTCAATGAATTTCAAACATCACTTTTATTGTTCGTGGGTTGTCAATGACATCGCAAACTTCGCTGTTCTTAGTTGTTTGACCGTACGAGATTTTGTTGAGGTTGATAGTCGATAAAATTAAAAATATTTCTGGTTTGTCTCAGGTGAAAAAAATGGCCAAAGAAAAGTTCAATTACACGTTCGGCAACGAAGCTGTGTCCACATCCGTGACGGCCTTCTACGACGCGGTGCTTCTGTACGGATTGGCGCTGAACCAGACGCTGGCTACGGGTGGCAACCAGACGGACGGTGCAGCAATCGTAAAAGCAATGTGGAACAGGACGTTTACCGGAATCACCGGTGATGTCAACATCGACAGCAACGGCGACCGGATTGCCGATTATTCGCTGCTTGATATGGACCCAAAAACCAACGAGTTTAAGGTAGGCCCGCACATAGGATTTTATTTCCTAAAAAAAAAAAAAAACTCTAATCATTAAAAATTGAATCGACTAAGAAAAAAAACTATAAAGCCTAAGAAATTACTGTTAAGAATTTTTTTTTTTAAAAATTCGTTGAATTCGATGCCATCAAATGTTCGCACTTTATATTATAACAGTCGCTTTAGCCTTTACTACACAGTATAGTATTTTTACATTTTATTTTTAATAGGTATTTGATATAGTATTGGTTGAAAAAAAAAACATAAAACATCAATTATTCAGATATTTCTAATATGTCGTTCTATTGATTTGATCGTATCGATGCTTGATTATGGGCTTTATAGACTGTGTTGTTATCCACAACACGTTATCACGTTGATGGCATTACTTTTTCTGTCGACACTCGTTATATTTAATCTTCATTTCACAACATCATATAACACGCAAACCTTTTAAGTTTTAACCATTGTGGTTTTAGATAATTCGTTTAAAACAACGTTTAGGTGTCGTCAGATAATATCTTTTCGCTGACTGTTTCGTCGTTTTAAAACAACCGATAATATTGACTGTTTTGATATTATCGATAAATCTTTTTTTTTTTTTTTAGTTTTCATAAGCCATGTGGGTCCTATGCTGCCTCAAATAAATTGATGTTTCTTTTATCTGCATTTTTCATTCCTGCTATTTCATCTAACCGATTTTTCTTTACTAGCCATCATATTTGTTGCCTTTCTCTGAGGCGTATTTTATTTGAATTTATGACTAAACTCTGTCCGGTGTTCATTCCGAACGAAGCAAGAAAACGAGGTACTTTTTTTAATTTTCATTATCACTTTTTGAGTGAAATAGTAAAAAAAAAAAAAAACTCTAAAACACTTTCATACGCCTTGTACCAAAAGAGAAACAGATTTTACGGTCAGTGTGCTACCTACATTTTAATCGAGACATTTTTTTCCGTAGATTCTCAACGGATATTTTCGTATTTTTTTAATTTATACTCCTTTCAAAATACCACAGTTAAAATACATGCATTTTTTATTTTTAATTAAATGTAAATATTAAACTTTTAAGTTAAAAGTAATCGCTTGTGGCGGCAATATTTAAAGCGCCCTAATGAAAAACCTTTTTTTTTCTAACAATTTTAATCGTGTTTAGTTGTACGAGTTTGAAATATTATTAATTCAATAATAAATTCGCCGTAATTTTTAACAAGTATTATTAATTTGTTATTCCCCGTGGTATTAATTAACTTAACATTTTACAAAACCAATCAGTTTTGGCTTCAAAATAAAGAAAGCTATTACGTTTATAATCTCCCTAATGAATAATTCCGGTGTCATATTACTTACATTTTTAAATTACTAAAAAATCGTAGAAAATAAAAGTACTTATTTTAACAAAAGTTTCAACCACTAAAAATTTTCTAAATCTCTTTTTTTCAAAATGGCTATTTAAATTTTTTTTTAAAAAAATTAAAGAAAAATTAAAAATTTTTTTTTCTGGTCCCCCTCTCCCCAAACAAAATATGTTCATATATAAATTGTAGCAAAGAGACCTAATAAATATTTAAAATAAAATATAAATATATCAAACATATTAAATAGTTTTAAATTAAATTAAACAATTTTAATTTATTTTATTTTATATTATATCTCCAAGTTTTTAATAGACTTACGAAACGGATGACCAAAAATTATATAAAAAAGCTCATTTTAACTTAAATGAACTGACCAAATCGTTGCCGAAATCCATGTGACATAATTATAGAAATAGACAAATTTTCAGTGTAATTTGAACTTTTTAATGAAATGTAAAAATATATCTCGAGATTGGGTAACTATTGTGTTGGAACGTGGAATAATAGCCATTCATGAAATTCAAGGCACTCAATTTTAATCAGATAGCTGCACTTTCTGGAGAAAAAAATCTCATTTCAACCTCATCATACCACCGCAGAAGATAATATTTAGCACACAAAAATCGAAAAAAAACAATTCTGGACAATGACTTTACAAAAGGGTAAATTTAAATTGGCTCGGATAATGCCGGTTGGAAAAGCCAACTTATTTCAAATGTAAATATTTGTATAGTCGTTAAATTTTTTTTTTTATCATAAATAGAATAAATAATGGATCTATTGAAAGAACAAGAATGGTCGATTTTTATTTGTATTTCTTTTTTTGTTGTTATCTTTTTTTAGTGCTTTGTATTGGTCTCGACAATTAAGTACTATCTAATGATATTAAATTATCAAAGGGCATACCCTAAACTATAAAAAATTCGGCGACATCGGTGGTTAAAAATGTTCGTAAATAAGAATAGTAAACTTAAAAATGTATTTTCTCCAAATTTAAAATCTGCGAGTAATTGTGAATATAATAAATTGTGTTCCGGTCTATACGAATAACGTGTCAACAGAAATACTGAAGCGAGTCATGCTGTGATTCAATGATACAATAGTGTTAGTGTTTACATCATGTATTTTTCGAGCCGTTAAGAAATACTAATAAAAAAAAAAAAAAAAAAAAAAAAAAAAAAAAAAAATTAAAATATAAAATCATCCGTGCCCGAGACGAGATTACGGTGAACGTCGTTTATTCGCGTAAAATAAATAATTCCTTCGAACCGTTTTTCAGCAGTGAACGTATATAGAGTATTATGCAGAATAAGACGAATCGTAAATATGTTTATGTAGAAAGTCAATCGAAAAATGTAAATAGAACGAAATAAAAAACAAACAAAAAATGTATTTCGTGTAAATACAGAAACAAAAAACTGTATATTACAACAATCAGTTTTCCAAGAATGTAATCTCGGCAAGGCGGCGGCTCTGTCTCTTAGCTCCAAATAGTCCGTGGAAATATTATGATTTTCAAATAAGTATTTAGCTTAAACTCTCGAAAACTATATTATTATTATATTTCATCTTTTACACGTCATTGTCTGTATTGAACTTTTTTTAGTTTTCTCCACGGGTTTAGTATGCACTCCGGGACAAAATCGTAATTTATTATTATCGAATATTTTCACCGATGACGGGGGAATATTTCAAAGTCGGTAAACAAGTGGATTTCCATTTAGACATTTTTATAAATTTACTTTATCGATGACGTACCCGTACGTTTCATACAATATGATATGTCCACTTAGGAGAAATCATCAAAAGTTAAAAAATAAACCCGTCGCTGCTTTTGATTGAAATTCAGTTAAACACGTTTTACGTTTAATATTAGGCATTTTGATAAGCCAAAACAATTTACTGTACAGGGTGGTCTACAACATTATTCGAATTCTATTAACTCTGTTAATCTTCATGTTTATTTTTCAACCAGATTTAGTGCCAGGGAAATACCATAATTGCATATTTATTTTAAAAATCACTGAAAAAAAAATACTTTTTTATTTTTCACATTTTAAAATTTACAAATTTATAAAAAATATTATTCTGATAATTTGAATGTATCATGTACTCATATCCAATCAATTGATTCTTAATACTAGCCGTTAATAAGAATAACACAATACGCGATAAGGAATCAAAATCAGCACGGAATTCATTATTATCTATTGAGTATTTATTTATTTTCACACCTTATTTTTATACTAATATTTACAAAGCTAATAGTATTTAGGTTACAATCTAGAATACCCTGTATTCGTATACATCGGAAAATCGAATGCAAAATGTTATAATTTATATAATTTCCGTCATAATTAAACCTCAACTCTTTGATCAGCACTAATAGTTCCACACGAACTGCCCCTTTTATATAGCTACTACCACAGTAACGGTAAATATATAGCTGCCGTCACAGCCGGGTCTTTACAAGGCCCCCAAATTATCCGTTATACTTCTCCACTTCAACTGCCATTGCAATTCGCCATTGCCATCGGCGCACGCTTCCTTTCGTTGTATGCAAAATGCCGTGATTCAAAAATTTAAAATGCTCATAATTTTTCACTGAAAATGCTATGTCGATAAAATTTCAATAAAAGTATTCTATGCAAATTTCAGAGCTCTATGAATATTTTAAAACTGAGTTATGGCAAAAATATAAAATCAAAATATTGGATTATAGTCTCCTATTTGAAATTATTTATAATAATAATGTGATATGCATGTATGTACCAAGATGAGACCCGTTTTTTTTTATCTCCATTTTCTTTATAGGAGAAATTTCGATTTAATAGAAAGTTTATGAAGACATCTTTTTTGCCCTCGGAAAAAATTACAGTACATCTCAAACTCGAGTGTAGTTGACGTTCTTATCAAACATATATTTTTCTCGTCTAAGTTTCCTTGAAAATAGAGACTATTGCAGTCTATTTTGTCTCTTGTTATTTTTTTCCCGTAAACTACTTTCATATACTTTAATAGGCTTCTTTCTGAACGGAGTTATCCGGACTAGTCCGAGCTCAAGCATAAGATTTGTTTTATAAGTGGATTGAAGCTATATAAATTTCATTATTCAGTATGCTTTTGTGGGCATACTATTTTAAATCTTTGAACCTACCTGATGTTTTTGAACTTTGGGCATAACTAAAGATCTTCAAATCTAAAGTTTACATTTCGTATATGACTATCTTTAGTATCAAGTATATAGCTTTTGGGGTTTGAATCTTTTAATCCAAATGCCTATTATTCTTGTGCTTAAATATAAAATTTTGAATTTGTATTTTTTGAAGTAATTTAAATTCAATATAGTTTTATAGTATTTACTTGTTATTATTTTACAAAGAATGTTATTTAAACACAAATTTTGGACAGGAATCATGCACTAATGGCGAACCTATGTTACTCACGAGTATTTTCTCTTAAAACTATAGTAATATTATTATATACGAACAGTCGTCTGTCGTATTATTACGAGGTGTTCGCTGTATATACTGCGCACATAAGTTAAGATTGTATGCAGTAAAAACACGGTATCAAATGCAGTCACTTGAATGGAAACACGATAATGTTAAACTTATACGATTATATTAACCTACACGAAAATTTTTAGTGAAATCGATTTTGGTGTAGGGAAGTTTTCAGTCTTTTTCCGAAAATATTTAAATCATATTTAAGATATTTTGAATCTGCGTAAACGATGTGACAGTATCGGTGACATGTCCAACACAAAATGAGGACAGGGATTATTTTTTTTTTAAAAAAATAATTGATGATTGATCGTGGTTTTGAAAGATAAAAAAAAACCATGTTCGCAAAACAATTTAGCCGCGAATTAACGAACCGGCATTGGTTTTGATATTCAGAGCTGTGGTTCATGGAAAAAGTATGAAAGATGTTGACCGTGATATTGACGATACATTGTATTTACCTGTAATAACAATCCCCATAGGCCTCGTAAATCCAGGTGAAATGAAAGAACTCGGTTCCACTTTCTGCTATCGGGTCTAATATTAAAGGAATACAAATAGGCTTCGAATATCTAATCCGAGAACGGTATTATTATTCTAATAAACGTCACTGTGAAAAAATGTAATAAAATCCTCATAAAATGTATTTATTTAAAATATTTGTAGGGACGAAGTTATATATTAAGGTTTTTTTTTTTTTTATATCATAAACTCATTTACATTTCCCACTTAATAAAATGTACGGATTATCAACCTGTTTGAATTTGAATAGAAAATGTTTCCTAAATTCTCGGCGGATTTTCTGAAAAAATTTCGAAATTCAAGTTTATTACAAAACGTGATGACGATTTACTGGTTTCGAACAAAATCTATGATACGACTAAATTACTAAGGTTTTAAAATATTTTGAAGTAAGATTTTAAAATTTAAATTTAAATTATTTCAAAGTGCTCACAAAGACACACTCGAGTCGACAATCATATATGAATGTGCTCTTTTTGGTAATAAATTTATTATTTTTTAATTTGTGGTTTCTTTTGGTTTTACACACAAACAAAAAAAAACTACTTATTCTAAAACCAATCGAATATTATAATTCATTACGTCCCACGCACAACAAAGACCGTTACGATCAACCCACGATGTAAAAATGTATGTTTACCTTACCCTTTTTTTAATGTATATTTTCTATCGTGCAATATTTGTATTGTATTGCCTAGTACCCCAAAAAATTAAGATTCGTGATAATCCGTCTAATTTCCGACAGATCATTTTTGTTTCCATTTTGCGTTTTGGATTTAAAAATCACACGGCGCACGACATACCTTATTTTATCACGTCGACGTAAATGTACTGAAATTGCCTGGCTCCGACGCCAGTTATAATTAAGGATGATATAATTTTAGAACGAGTATTATTATCTATTCAGTTCAGATCAGTCGAAATTAATATTTTAATCACTGAGCAAGTTTATGTTTACCTTCTTGAATATTTAGCAATACAATATTGTTTATCAATCAATGCATAATTTTGAAATTGATTTGACAATATTTTTCATCCGACAATAAGAAAACAAAATTGTTAATGTTTCGATGCTACTGTGAGAAAATAAAACAGATATCTGAATTTCGGAAGTTTTGTGCATTCCCAAAAGATAAAATAATACAAGCGGTCTTTCTCTCGAAATTATTAATTATTTCGTTAGAGCACGAAATAAATAAGTATATATATATATATAGTGTCGGACGATTTTTCGCGAGTTACAGACGATGTTTAGATATATTTCGCTACATTTAAAAAAGAAAACAATGATTTATACAATTTACCGGTGGAAACATTTTTCAACGAGAAAATTACTTTTAAATGTTATGCATAATAACAACGCGAGGGAAATTAAAATTGTATGACTTTTTCATAGTTATTATAAATTGAATACGAGTAAGTACATTGAAGCACACGAATGAGATATAATTATTATAAATTAAAATGATAAAACGTGAGTTGTGGAGTAAAAATATCCCATTAATGTTTGTTTTATACATCTAAGCCATTTTGGATTATATTTTTTTTTTTACTGTCACACATAATTTCACATAATTACTTTAACTTGATTAAATTTTTAACACTGATGTAATGCAAGTTATTTTCAATATCACATTGTATTCAAGGGGATTTAAAATTCATTTTTTTGTTCATACTAACCAGTTGTTACGACAGTAGTTTATTCTTAAAATTAATTCTTAGAAATGGTTGAGCACTGACTTCCAACTAAAATATTAGGTTGATTTTTTAGAGAAATCTATTTACAAATAAGTTTATACAAATTGGCTGATGCAATTAATGAAAATTGAATTGTAAATCATCTTTTTTTTTTTTCATATAATTCCGAAACAACCAAATGTATGCATGTATATAAATATATAGTTATTAATAAAAATTAATTTTTCATACAATTGTGTTTATTTTTTTTTTTTTTGACAGGTTGTGGCCAACTACATCGGAGTAAAACAATCGTTAGAATACGTGCCAGGAATGAGCATTCACTGGGCGGGTGGCAGAACAACTCCTCCTCCGGACACTCCAACTTGTGGATTTGACAATTCCAAATGCCAAAGTAATCATTTTTTTTTTTTTTTTTTTTACTTAGGGTTCAACTGTTCGTTTAAAAATGAGTGCACATTTTTATTATCAACAATATTAACTTTTATGAATATCATCAAAAAAAAATTACCGAACATTATTTTTTCATAACTTTTACCTCTATGATATTTGACATATGTGTACTAGATTTTACGATTGTACAACAGTTCAAAACATTTGTACACCGGAATAATATAAAATTATTATTTTTGGAATTTTACGTTTTTATTTTCTCACTTCAAATCTTTTCGTGTAATAAACTACAGGGTACTACATACGTTTTCTTCCCATCCTATATTTTTCGTTTATGAGATGGTACTTACGATTTATTATGTTTCCAGATATTTCATAGCATTTATTTTTCTAGTTTTTTAACGTATTTTCTATATAATGATATTGACACCATATTATTTTTGACGTTGCGTCTAACATTCAATGTAGCGGTTCGGTTTAGATATAAAATTTTAGTATATCATGTTGTGATTTATATAAATATTATATATTTGGTCAAAAAATGTTTGTTTTGAAAACATATTATTTTTTTCGAGAAATCAAATTCAATAATACCAAATAACGTTTTCTTTATAAATAATATTTAATACTCAAAACATATATGATAATCAGTTAATTTAAAATTAAAACTGTCGTATACATATGCAAAATACGTGCAAAAATTTGTCAATATAAAAATTAAATTTGTATTAACAATTAAACATTTTATTACATTGCTATTAATAACTATTAAACATGATAAGTATTTAAAAGAAATCGAACTTATCAAAATTAACAATGCTGCAGGGTTTTTATCGAGGAAATAGGACTTTTTTATGGTTTCAATTTTGTTGAATTCATTCAATAATTAGACAGTTTAAAATGCATTAAAAGAAAAAACAAAAATGCTTCTCACGATATGTGGTTGGAATGTTAAAAAGGTATACAGGAAATTTAATGTATATCCATACATAACGTTAAATCATTGTTAACGAAAAATGATTCTGGGTGGAGTTTATTTATACATGTTTTGAAAAGCTATTGTATTTACGATTCGAAAATAATAAATTTCGTAAGTTTTTCCGTTTTTCTCATTTATTATAAAAACCCATGGGAAAATTAAAAAATGACTTAGAGTGCCACCTCATTCCAATTTTATTTCAGAAAAAGTGCTTCATTTAAAAATCTGAGCAAAATTTCCGGTATAAAAGTTGTTCAATAACATCATTGTAGAAACCAAATCATTCTTTACTCCTGTTAGAATCTAAACTGGTATAATTTATAGCCACCGATACGATTATGATTTATAACCGACAAATTATCGAGATATTTTCAACAAGTATAGGTAACTCGCAATATAATAGCTAGATAACTTATATGTTATATTAATCTGGAAACAGAAATGTTTTAAAATAAATTACTCATGACAACAATAATTATCAGCTCGAAGTTTTACGCGATTTATTATCACAACAGACTTAACGAAACGTGCGAATACGCGTTTAGATTTAGTTTTTGAATTATAGAGTATGTTATTTATTTTTGCGAAACACATTTTTATCTCAATCTGTTATATCTTAAAACGATTTCGTTTAGTATATAAATTCAAAACGAGTTTTAATTCGATTATAAACTTTTTTGATTTATATATCGTTTACGTGTTATACCGAGTAATCCATTTATCACGGACCAGTGATTTTTTTAGAGGATTTTTAGAAAAGTTAATTTCTACCTTTCTTTATTTTTCAATCATTAGGGAACCGTTTAAGCTTTATTTTAACATAAATTCTATAATTTTAATATCGTTTTATATTCTTATACCTTAGTCAAGTATATATTTTTGATTTTCAAATTGAATCCTACTCCCTCATTAAAAATAGATTCAGACAAAGAACATCTTTCTTATTTTGATCTTCATAACACTTATAGAAAATTTAACGTTAATGAGTTATAACTGTTAAAAACTTAGACCGGAGAATTTGGTATGAATCATAAACTTCTTAACCAAATTTTAAAGGTAAATTGATAACTCTTTCTAACTCCTCTAAACTAAATGGTAAACTGTTTACAACTATCATAAACTGTAAATCAGATAGTTTAATACTTATCAAAATGCATAGACAAGTATTCTTTAATCGGGTCAGTATTTACAATGCAAGGGATTCTTATTTAAAAAAACCGGGCAACTTCGCACGTGAAAGCATCTACTGCTATAGGTGAGAAATTGGAAAAGTAGTAGGGAAGACATTTTATGTTTATCTGTAATCAACGATAAACCATTGTTAACGAAAAAAACGATTTTGAGTGTAGTTCAGTTGATAGTGTTTCTTTGTCAACAATATATATGTTATAATATATGATAAAATAATTACAAAGACATTAAATATTTTCTTTAATAATATTTGTTTAATATTGTACCTATTATCCTATTTTCCCTACGGTTTTCCCATTTTTACCCAGTTTTCTCATTTATTAAGAAAACTTCCTGGGGAGTTAAAAATTACGGTCTTAAAGTAACTCTCTAGTCAGATTTCCTTTTAGAAAAAGTACTATATTTGTAAATAGAAGCAAGTTTTATGTTAGAAATGTTGTCCACAGAAAAAAGAAAACAAACATTTCTGTAAAACCATAAGCTTCTTAGTTCCACTTATAATCTAAAACCAGAATTGTACACTCATTTAAGTGTAACTGATTGAAAATTTTGTAAAAATAAAGTTTAACCGATTTTTTACGATTATTTGAAGATAAAAGAATTCATATTCATTTAAAATTCTCCAGCAAAATCACTGGTTTATGATAAATGGATGACACTATAATATTGTTAAATTATTAAAATTGTAAGGGCAGGTAAAAAAAATTAAAATATTACTAATATAATTTGTGTTTTAAAATTTCTTTTTCTAGCGATTCCCGGTTACGCCGTTCTCAGCATCGTTCTCAGCCTGATCGTAGTGATCCTGTTTATAGCTTCGTTGTTCATTTACCGGTAATATACAATATTTTATATATTTTAGACATAAGAAGTAATCTTAATAATATCATGTTTTAAGACGACTACAAAATACCATACCGTAATTGTTTGTAAACATTTCAATTTAAATACATTATACGTTACAACGCAATACTATGTTATATAATTTGACTCTTCGATCTTAAAATGTTAGTTTTTAAGGGCTGGAGAAATGCAGGTTGCGTACCGTAATAGGATCTTTATAAAAATTAGGTATTTATAGCGAATCTGTCTGTTTGTCCGTCTGTCTGTCAGAGCCTTCTAATCACGATAAAATATCTTTGTATCAAACTTTGTTCTCCCCTGTTAATTGACATTGTCAACTATAGAGGATAAATACGACATGAAATGGGTTAAAAAACGAAAACTTGTAATATAAATGATGAAGGTAATAACTAAAGTGAGATTATATAGGTTTCTTCAAAAGTATACCACGTAAAAATTCAACCGATAATAGATTCATGAACTATTAAAAAGTAACTCATATTCAGGTGTATATTCACAAGTTTTTCATGTTTATTTAAATACACCCTGTAAGATATTTTTAATATTATCGACATTTAATTTATATTGCCCAAGTAGATTTGTTCACTAAATATATAGTATACAAAAAATTTCAACTTTTTCTTACTTTGCCCTCGAAAATTTGGAGTTATTCACCATGTTCAAACATTGCGATATTTTTTCTGTTCCTGAACTCCTATTTTCTCTGTAATATGTAAACTGTTTCGGCTGGCAGTATTCTTTGCAGGTAACACCGAGTTGAGATCGTGATTAAAATGTCTTACTGTATATAATAGTTTTGAAAGTTTTCCCATCGATAATAAAAACACAAATGACGTATAACATCTTATCAGCGAAGACTGTATAGTAATTATAAACACAAAATGTATTAACAAACTGCCTCAATTCTGCAGTTATTGTGACGTGTCGTACATCGTGTTATTATCTTAGAGTTTTATATATAATAAAACCTCGCAATAAAATAAGTCAAATACTAGCACTCGGTCATTTTTTTTTAGGTTATCGAAATTAAAATATTATTAGATTACTGTTTATAATACAAAAATATTAATATACGAAAACCTGGTAATTTTCACAGTACTCTTTGGCATTATGAATTTTCAATTTTACAAGGGTGGAGAGAAAAAATTTAAAAAAATCATATAACCCCTAGTAGAAATACGAGACCGGTTAAAATATCTTTACAGTTTTTTATCATTATTATTCCGTCGAACGTATCTGACTCCGTTATTAATGGTCCAATCAGCTAGGGTCAGGAAACTACACCCTTTTGCACAGGAGTTTCGGTATTGTATGCACTCCTGGAGTTTTAGTTGATATATTTTTTATCGTTACAAAAATAGTTCTTCTCGAAGTATATTGTTATATACCTTACGTTACTCGAGTTTATTTCTTGAAATCAAAACAACAAAGTAGTTGCGTATTTTCGTAATCATTTCGATTAGAAAACATTTTTGAAAAATTTAAAGTGAAACGACATGACACATTCAGGGTAAAAATTGTCATCATTTAACATTATAAAAAACAAAAGATAGTTAAGTAGGTAAAATAAATTATAATACAATTGCAATATTATTACAAATTTTTGTCTTTTCATCGTTAAACGTAATATTATTACTTTGACGTTACCAGAAGAAAAGTACAATCGTTTATACACGCCTTTGATTTCGAAAACGTAATTTTGTCAAGTGTAGGTAGGTATATTTGCTTAAAGGTACCCAATAAGAATTAATTAAACTCTCGTCTTTCGATGAAAACTATCTCCGTAAGATGTTTCTTCGACAACGGCGTGCTATAAAATATAGTAACAAAAAAAAAAAATAATAATAAAAATCTCATTTTACCGGAGTATTTAATTGATCGAAAGAGGATAGTTTCGTACGTAACGTAAACGGTTTTTTTTTCTACTCGTTATACAGGGTTTCCCGGGCATCGGATCGCAATGTCTGATTTTCCACATTGCCGTGACTAAATAAATAAACAGGCTTGTCAGCAAGTCCACGTATTTTCCCAATCGCTTCGCATGTTCCCCGATTGTTTGTGGATTGTTTTTTATTGTCTGCGAGTTTTAACCACGGAATCCCGGAATATGAATTTCACAACACGTTGATATTATAATCAATTCCTTTTTTGTTTGTTTCTTTTCTACTTCATTTGAAAAATGCGTTTAAAATTATTTTTTTATTTTTTCTACACTGTTCAATTAAATAAAAGTGCAACTACAACTTAAAAGTAGTTTTTCTATCGCATGAATAGACGTACTATACATTATTTACGGTTTTAGTTTTAGCGATCTTTTTTATAACGCGAATAATATAGGTAAAAGAATCGGAAATAAGGATATACTGACAAATTCCGACTTTATTGAATCCGAAATTCGGACTTTGAATATATTTTGGATATTTTTTTACTAACATATATTTGATCTTAAAACCAAATATGTTTTGATATTTATTGAGTGTATATATACGTGATTTTCGATTTACACAACGGCTTTGACGTCGTCAGTTTCGGGAAATCGAAAAAATGTAATATTACGAAATATATAAATATAAATTGAAGTTTTTTTTTCGAGAAGACCTAATCTCCTACAAGAAATTCCAATTATTATTCCTAAAGGATTGACGTTCTTTTGGATAATAAATAATTTATATTTTCATTCGCGTTTTACATCATGTATATGCAGGACGAAAATACACGATTCGGCGATTTAAATTACATAGAAAATTGTCAAATCTCGCATGTTTACTCTGTATATTATACTAGTTTTGAATCGGACGATGTTCCCATTAATGTACACAAAATGTCAATACGATTCGAAAAAAATACCTATTCGTGTTTGTTATTCCTATTAAATACATAATAATATATACCTAATCATTATTATTTTTTTTTCTGTTCATTAAAAAATTGTATTCAGAGTCATTAAAAACATTTAACGTTTTAATGAAAAAAAATTGAAAAATATATACATATATGGAATGGTTTGTTCACCTACAGTGGTTTTGTTGTTGATTTTTTTTATCATAATTATTTTGTGTCTAATTATTTTTCTAAAAACAAAATATTAAAAATCCTATTTTAAATAATCATACATACATAATATTATAGTTTTATGTCTATACAAAAAAAAAAAAAAAAAAAAAAAAAAAAAACAGGTATAACCCTTTGTAATATCGAAGGCAATATAACGTATATTTTTTACGGTTTTATTATACGAACATTCTGAATCGGACTGCCACGCACATAGCCACGGTTTATATATAAAAAAAATAATCATTGTACATATTTATTAACGAAAGGGTTGCGAACTGACATTGTTTTAGATTTGTTTTATTATCCGAAGTATAAAATATAATATTCAATTCGGAATGGCGGCCGTACTATTTATGAAGAAAATAAACCTACCCTCTCGGTTCACATTGTAACTGGCAGATAAGACAACATCACGTTTTTACATTATTATTGTAAAATAATTGAATAATATTTGTTTCTCATTGTTTGTAAAAAAAAAAAAAAAAAAAAAAAAAAATCGTTCTTTCACAATGAAAAATCAAATTACAATAATATGAAAAAGATTCGAAAACAACAATAATAATAATTTTGATTTAAAATAAGATGACGTTCGTTACACTCAAATAGATTTTCGGAACACTAATTAAAAGGGTATTTTATGGTTTTGGGGAACTTTGTCGCACGTTCATCAAAATAAAAGTTCAATTTTGATTTGAATTTATTCGAAATATTCGGATTTTTCTTTTTTTTAATAAACTTACGTATACACGTATTTGCACAAAACGGAAAAACAATAGGTAAAAGCATGCATGCCTTTCAGTATAGACAAAGGACAAATATTTCATCTGAAAGAACCTCAAATGGATTGACAACTCGGGAGAATGTAGTAATACCCATTTTAAACGGAACGGGAAATAGAAATGAATTTAAAATAACAGCGGTATAACGTATACGCGATTTCGATTTACAATAATTTTATTTCTGTGAAGAAATGGAAAATTTAAGTCATCAAATATATCAGACGAGAGGTTAAAAAAGAAAAAAAAGTTGTTATTAAAAAAAATTCAACATTTATCCTGGATATTAATTATTTACGATCTACGTGAAACAATAAAACCACACTAAACTAATGAAAATGTAATTTTAAACTAATGCGAACACTAAACAAATACCTTAATTTTGTGAATTATAAAAATATATAACAGAATTTAAAAAAAAAATAAAACGATTTACACCAGACGTATTTATTTATTTCTTTTAGAAAAATATCGTTTTTAAAAATGTTTTAAAAAAAGTTTTTTAGAATTATTTCAATGTCAAACGACCGGCCTTAATAAATAGTCGATTAGCTCTCTTTTTATATTCTGAGTAGACCGATATTTATTTATTTTTTTTTTTCTTTGAACAACTTTTTTGCCAGAAATGTTGCTACAATTTTTTAGTGTAGCACCTTTTCCCAAGAATATTCATAGTAAATTAGGAAAACGGGAAAATTTACGAAGTGTTTTATTTTCAAATCGTAAATATTACTGCCTTTCAAATCATGTATAATCATAATAATAGGCACATTAAGTTTGCCTCTATATTCTACATTCCCAACTTATCATTTACGACGGTAGCCCACCCATCGTGCGAAATATTTCCGTGTCTTTTTTTAATTTATTCACCCATAAGAAATTTATCTTCAGTGATTGAAGGTAAATTTCTTATTGACTTCATATTGAGTTTTTATTATTTGTAAGTAATTGTGTGTTTATTTTTTTTTAATCAATGTGCTATTTTTGTCTTTTGTATTCATCGTCTAATTCCTACTAAACATATCCCATCACAATAGCATTAATATATAATCAGTGTATCAATAGTTATCCATCATACTATTTTATTATTTTCTGACATAATAATGATTATGCAATAGTTTTAAATTTAAATTTTAAGTTATTAGTGAACTTTTACTGTGGGTACATTACCGGTGAACAGGTTTATATGCACTTAAAAACAACAAAAAAACGCTTAAAATCATTAATAAAATCCTGAAAGAATCATTTAAATATATTAAAAAGCAAAAGTAGTAGAATTTTTCAAAATAACTCTTCTTCCAGTTCTAACCATATAAAATACAATTGATTATCATTTAAAATGATTGGTATAAATCATTTTTTTTTTTTAGTACACCTACTATTTTATTTGAATAAATTACTTTGTGTTTATTATTTTTATAATGTTATAAAATTATTTTTAATGAGTTAAATCCATTTAAAGGGAGACTTTTCAACGGCTCTACTGGTTTCGTTTTTATAAATATTTTTCAAACGATTTTTTTTAAAGCATTTTTGATGATTTTAACCACATTTTTGTGGATTATAGTCATTTGATTACAGTTACGATTTCTAATCATTACCATATTAACACATATTATCACGTTCTCTATCATTTCAATTTTTTTTTTCACGCATACATTTTGTACACGCACAGATATTATTTTACCAGCTGTTTAACGCGAAAATCATTACAAATATTTCTTTGGTATGTACTTGATTTTATTTTGCAAGGTCTAGCAGATTTAGCAGATTTCTGTCTTCTGTTCAGAAATAATATAATAATATTGTCGGTACATATCGTATTATACTAATAAAACTCTTGACGATGCGACCGCAAAGTACATAACAACAAAGTTTAAATTATTTTTTACAAATATTATTCTTACCTATATTATATACCTACTTCGGTTATTTCTTCCTTTTTCAAATTTACATTATTGTGTATTATATTATTTTATGCAATGCTATATACTTATACATTACAACTACCGTCTATTTCGATAAAGATCGTTTCTTTGCTCCTGTTCACCGAGATATTTTACTTGTATTATAACTCTGGACAAGGATTTCAGTAGGATACCTTGGACGTATTATCGTTTCAGGACATATAGTTATAAGAGGGACCCTTATTAGTGTTTTTTATGTAGGATTTAGTTAATATTTTATAAAAAAAAAAAAATTATAATAAAGCCTTATTCACCGTTATTTCCGTAGTAGATTTTGTTCCACCTCCCGCTATAGTCTGCGTTACTGGACCTTACCTGGGTTTCATTATTTTACGCCTTTCTGCATAATTTAGTCTCTTATTTTTAAATTGCGTCGTTGTCTTAGTAGAAAAGTTAATTTTCATTATTTTACATCGCCGCGATTCGTATTTCTTTAAACTACTGTGACGTATATTCGTAATTATAATATTATTAAGGGCTGTGTCATCTTTAAAGTTTCGTTTTTTATTATTGTTTTTTTTCATTTTTAACACGTGTAATTATTATTCGAGTTTAAAAAAAAAAAATAAATAAATAAAAACAGAATGAAACATTTACGATTAAAAAAACACTGTCAATTACTTAATACCTACTTCTTATATGATGTGTACATGATCGGATCTTTACGCGGGTAAGTATACTTTTTTGTTTTTTTTTATATTTTTGGTTTGATTCCGAGCATAGCGATGAATGTATTGTTTTAACTATGGTGCATGTGTTTGTGTTTTATTTTTTTTTTCTATCCATGAACGACTTTTCAACCAACAATATCGGTCTGATCGTCTTATTGTATTTTCTTGGAAAAACGTTTTCACGCACATTCTAGATGTGATGGAATTTTTAAACCACTCTTGCAAATTTTGTGACACTCAAAATTTTCGAGATTGACAGTATTTATTGATTTAATGTGGAAAAAATTGTTTTGGGCCAGCAAAAATGCTCGAAAGTATAACATAAGTTTCCTCGTTATTTATACAAAATTATATAAAAAATCGCTAATTAATAAGTTTCGTTTAAAAATATTTAAAATACAATTCTTTATAAAAATATTATGAGATTTATTTGTTTATTATGGTATTTAATACTCATATAGAAAAGGTTTTGTTCACATTTTTTTCAGTATTTAAACTATAGATATTTATAGTCTATAATATTATATTTTATATCCTTCTATCTTTTAAAAACTTCTGACATACAACAGTGTCTTATACTTACCCCTCAAACTTGTGCTAATACAAATATTATACTTTACCATCCTTTTTCTCGTAAACATACAAAAAATGAGTAATAATATTCAATCGATTCACCTTATGAAAAAAAAAATTATCGTCAATTTTCATAAAAATTATATACTTTGTTTTTTTTTGTTTTTTCATACATTGATATTATAATAGTTTAAATAATAAAAACCATATATATTTTACACCAACCCTATGCATTTAAAAAAAATGTATACGTATTTACTTTCAATAATATAATACGACGGATTTTTTGGATATAGAAATACCTGTATTATTTATTTATCTTTCATTTATATAACGCTGCTTGATGAGAAACATCGTTTGTATCAAATTTTGGTTAAATTGAGTCGATACACGTATGATTGGCAGCTATAGAACTCCCTAGAGTCGAGTTTTCCCCTAGCTAACTAATATTGTTGCCAGTACAATATTCCGTGGTTTTTTTTTTATCAATAACTAAGATACTTTTATTAAAATTGGTGAAAAAGTAGTTCTCAGGTTTTTTGTTAACATAAAAAGCAGACAGTAGGTTCGGGGATTGAAAATCCAAACCTTCTAAATGAATATTTTCTAAAACAGTTCTACATACATGTTTTAACCGTGTAATTTATATTTATAAACCAGTATAAGGGTATTCAAAACCCGCTTTTTCATGTGAAAACATAAAATCCGATTATAAAATTGATTAGAGAAGAGTTTGAAATTACCAAAAAGAGATCTTGATACTCACACTTTGCATATCATAACCCACCCCCTTGACCTCTTGGAGGGCATCTATACTAAACTAAAAACTCTCATTTCCCTCAAAAACATGATGAAGTTCGTGTCGAAATTCTACCAAAATTGTATCACTTCGATCGGTCTATGAAAAAAAGTCGGCGTTTGAGCTCTTTTAGTCTAGAAGAAACAACTCAATGTAACCAAATGTATCAGAATGGTATGTATACACATAATATATAACAAACACAATATACTGCGTATAGTCTTTATTTTCGGCGAAAATTCGAAAAAAAAACCCGTATTTACACATTGTAGGAACTCCCCCCCCCCTTCCATAGCGTATATGTGCATAGACGTCTATTTATTTATCTGAAATCCTATGTAATATTAATAAGAAGTAAATGAGATTTATCGTGTCGTCCCTTTTTTCAACTAAATAAGTTGAGAAAAATGTAATCAGTGGTGTTGCTATAGAATGACGACATCATTATAAGTATTATGTACAAAATAAAATATATTATATATTTTATTTTAAGAATATTTAGGACAACACAAATTATTTTAATAACGTATTTTTTTTCCATTCATTTTTTTTTTTTTTTTAAATTTTGGTTACACATTATAATAATATTATGTATTATTTTGAAATTATTATTGTTATTTTTTTTTTTTAACAGGTCCTCTTTCGGTGATTTCGTTGTGCTTGTTGAACAAAATCAATGTGATAAGACCATGAAGTTAATTATAAAATAGGTTTTATAACAACCTACCTAAACGATTATGATCTTTATAGACTATAATAGAATAGACAAAATTTGTTTAAAATTGTTCGCAAGCATAAAAAAAAAATTGTCTTCAGCACAATATTTTTTTACATTAATATAATATTGTTTAATATTTTTTTATTATTATTATTTAGTCAAACTTTACATTATTATTTATTTTTTTTCTTAAAAACACGTATTTAAATTTATTTGTATGTAATTTTTTTTTTTTAGATTCTGAGTAACAAAGAAGCTATTATAATAGTTTTACAACATTATCTTTTTTTCTTTTTTATCGGAAAATAATTTTACGGTTAGTAAAAATGCTTTGATATTTTTTATACCTCAAAAGATGCAAATTTTTCTTCATACGGTAATTTATGCGAACAATATTTTGTAATTCCCGCCATTTTTTTTTGTTTTTTAACAATTTATTACAATTTTCAACATATCGCTTCCTAGGTTAGGTTTTTTTTTGTTTTGATATTTATTTTTTTTTTTTTTTGTAATTTCCGAATAACCATAGCCATGAAGGAAAATAAAACGTTTATTATTACTGTGATCATAATCATTTTCAGTTTGTAATCATAAATCGTTGCATTTAGTTTACATAAATTAATTTACCAACAATATACCCACAAAGTGACCTATTCAAAGTTTGAATCAGTGATCGCACCAAGGGCCTCGGGCCTGGGTGTTCCATATCTCTCCTAAATCAAGTTATTTATATTTTATAACGTGCATTGTTCACAGAAACATTTTAAACAACGGTGTGTTAAAAATACATTTTCTGAAAATTCTAAAATATGGCAGTTAAAAAATGTAAGGCCTATTTTGGACTACTTGAGGAAACTATAGATAATCATTTGATCATAGGTAACATGATTATGCATTATATTTTAACTAATAATAATTTTGAAAAATATATTGAAGTAAGTACCACCGAATGAAAAATGTCTTATATTTTGGTATAACTCGTGAAAATATAGTAGCATTTTTACTAACAAAAAAAGTGTTTGATGAGAAAATAAAGCACAAAACCTAAAATTAAACATTAATCACTCTAAAGCAAGACTGTGATAAAGTTTTGCTTTTTAAAACAAAATACTTTTTTGAAACTATTCGGAATACAGTTTTGAATACTTCTTAAAAAAATATATTTTTTAAAATATTCAGAACATTTTATTCGGAATACTGCCCATGTCTGGATGTGAGTGTGTATAGCGACTAGTAATGGGGAGATAGGGAGCAGTGGCTATTATCATAATATTGCAGTCGTTGCTTTTTATAGTAATATTTTATTAAATATACTCGCATATAGTTTCGTTTCATTCATATATTATTCATCAAGTACTGTTCTGAAGGACTATAAGGTTATATCTTTATACATTGTTTCTAAATGAACTATGAACTAATTTTTTTAACGTGGCTTTAAAAAAAAAATTATCTCCTGAATTATTTGATGATTTAGGTTTGAGATTAGCCAACAGGTACCGAAATATTTTAGTTTAACTTTAAGAAATAATATTTCAGATTAAATAAAATAATTGAGCGGAGTTATCACACCGGGGTCGCTCCTTCTCTTTTACATTATTAGCGAACTAATATACTCAACCTAATATAATTTGGCACTCCCAGGCTCGCAACCACGTGAAGCTAGGGAAAGGGACTAGGAAGGATTATCCTGGATCTAATCGTTGCTCCCCCAACAAGTTTTAAATTTAAATTGCGAAAATTAAATTTAAAAACTTTCAAAATTTAGTTATATTCAGTTATAATGAGATTGTTATTAATGGATTTCAGATAGAAATTTCCAGCAGTATAAATAAATTAAAAATAGTATTAATATTATTTTTGTCTGATGTACCCTTTACAATTTTAACTTCCCCGAATGATGACTTAGTCTGACAACGAGCCTAGGCACTCCCTGTAAAAAATTATAACGTCACCATTGGACTGCAAAGTAGGTTTACTGACTTTCTTTTTTATAATCCTTTAAAATTAAATACATTTTATAAAGAAAAAAATATTTTATAAAATAGTGTATGCGATAAATTGAAATATTCTAATCACGTTCTTACATTAAAAAGATTTAATTAAAAAGATACTCTGTTTTAAAATGTTACATAATTGAAAAAACAAGTAATAAAATATAAAAAATACAAATTAAGTTTAACTATCGAAAAAAATACCAACACATCGGTTGTAACGCAGGTTTGTATATTTAAAGTGAACTAAAAAAAAAAATCCAAAAATTTAAAGGGAAAGCTTTATATATTATTCATTTATTCATTACAATAAAACCTTATATTATAGAATAATTATTTTCAACTTTATCTCAAAATATTTTGATTTAAAGGTTTTAAAATGTTTTTTTTCTATTGAGTTTAGTTGTAAACGCCTATCTTAAATGTACATTTATTGCAATTTTTTTTTTTGAAAATCGTTTTTTTTTCTGTTAAAAAATATAGATAAGCCACTGTAATATTTTACGGCCGTTTATACACTGCTGGACTACTAAATCTGGATTAATAGTAAATCAGGATTTACGTTTAATATTTGTCTAAACTGTCTGCGTCTACTTTGTGTAGTCGTACGAGTTAATCTCGGTTTACACCGGTAACGGTATTTTTAAGGATTAAAAACGCAGACTGAAGGGTGTGTTTAAACTTCTTCCTTTTTGTGGGGAGGGATTTACACGGTTCTTCGTATTTTTAACTTTTATAGTCATATTTAGAAAATGGCGTAAAAATTAATGCTGTTTGGTATTCATCAGAGTTTTTGTGTTTTACGCTGACAAAATACAAATGGGATTAAATTAATCAAACCGGATTAACGCATATCAGATTGACTTCCGAATCTGATCGCATTAATATAGTACTGATAATATTATTTCGTCTCTATCCTTATAAATCCGGATAAATAAAAAGGGTATGAAATGAGTTATAATTACCGTTAAATACATTAACACAATCGAATAAACATACACGTGTTCAGTTCTTAAAATTAATAGTATATGATCCTTTTTAAATATTTAATATTGAAACTCACAAGAGAATTTAATTTCTAGTCTTTATTTTTCAACCATAATTGTATAATATACAAATGATATATTACATCATTATACAGAATTCTAAGTTTTATTCTAACACAATTTTTAAATTTTTACACCCATTATAATTCAGATGAGTATGCAACCCCCTCAATATAATACAAGAAACATAAATTCAAAAAGACAATAATTCCCTAAAAGATTTTTAATATATGAACATAACATTACTAAAAATGTGTCATCTAAAGAGGGATATAAAGTTTAAGGCCTTTATCTACGCCTTCAGTTTTAATTTTAAACTGTAAACGATAAATTTGAAATAAAAAACCAAAAACCCACATACTCTGAAAATCACTGAAAAATGAATCGTATCATTATATTATCTGTATAAAAAGTGAAAAATTTCGAAAGAGATGGTTTTATTTAAGCAATGCCTCCCTTTTTCCCAAACTATTTTTGAAATACTATCTCGGTAAGTATATTTTCGTGCACGGACGTTTAGCTTTAACGAAAGTTCAAAATTTGATCTTCTACGGACCATAGAAATAGCTATAAAAAAATCAGTCATGACCAAAACAACAAAAAATTTAATATAAAATGTATATTTCATACGTCGTGCAGTGTATTTCTAAGATACATAACAGTATCGTCATGATAAATTCTTGTGAACGCGTAAATCAACCGTACGTAAGTCATTCACGTCTAAATGATTTATTTAGAAAGTTTCCCAAAAAATGAAGTTAAAAGTTTTATAACAGTTCTATGTACAGGGTGTTTTGTAAAAGAATGCCGTCACTTGCATAACATAAGCGACCGGAAGAACAAAATACGAAATAGTTTATATTTTTTGTTCTATGTTTAAAATATTTTTTTACATTTTCTGTTAGAATGTCTAAAGATTAAAAAAAATATATATTACATTGTATTTTCCCTGTAGGAACCTCAATTTCTTATATGAATAGATATGTTGTGTTGCCACGTCATTTTTGCACATTTACGCTCGACTTTAACGCTTATACGTTTATGCTTATTGTCACCAGTATAATATAAAGTGTCATCAAGTAGAGATCAAGTTTTAAAATGATTGTCCAGCAAATATTAAAATTGAATTTATTTATCGACATTTAACATAGGTATTTGGTTAGTCGACAAAGTTGAATTAATTTGTTAACAAAGTTTATCTGTTTTGGTTAATTTTACTTTTCCAATGGCTCTTCATGATAGAAGTCGATAAATATAATGTGAATTTTACTCATTTATAGTGTATCATTTTATAATATTTCCTGCAAAATGATATTAAAAGAGATGTGTTCAATCACTTATTTTCATTCTAACATTAAGCGTTTAATCATCAATACTGAGCGAAAATGTTGACAAAATCAACGTGACGTAAAGATTCGTATGGCAATAGTAAAGAAACATGAATATATTTTATTTTTAAACTTATGCCAATATTCTAAAAGTAAAATGTAAAATTTTCAGATAATTTTCCAATTTTTCGAAGTAAAAAAAAAAAAATTAAAAATTTAGACACACTAATATTGAACCACCAATGTTTACTTTACGCTCACTTTGACGATATTCTATAATATTTCATCGAAAGATTTTTCGGTTGATGTATTACAGTGAACTTACTCTCTCATTGATATGTATATCAATAAAACGCGAATTATTTGAATTTTTTACATTATTATATTATTTCTCGAGAGTTTTTCAAAAAAAAAAAAAAAAAACGAATTAATGTATACAAATTACTAACGGGTTGAGTTTCGTAACCGAATCATAAACTTTCGCGGCGAAAAGTAGCGCAGAAGACTTTTAAGCGCAGTTACGGAAAGTTTTATACGCAGCACCATATTCTCGACACTTTGACTCTAGTAATGACTTTGTAAAATTTACATGAACGATACATTATACAAAATAGTACCGACACGGACACGAAATAAATCTCTAAAACCGTTTTTCTTTTTTAGAGCGATGCTTAAAATTCAACTTTTATTTTGTGTTTAGCATTTTAAACGTATAAGCGATGTGTTTAAAATTCATTTTTAAAAATATTGTTTAGGCGCCTTGTCAAATTGTTCTACATTTTACTGAAAAATCACATATAAAAAACATTCAAGAACAAGTCAATAATAATTTTTAAGGATGCTAACAGCAACTGATACAATTATATTATATAAATGATTTCCATTTTATCTAAATACTATGATGTTTTTGTAATACATCAGCCGACATAATAAATCGTTATTGAGATTGAAAAACCTGTTTAATTTTCGGCAACCGGTTTAAATATCCTCAAACGTTTTTCCGCTAAATATTAAATCTTTAATAACTGGTATATGTTTTTTTCGTAACCTAATTTATTTTTTTTTAGATATTAATAAGCCAAATGCATAGTAGAATCAATTGAGCGCAGATAAATACGATAAGTAAAAACTAAACTTGAGTTTCGTTATATCGGAGATAGGCAATATATTTAATATTCGAAGAAGGGCCGTGTTAAGAAGAGCGATGTGGGTATATTCTCTGATATATCTCTGATAAGTTTTTTAAAACTACAGAGCACCCGGCTTAAAAGTAAAACGCGGAATATTACTGAAGTTATACTGAATGCACGGGTATTAGAATTAAATTGAAATTTAAATATTATAATGGTTGCAAGGTGATGAATGGTTTTAACACACTAGTGTACTGCATGGTTTATTAACGATAAGGTAATCGACGTAGTACATAAATATTATAATTATAAACACCGAACATGAGTTATATTATTATGAGCGAAGGCAGCCCGTGTGCCGTTTCTTATAAACGAATCGAAATATTCGCGCTGTGATTATAAGTATTGTAGAACCGTTTATTCGATACCTACAATGTTTGAACGTTTATAAACGCATGTGGTATCATTGGATCTAACAAAACGCCCTAATCTTTCCTATTACAAGTCTGAATATAATATATTATAAATGGTACTGGCCTTGACTTGCTTGAAGCTCCAGGCTCAGATATAAAGAGTGATAAAATCGAGATGTGGTGATTGATATGTATCAATAAATCATTTGCTGTGATCAAATACGACGTAGAAACCTCTAACTAATAGCATAAGGCAATACACATAAGAAGTTGTCGCTTAGGGATAAGACTGTAACAAACTCTACTCCTTGATCACCTAGAGAAGACTGGCACATGTAAACAAGTGTCTCTTGCTAGCTCGATAATCAAATGGTGATTTAGAATCTGATGCAAACTACTGGTGTACACACTACAGTTAGTTTCAGAAAGTAAACACGGATTAATGTATATCATAAATAAAGTGTTGCGATGGAAGAGTTTTATAAATAATACTTTTCAAATTGTATAAAAATTAAAATACAGATACAAATGCATTCATTAATAAAGTATTTTAAAGGTGTTTGAATTAATTTTAAGAAAAAATATTTAATACATATAAATACTCGGCATGTATTAAAATACTTCTCAAATACTATTTTAATTTGACTTAATAATTAATTCAAATGGAGTTGCAAAATTAGTTTTGAAATTTCTAACATAAAATTCAATATTCAACTATTGAAGTACCTGTTATTAGAACTTTGTAACACTTACTTTATTTTACAGTGAATAATAATAATCAATAAATAAGAAGAATATTAATTCAAAAATAATTTAATACTTTGAATGATATAAATAATTTTTAATGAAATATGAATTATAAATTGATCATTCCATAATCATTTCGAACTTTTTTTATTGCATTTAAACAGCATGGTTTTTTTTAAGTGTATTGTATAAAAATGTTTGTTGTAAGCCTCACATAGTAATTTAATTTCGGTTTCATTCGTTAATATGCTAATCGGTCACTTCAAATCATAAAATACAAATTATAGTGTATCATTATATTAGTTTCAATTTAAAATAAGAAGACGGCATTTTAAAACTATAATTAAAAACAGTCTTGATATGGAAGTATTTGAAATTCAAACAAAAATACATCCAAGACAGTATTTAAAAAGTATTTTAAATACTAAATTCAAAAAATATTTAAATATATTTACATAAATTATTTTAATCAAACACTTTACAAGCCTACAATGCAACTATCAGTTTTAGGTATATTGTGGATAGGAAACTCCGTATGCAGTCCGCCTTAACTACTGTATAGGTGTAGAGAAAGATGATAAGTACAGTATCCCGCATTCGATTCTGAAACCACCGTTCTGTATAAATAAATAGACAAGGAAGAGGAAGATAGGAAAGATTGAGCAAAAAAAGACACTTTGGGCGAACGCAAAAAAAAATTCCTTGCTTTTACGAATACGCGCCTGGCTTTTTTATAAGCTTTTGGTATGTCCTACATCGATGCTTCCCTCCCTTCTGACACGGTTGATCGAGTGTAATGCCTCAGGTGGTGAACAACCTGGGTATTTAATCATGTATTTTAATTTGTCTGGAGTAAAGGAATTTCTTATGTACCGTGTCTAGACAACTGTTAATCGCTTTGTTTTGCACTACTTTGTTTTATTACAAAATCAAATATTAAATAAATTTCACATATTTATTATTAAAGTTATCACGTCTGTTAAATCAATTTCATTCAATAATACATATGATAAAATTGTAAGAAAAAACAACAAAGTTAGTGCGAACCAACCTCCCAAATCGTTCCACAAGTAATGTCTTAAGATGGGACACTTAAAAATTGTTTTTCCTGATCGCCAAATGGAGTAATAATGAAGCACTGATTTGAAGTGATTTTCACGTCAGTCCATTTGCTAACACATTTCTACCACAACCGCGGAAAATCTTTTTCCGAAGATATTTTGCCGATAACCTGTTATTATTCACTTATCCTTGAAAATATCGGGTACTTCTTTACCAGTTGTAACGCAAATGCATACATTCATAAGATGTGAGAAATTTTTCCAATCCGATCAACCGGATGCGTCTGGCGTAATAAATCGATGCGATATTTTCGTTTGAGTTCCGACATAAGCGACTGGACGCAACGGACGAAGAAACATTTGTTAATTGTCAAATGTCATATTATATGATTTCCTATTCTTCCGTACCAAAACGTATGAGCGACGTACTAACCACGTCAAATTTATTTATCTTTTGAACATTTTTACTAAAATGTATGAGTTTTTTTTTTTTTTTGCACAATAGTATTCGCCATTGTAATTGATTATAATTTTATATTTCGTAAATTTATATGAGACTTATTTATATAATATTTGAATTGCGCCGTGATCCATTTAAAATATTCGTCGTCAATATTTTACAAAACTTATAGCGTAATGTACGTCCAGGGTAAAAGTTGAAATATATTTTACATTTTAATACAGTGGTCACCACTTATAGTGTTCACTGGTTATACGAATCAACCGCTTATAGTGATCAGAAATACCAGGAACGAAACAAACAGTTGTTATCAGTATATATTTCGTCGCTTACTGTGTTCAGATTTTCGGTTATAGTGATTAGAAGTAGTCATATCAGAAATAGAAATTATACAATAATACACAAAAAAAAGACAAATATAACGATTATTAATTAATGAACCTAATTTAATTTAATGTTAATGTAACCCACCTAAAGTCCCCCATAAACTGTCAGTCTTAACTGTCAATTACTTTGATTGTCATTCAAGAATGACTCTATATGTGTACGACTGATAATGATTGACAGACTGACAAACAAATTGTATAACTGATGGAATTCAAACCAGTGGCGCAACTTGTGGGTAAATTGGCAAAGTGAAATTTCGGGAACCTGATAAATCTATAAAAAAAAAAAACAGACGAACATCATGAACTTTTTTGAAAGAACCTATAAAAACTTATGTATGTATGTATGTATATATGTAAAATAATTTATTTTTCCCATATTTTTTACCATATTTTTTCCCATATTTCTTTATAAAAGAAATTAATTAATTACACGAAAATTACCCGACAAGATATTAAACAGTATACTATTAAACGAGTTGAACTTTTTTTTTTTTTTTTTGTATCACAAATTTGTATACAAAACAGACTAATATACACGATAGTTAATACGATATAAAACTGTATAAATGATGTTAACTGAAATCTATTTTACTCGTAGAATCTTTGTCGATAATTACTGGACCGCGAAATAAAATAAAACAGTAATCTATGTATTTACACCGGGTCCAAGATGGTTTATCGTAAACTTTATTGGCGAGTTCATTGATAACAATATGATCATCTTAAGATCAATAAATTAAATATTATCCTTACGTTCCTTAATTCATCAGTGACGGCATCAGCGGTGGCATCACTGATAACAACCATGTCTAATCCACCACATCGCATCGACCGACTTGTAAACAAAGTGAGTGATAATGCCTTTTTATATGCTACCGTTGCCATCACGGCTGAATTAAGGAAACATAATAAAGTATAAAATAATGCAATATAGAGATAACATTTTTCCTGTGTCCTGTGTCCCTTCTTTTGTTATATGTGAATTTTCGACCCGATTACAAAATAATAATAATTTATAATATTGTAAACACATACTGGTTATTCCATCAAGATATGATCGTTGCGATACCTCAGAAAGTATTAACTACTTTCAGAATTTTTTTTTCGACAAACCGACTGCCTCCCTATTATTTTCAAATGACAATCTATATTTAAAGTTCTGTACATGTACGGAGTATTAGTTTAAATACGTTTTTAAAACAAAAAGTAGGTGTCGTTTTGTCCACGAAAATAATAGTGACAAAAAATAATTATTGTATAGCACTAATTTTTTAAATTATAGAAACAAAAAAAATTACGAAAAAAATTAATAGGTACTTTCCAACATATCGCAATGATTGTATCCTCGTGCTGTATGCCCTGTATATTGATAACATGTTGTTTTAATGCGATACACGTTTTTACAGCCATTTTAAACTCGAAGCCGAAATCGCGTCCATGACGTGGAAAATCAATTATAAAGACATCATCAGAATACCGTCGGAAGGTTTTAAAACGAGCATGATGAGCCTCATTCAAAGAAGAAACAGCCAGCGGGTAAACGGAATCATTATAAATTGTATTGTGTTTTATGAGATAGGTGAGGAATACGGTACGAAAATGCGAACGGTCTGACCAAACACGAACGGACACGTTCGTTTGTCTTTTATCGGTAGGCGATAAAGACACGAACGATCAAAAAAATCGTGGACGTTTACCGTACGCACGAGTTACGAACGAACGAGCGTACGGTGTAAAATGGCAGAACGTCTACTGGATTCGCGTTCGGAATGCGTTCGTGCCCGTTCGTTCACGTCCGGAACGTAACCCGAATGCATTTTAAGGAAAATTGAGGGTATTGCATGCGTATAATATTATAATACATTTTCGTTTAATAATAATCGAATTATTTCCCGCGGTGTACATTTTCCGATTCACACTGTTTACGGGACCGGGGGAATGTTCTCCAATCGAAAAATATTTAGGTAATATTATGTCCTACACATTCTATTAAAACACCTAAATGACGACGCTGATATTCTCTAAAAATCTTTCAAATATTCTTCTTATATCCTCTTAAGAATTAAAAAATATGCAAAATAAACCAATATAGATTTTTTTTTTTTTTTCAAAATCATGAAAAAATTATAGTTGTTAAATGATTCGAAAATAATTTTTTCCAGATATCTTATTATAATTAAAAAAAAAAAACAAATTAGTTTTTTTCTAAAAATTTACACAATATTCAAAAATATGCTAAATATACTAAATGGCATATTATGCAAAGAAAATGTCCCATAAACTCTGTGGTGGACGAATCGCCTGCATGTTTTACCCTTGTAAAAAAAAAAAACCGCGTATTTTATTAAAAATGTACAAAATACGGAATCTAATAATAACAAACATGCCGTAATAATTCGACTGCGCCCTCCGGACCAAACGAGCATTAAACGAGGGCCTTAAATGATAGCTTAAAATGATTTTAATTGAAGTACGATAAAAGACGGGTTGAAATTCACCGTGTTATTGCGGGATGAGGGCCGTTTTTTTTTTTTTTGTATTGTTTTAAACACTTCTAAAGGCCCCCAAATGAAGCCAAAGAAACGAAATTATTATATACTCGTACACGCACGATAGCTTAAGTGTCAATTTTGTGCTATTTGAGGGTTTCAAATTTTAACACCTGGGCCAATCAAATTTTATTCTTTTAGTTGTTTAGTATTAAATATATGGTATTTTGTTATTATAGTATTCGAAATTTGTTGTTGTTTTACGTAACATATAATATTTCTATAGCATAAATAAATTCCAACCCGGAGATTCGACCCTTATATAGTGACGAAGCTTTAAAAGGTCGAGGTTGTTTTTTTTGTTTTCGTTTAATTTTAATTTTTTGTCTAATTAATTTGATGTCAGCTACTAAATAGCTGATTTTTCGTGATTTTAACCGTTATTTGTTCGTGATTTTATTTTTATAAAACAGGACAGAAAAAACACTAGGAAATTGCATATAGATTAATGAAATCACGAAAATATATTATTGTAAAAACCATAGGTACTGCGTCTAGAAAATTACAATAAAGTTATGCCATGTTGTATATCGGGTTTCTACAATTATTTCTTCCTGATACCAAAAAGCAAAAATCGATTTTCAAAACTAACGACTCGGCAATGTTCTTAACATATATTATCGTTTTATTGGCAATTTTTTTATTTTTTGTCGGTTTCGTCTCATTGTATTAAATAAAAATACGAAGAAAATTGCAAAACATAACCTTCACTGCAAGAAATCTTCTAAGGAAAAATATACACTCAAATTCCAATAAACATTATTTATTCTTCGTACCGGGGGGAAAGTAAAAAAACACGTTAAACGTTGTCATCGAGACTCGGTGCGAAAAAAAAGTAACTACTAATAACTGCCCCATTTACCTGTTTATTGTGTTAAAAGAAATAAAATCCGTGAGAAAAAAACGAATACATTTCCCAGATCACTACAGTTTTATAACTTTCGATATTTTTATTCAATATTTTAATTTTATCGCTCGTGTTCAACAACATTATAATAATAATGTCGGGTATGTATACAGGACGAACACGGCGACGATCTTCCCAAGAGAAGAAAGCCTTTCCGATTTTCCATATTTTATTTTATCTCCTTGATTTTCAAACGACCGCGTCGACGAAGATGCGCCTCTAAACGCCGTGAAACTAGCAGTGGACAACCGCCAGATGAGGCAAGTGAAGCACAACCTCATCTATAATAGTTTTCTTACTATAGTAGATGAACTTATTATGTTGTAAATGCCATCTTTAAAATAAACACTGTTCAATACAGTTAGTTACTGATAACAGCGGTAAATCAAAATTAACTAATAATAGTTATAATAATAATGACAATAACAATAATAATAATATTAATAATAATAATAATAATGATAATCGTGCATTATTTTATATTCTGAAGGTATATTTCACGTCTCTCTAAATTAGCATTCGTCTCCTTCTTGTAATCTAATCTAACCTAACAATATTTGCCTCGCCACCAGCAAGGCTTGCGAAACTGCGGAAAATTTACATAAGAAAGTTCGATAGTAGAATATGGAGGACAATTAATGGATCAACAAGAGAAGCACACGGAAGATGAAATTTCACTAACGGATAATTACGAAAAAAAAAAAATACGTACATCAGTCGTAAATTTCATACGAAGAATCAAGGTGGTACAATATGCAGAATGGAGCCGTATAACTACGGACAATACACCTAGGAATCGGCGTAGGATATTTGAATGGACGGATAGATGGATCTATTAGTTTTACTGTGACGTGTGGTTTTGTATTTTTTGTGTTTGTAGAAAACTTTTCTACCAGAAATCTTGGTACAATGTCTACACAGTGTAGCATCTTTTCAGACAGGTGATTTTTATCTAACTGGTGCATAGAGTCTTCCCTAGGTTATTCTTTGGTTTTTCAAGGGGTTTTCGAAATAATATGGATAAATCCGGTACAAAATTTATTATAGGTGAAACGCAAATATTTACGGCGTGCCGCGGCGTTACCGATTTCATTGTTTTTAATGTTTGCAACTTATATATTCTTCTACCAGCAATATTGTTTCAATCAAATAATGACAAGATATCTTTTTAATATATAGCCATTGTCAAAGAAAGCCGTTTTTTGATATTTAAATTATTATTCATAATAATTAAAAAAAACTGAAAAACACGAAGAATGAAAGGGAAAATTTACAAAAAATAATTCATTCATTATTTTAAATTCTTTTTTTCTAATGTAATTCAGTAAAAAATATTCGTAAGAAATTGGTTTTTCTAGACGCGGTGAAATTCCCAAAACTTTCAAGTCTTTTTTTTTTGAGCTTTTTACAGACATTTTAATTTATTAGGTTTTTTATGTAATTTTTATTCAGTAAGTACCTACTCTACAGATAAAATTGTTAGACTAAACAGAAATGCTTGAAATTTTTACAGGAAGTTCATTATAAATCTTATTTAAAGTCTTTCAAAACAAATATTGAATGTAATATAGTATTTTTTTTTTTTTTTTACATGAGTTTTATTACACATTTTGACAAAAATCTTAAATATTGCGGCCTTTCAAAACTTGTGTAACCGAATTTCGCTCCAAATTGTTTTTCGTTTACAGCAATTTATCGTTGGTTAAAGGTATAAATTAAATAACTTTATGAGCCCCACTTTCTCAAATATTCACCTACAACAGTAGCCACACATGTCTCCAGTATCGGCTGTTTTCGTTTTCTTTTTTTTTTTTTGTGGCATCGTTGACGGTTTGGAAACCGTGTTATCAATACTTCCGATCTGCCACCATAGTTTGTTGATGTAATAGAAGAACAAGAGTAGATAGAAGTAATTCTGGGTTAAGAACAAAATGGAGGGTGGTTGTAAGGGTAGCAAAAATTCCAAAAAAAGAAGGTATCATAATAATGTTTTCCATTTGGCTATAGTATTTGGGAGGATGCAACTGTAGGCAATTTTAAAGAATCTTTTGAGATATTTTTGAATATGTATATAATTAAACAAAAACAGAACACATTTAAATACAAAATCTTGATTAAAAAGTTCATCAATGATCATATAATTATTCTCTAAATAATAAATAAATTGTTTTTTTTTTTTTTTTATACAGATTTAAAGTTTAAATACCAATAAACTTCATAAAAACCACGACAAATACTAAATAATTGTGTATAGATGTCTTATTATTTTTTTATTTTATTTTATAAATTCGCTTTTCCGCGCCTTTCACGCAACTCAGAAATTCGACACCACCCTCTGACCACTATCATCGTCAACACTCGGGCTATCTGATGATCGGAAAATAGTTTCGAAAACTTGTCCAAAAGCCGCGATAAATAAAAATAAACTTGAACAGAAAGTTTCCCTGTATTGTAACGGAATTCTCCAGGGACGAAATTTCACCAACAAAACTTACGACATAGATACTTACCGAAATTTTAATTTCGTTTTTTTGTTTTGTTTTTTTAGCCATCCGTAATATCGGACGATATCGGGAGTATGATAAGCCAATGTGAATACGGACGTCAAATGTTTAGCCAAACGGCGTTTTACAAAGTAAGTATATACTAAGTATAATTACCGTTCTTACTCCAAATTATATTTTGTAATAATCACTGTTATACAATAGTTTTTATTTATTATTTATTTATTTTATTCAAGATATAATAATGCAAATTAAAATATAATATTATAACATACTTGCGTATATGGTAAAGCAATATGATATTATAACGATTTAATAACTAATTCTTAATTTCTACTAATATAATATTCCAAAGATTTTCAAAAACGATATAAAGAAAATTATATACAATACAAATACAAGTTATTATTATCCGATACCTATTATTCGAAATGTGTATTCTTAATTGTAGCACAGTTTCAATTTTATAAATCATCTGCGGGTGTATAGTTTAAAAAATACCAACAATGACGAACAAGAGACGTCGAGTTGTTAACCTAACCGGAGTATGTTATTTATATAGTCCGGTCACATTTAAAAACATGAAAGATTCATTCGCTTTCTTTTGCTTAGGTCTTAATCGGACCATTTAGGTTATCCGTCGCTTCAACCATTTATTCTCATTTATGCTCACGTAGGTATCTAGTTTAGCGTTTATCTTGATCATTGGTCAGATCTGTTCATACTGAGTCAATCCATATCTTGCCGCGAAATTTTCCTGATAGTCTTGTTCGGGTTTCCTACCTTTTACTAACCAGAAAATTGCACGTATACTCGGTCAATTGTGTATTATAATTCGATTTTTCCTATTTCGAGTTTTCCTAAATACATAATTTCCTTAGTGTATAGTTGACCCTGCGCTCGATAAATAGTAGAGGTACGAGAAGAATACAAGTCTGAATGTCTATTCGAGTTTTTAGTGTTGTAGCAATAATCGTGTAAAGTTTGTAGGCTAAACATGATATAATAATAATAATATCTCATAAGTCGTAAACGTTAAAAGTTTCACTTTGAATAATTTGCTACGATCAGACGCTTTGTATGATTAATTTGAGTTTGAATGGCGAACACGACCTTTATGTACATAAATATTTGCCATAACTATTTGACCGGCCGGATAGACGCTAAAGGTGTGAATACAATAATATTTTCTTATTGTAATTTATCGTTTGACCGGAATTCGCTAAGAAAAAGAGTTTCACGTCCATTGGTGAAATGGACAGTATATTGCATTTTCGATTCTTATTGTAGCTTAAAAGCTATTAGTATTACTAAAATGTGTATTTAAAAAAAACTTCGAAAATACTTTTCGAGTTAATAACAATTATTCCATTTTTTTTTCATGCTGTACGTTAAGAGATGAGGAATTGCCTTATTGCGGCACTTTATTTGAAAGACATGCTTTTAAAGACCGTTTTTCTATGTAAATCGAATGTCCGTTTTCTTGGTGCTCCACACAGAATCGTTTTTCGATTACAACGCTATAACCTATACCTTTCGAGCTTTTAACGGACTATAGAGATATACCAATTTCTCGGAGTACGTTTAGCATTTTATACTTGTTTTTAGAATTTTTTGGAAGCGTCCCAGTTTTTCGGTTGAACATTCGAAAATCGTCACCACACTCATGCCTTACGGACGGTGAAGCGATTTATTTTTTAAGGGGGATAGTCAATGTTAAACATCAATGATTTAAAAAAATAACCATCTCCTTAAACAGCTTTAGGTGCTGCTTTGATATGCACCCAAAATTGCATACCTACTTCGGTGATCTTCTATAATCGATCTAATATAAGTATCATACACGTATGATACTTCTATGAGAACTATGCACGATCTAAAATACCATATTTTACACAGTTAATTAGCTTGCCTTGTAAAGTGATTAGAATACGATCATTCATCTTTTTGTTAGCAGTTTCCTACATGGCATTGGTAAAGGACTCTGAAAACACATTTCCAAACATTACGAATATAATTTGAATATAACCTATAAAAAACTATACTGTCCTATTTGTCGTTTTTGGTTAAATAATCAAAAATCAAAAAAGGTAGAAGAATTAACATTTTACAAAATTGTAGCAATAAAAAAAAAAAAAAAAGGTTGTGAGCAGATCCTTTAATACATAAATAAATTTAAAATGACTGAACTTTTTGTTAGAAATAAGTATTAAGTCTTAATCATAAATGTTATTAATTGATTATGAGTAGAGCTGTGAATTTAATGCACTAAAAACACCTTAAAAAATGCAATAAATATGCACTTAAAATGCAAATTATGCGCTGAAATACCAAAAATTGTATTATAAAATGCACTTTACATGGTTTAAATTAATTTTTTTAATAAAAAAAATTATAAAAATGTTGATTAAATTTAAACTTTGGTTTTGAAGTTGATTGATTCTTTAATAATTCTATTCGCCTGAAACATTTTTTAAAATTTTTTTTATGTATTTATTTTGTTCGAAAAAAAAATCTTTTCATAGATACTAATTGACGGACTTTGATCAAAATTACCAGAAAATGAAATAAAAAAGGAAAATTTGACCTAAAAAGGCAAAACAATAACCTGATAAAAAACATCAAAAATGTAAAATACAATTTTAAAAAACGGATTTGTTGTTGCATAATTCAAATTATAAACATACAAAGCTACGTTTCTCAATCATTTCCATGCAACTAAGTCTTAAATTTAACCTATTTATTACATAAACATAAAAATTATTTGCAATTTAATTTTATAGTATTTTATTTTAAAAATCATTATACATATATAATTATATTAACAATTAAATGTTAATAATATAGTAATTACTTTGTACCATATTAAAAGTATTGGTAATTATATTATTTGCGCTTTTGAAAACCTTATACCTCAACTTTAAACTTTCTATTTGTTAAACAGATTTTAAAGAACAGCGCTGAATATTAGTGGTAAGTTTAATAAATGACATTAGGGGGGAATAGTATATCACTGGATCCCACGATTTCTCTCCGTTTTATTTTCTGTGTTTTGTTTACTTTAAACTAGATTAAAAACCGAACAAGTGTTACTTACTATTACTTTAAATAAAGTAAATCAAAGAATTCAATTATGTTTGAAAAATTAAAATTGGGCGACTGGAAATGGCTAAATTCTCCGAATTATTAATCTAAAACTACGTTATATTTGTCCGTAAAACCGGTCTCCCTCAAATAAGTATCGAAATACTAGTATAAATCATATCATTAAGGCTATTAATCTTAAAAGGTAAAGATAATTTTCAAATTTTATAAAATTTTAAATACTATAGAAAATTATTCCCGACCTCCGCAACTTCATTAACGTAGTTCATTATTAAAAATTGAATTTTTTTTTGTGGGAGGGAACGTTCTTAACATAATCGTGACACATAGGTACAAAAAGTAGGTACATTATGTCTCGGATTATTTTTATCATTTAATATTTATTTATTTTATTTGAATATCAACACCACAAGGCCGCATAATACAGATTGATAACGAATACAGTCATACCGTATTATATAGTATGGATAATATTATAAGGAGAAAATGTACAACAAAAAATTACTTAAATACATTATTAACGTACAATTATGTAAAACAATAAGTACAATACCGTCAGGACCTGAAGAGAGTTTTGGTTTAAGTAAGGGTAATACATCAAAAATATCAGTGAACAAAATGTCAATATAATTTAAGTTAACCAAACCAGAGGGAGATGTGGTATCAGATTAGTTAGGAGGGTTAGATAGGCCATGAACCGATTTAAAGAATGAAGCAAAAAGATTATGACCATTATCAAGCGAGCACTTCCTCACTGAGCATGCCGCCGTATTGCCGGACAAACAGTATACGGATTGCCACAATAGTACCATCGTCGAATTCGGGTTCGGGGTCGGCCCAGTCAACAATGGTCCCCTCCGGGACAACCAGTCCTTGGCTTCCACGGCCGTGGCTCGTGATTCGTAGTCTAGAAAACAGAAGCTCCGATTCATGGTTGGGTTCTTGAAGTTCTTGCAAGTGATCACGTGGACCAGTCCGGGCGTTTTTCGTTTAAACTCCGCGCATATGTCCCATTCCGTCTTGGCGTTTGGCAGCTTGCCCACGAACAGCCTGTGCGGACCGTGGTCCCGGTCCCGGTGTTCAGTTCTGATCCAGATCCCGTCTCTAGTCTTGGTTATTGAATAATAAATAAGAAATTGACAAAGTTAATGAATTAAAATTAACTTAGTTTAACAACATATGTTATTTATTAACTCGTAATATACATATCTATGAAGTCTATCTGAATAATTTATATAGCTTACTTGAAAATATTTAACTAGCTACTTGTAAATATTTATCTAGATAAGTCAAAAAACGAGTAAAATGTTATTGAGGTAAAAACCGAAAACTACGAGGAAGCAAAACTTAAAAAAATATAGTATTAATTTATGTCTAGAAACTTATAGAAACAGATATTTAGAAGTGAATACTACAAATAAAACGCGAATAAATGCATATCGAATTAAGTTAATTATACGTGCTTCCAAAAAGGGCTACTGTGCTTTAGAAAAGTTGTTTCAGTCAGAATTCCTTTCTAGGCGATCGATATGTAACGCTAGTTCTTATATGTTTCCTGCGTATTATATAAAATATTGTGGATGATAGACTACAAAAGGAGCCGAAAAAAAATGTCTTGTTTTGAAAGAAGAGATCTTAATATACACGAGGAACTAATAGAGCAGTCTACCGAATTCCTCGAAAACCCTTTATGAATGCTTACCTTATGAACAAGCCATATTTGAAAGTTGAACGGCATTTCGAAGAAAACCTCAATAGCCGGTAGGAAAGATGAAAAAAAAACAACCGAAAGTTTCACCGGCGGCGGATTAAAATACTCACCACCTATAAGCAAAGAAAAAATATCTCATATCCCTTATTACTCCTTCAATTCATACATATTTTTTTATCTTTTAAACCATATTTGATATACATAATAATTAATACAAAGACGAAAAACCGTACACATTATAAAGTGCAAACTATTAATATCGTTACCTCAGAAAGTCAAAATTTAACATACACAATAAAAATCATTTTAATTCAATATTGTTGTTTATTGTTATAAAATTTAAAAAAAAAAATGAATACTCAAAATATCATGTAAAATCGAATTTTAATTTGGCGCTTATCGAATGAATCAAATTTGTGGCTGATCAAACAATTTTTATTATTTTTAATTCATTTGAAGTACCAAGGTGTGTAGCAACTATATTTGTTGTGTTTATTCTGAGATTCTTTACCGACACCATATAAATTAAACAAGTTTTCCAATGAAACTCTTGGTGTTTTACGTCAATTTTCAATAAAATTATACAAAATCATCGTAAGTATTTTCATATGCCCTCATTTATCAAGGGTATAGCTTTAACTAAACTAGAGTAATCAAAAGACTGTGTAATAACCGGTTTCAGTTTGATACTTCAGAGTTGATAAGACTACTTAATTGTTGACCGTGGACTAACCAGTTTTTAAACAAAACGAGAATATGTGTTATAAAGTCGTTTTCTTAAAAATGAACACAAATAATACCGGAGTTTATTTAGTCTTGCGTACTAATAAATACTTTAACCAAAGACCTTCTCGCACTTCTCTTCCGTATCGTTCGGGGCCAGCCTTAAGTATAATTTACAATTTACTGCCTTGGCGTATTTGCTTCACTGGCCTAATTACTAATATTGATGATCAAACGCATATACAATGTATATATATCTATGTTAGCATGTACAACAGTAGTTATCAAGGGTAAAATTTCTGAGATAGTTGTTTGTGGTAAAATAAAGTAATTAATTAATTAATTTTCCTATTCTTTCTTTTATAAATTGAAAATTTGATGCCTTTAATTTTGTATTCTATAATCGCCTGCATAGACTATTGTAGGTAAACCTACCACTGAGTGTCGCCCTAAAAAGTGTTAAAAAGACAAAGAGAGATACTGATTATTTCAAATGCACTCGGTAAAATAACAATTGAGAAAATCTTGGAGTAAAGAAATGGGAAATATAACAAAGGCAGAGAAAGTCATTCGATGAACATGAGAACTCAAAATGTAAAAAGAAGAATGTTTTTTATCAAAATGTTTTTTTGTCGACGGGGATGTTGTACTCAAAGTGTACAATTTCGAAATTTGATTAAATCGTTTAAATTAGTGACGTCGACTGAAATTGTAATACATCTTGAACTACTCAAAAACGAGATACTAGCAGCACAGTATTCTCATTGTCTGATCTCTCCATTGTATTTTCGCTTTGATTCTGTCGAGTAGCTTTTTCCCACAGTTATTGCAACTCCGACTGTAAAAGACAGTGTCTTGATTAAACCCGAATTTATTTTTGACGTAGTTGGCTGTTTCCATTTTACTGTCGGTGTGCTAAAGAAGTTTTAAAAGATTGATTTTGTTCGGTATCAGATTCCGAGTTTAACAAGAAAGCTTTTAGTCTTACAATGACACATCTTTTTCTCTCAGAAAAATCCTGTTACAGTTAGTAAACATATTCTGATTTTTTTAACGGCATGTCTTAAAAGATGCGAAATTTCTGATCGATGGTACTTTATTTGATACATTTATCGCATTTTCTAGTAGTTCGTCTCCAAAGTCTTTTTTGTATTGTGTCAGTTTGGTTTATTTTTCGGTTACCTTGACAACAAGGGAAAACACTACCCATACTAATTCACTCAAAATCGTTCTTTATTTTCTTCATTGCTTCATCGTTGCACACAGTATGTGACCTAAATTTCCCTGTATAGTTTATCTTCCTAATTCTCCGTTTACAAAAGCTATCTTACTGTGAACAGTATCAGGTATCAATGGCCATTTTTTTTATTTTTTTTTTTTATTTACACTTTGATCTAGGTATAAATAATTTTTTTTCGGATACTTTGATCTATATTTTTTTATTCACCCCGAACGAAAGAAAAGAAATGTACCTACGTATATAAAATGGATTTATGGCATATATTTATTATTACTATGATTCAACGGCGAATGCTTTTTTGAGTGGAAAAAAAAAGCTCGCGTATTATTGTAGTTCTTCAATCCATTAGAAAGTATACACAAACAAAGATGGCTTGGTGCGTAAAAACTGAATTTTTTTTTACCACACGTACACCGGAAATATAATATTGAAATACATTTTTGCGACCATAATAATAATATATATTCGTTTCGCTACATAATATCTCGTATTAAATCGTCTATCGCGTATTGAACTATTATCTGCAGATCTTTAAAAAGATAACTTTTAATAGTATTTTGAGTTCAAATACGGATATTGTTTTAAAAGAATACGGCGTAATTACTTGGCTACAAAAATATTGGTTGAATTACTATTTTTTATTTACTTTCATTATTATTTAATACCAGCACTAGTAAAAGTTTAAAATCCGTTTAATATCTAACGAGATGTAACACGATACGTTTCAATTTCAAAACTTATTTCAAAAATTGATTTATAAAACTTGTTTAAATAAATATTTGACTTAAAATACAAATACTTTTACTCAAATACGTCAAAGTCCGTTAATTGTTGTTATTTTTTAAACTCGAATTATTTTATCAATTAAATACGGTCGAAAATGTATAAAATACAAGACTCGAATAAATATTTTTATTTGTACTTAAATCTATAGTTTTAAGAAAAATAAAATGATTTGAAAAAATAGAGGTTTCTTTTTTGTTTTAGTTGGTTTATATGATAAAAATTACAAAAACCCATGGAAAAAAACCGCAAATTTGTCCATCATGTATTATAGATAAGAAAGAGAAAAGAAAAAAGAGAAGTGCGGAAGGTCTTTGGTTAGAGTATGTATTAGTACGCAAGACTAAATAAACTCCGGTATTATTTGTGTTCATTTTTAAGAAAACGAATTTATAGCACATATTCTCGTTTTGTTTAAAAACTGGTTAGTCCACGGTCAACAATTAAGTAGTCTTATCAACTCTGAAGTATCAAACTGAAACCGGTTAGCACACAGTTTTTTGATTACTTTAGTTTGGTTAAAGCTATACACTTGATAAATGAAGGCATATGAAAATACTTTCGATGATTTTGTATACTTTTTTTTAAAATTGACGTAAAACACCAACAGTTATTCAAAGGAAAACTTGTTTTATTTATATGGTGTCGGTAAAGAATCTCAGAATTTACACAATAAATATTGTTGCTATACACCTTGGTACTTCAAATTACTTAAAAATAATAAAAATTGTTTGATTAGCCACAAATTTGGTTCATTCGAACAAGCGCCAATGTAAAATTCGATTTTGCATGACATTTTAAGGATTTTTTTTAGATTAAAGGTCATTTTTTTAAATAAAAGCACTTGAGTGAGAAAAAACTTAAGAAAACGTACAATTTCACAATATCATTATCTTTCAATACACGGACAATATTTTTTACCAAAAAACAAAATTTAATTGAATAATCACAATACACCTTATTTGTTACCTTTTTAATTTACTTTCTTATAGTGTCATCTTCAAAACTTTTAAGCTACTTTTGAGCTACTAAAAAATTTAAATTTTTGGGATTTTTTTGCTATTATTCGATTATAGATACACGTAGAGACTTGAAATTTAATAAAAATACTTAAATTGGACTTATCTAGATGCGGTAAAATTTACAACAGTGGCCGCACCCATCCCTAGTATCAGCTCTTTTTTTTATTATGATTATCTTTGTCATGGAAATCCTAATAATCTCTTTTTTTAATCGTGCTACATTATGAGTTGTCTAGGCACTCTATTATATCTTTTGTAAAGCCTTTTCTTTCGTAACTTTTTATAAAAATGAACTACAAATATAGCTTTTTATAGTCCATTTGTGAGCATGTATACATAGCAACATATCAGATGTCCTGATGCCTATATTAAAGTTATTGTTTTGAACGAGATAAATGTTGATAACGAATTTCAGGGCGTATGTTGGTAGTAAGAACATCGTTCTCCGTTGGATTTTATTATTTCGGAACTGCGTTCCGTTCGCCGTCAAGCTTTGTCGACTGTATAGTTTTTAAGGGAGTTTTTTTTTTTTTTTTTTAATGTCTTTTCTTTTTCGACATTCACCATTCGGGAGATGGCTATTATTATTATTATTATTATATATGTATATTATGTACCGGAATCGTCATTCGTCAACGGTCCGATCGATAATTCGCTTTAATGTGCGGCGCGTGATGTAGACGGACTTTTGCTATTGTTCCATTTTATATTGTTGTATCTCGTACATATATATATATATAATAATAATAATACAGTTTGCGCGATCTATGATATAATATAATATATTTTGTTATAAGCGTGTGTATGTATATATACATATATATTTATATTCTCTTTGTGCGTCTTAATTAATTTTCAGCTCGTCACTTGGGTAAATTAAGTCGTATATAATATTTACTAACGCCGTTTATTAACCGTGCCAACTATTATTTCCACAACGGTCGAGACTCGTATACTATTATATACGTATAACGGACGTATGAATCCGCGCGTGATCATCGGGAAAAGTAAATAGCCGACAACGCCCCCATCGCAATAAAACGTCTCAGCCGATAACAGTCATTAGAAAAAAAAAAAAAAAACGCTACTAATAACCTTTACCGTCACTGCTTCGCGTTTATTGGGCTGTCACGTGTATTATACAGGGTGATTTACCTCGTCGTTGTAACTCTACAGAAACTTTATTGTACACATCGTATATAATATACAGGTAGTATAAAAGAAACGGCGTAATCGTACTACCTACGTATATATTACGTATATTACCTGCACTACGGCCTGTGCGTTTTTCTCGGTCTTAAATCTTTCGGTCGATCGGCTGCAACTCTCCGTGATGTTTTTCTGTCAAAAATCAAATCCTATTCAACTCTCGACGACTACTATTATCATTCCCGTATACGAATTCGCTATCGGCCGCGTCTACTTGGAATATTACCGTCGCTACGTTTGACCGGGGTCAAACACGTCGTATACGGCTTACGGCCCTAAAAAATTTTGTCTAAAAAACGTCCGAGATTTATAGAAATACGAGTATATATTAATTTTAAAACTACTGTGGGTCGTTTATTCGCCCGACAGTTGGGGCATTTTATCGTCCGCTCGTAAATAAAAGTTGCCTGAAATCTGTAAAGGACCTATGGTCTATTTCTGTCAGTGATTTGAATGCTTCAGTTTCACTTGATTATTTCATCTAGACGTGATAAACATCTAGATTAAATATACAATAAATACACCCCGGGTATTTTGATGTGTAAAATATTATCAATTTAATATTTTGGATACATTTAAATTAGTCTAGGCTAAAATCGAACTTATTTGTTTACGGTCTGCAAAGTACTTAATCCGGTTACACGTATAACCTTTAACAATCCACTTCAATAAACTATCATGGCGGAGCATATGACATATGATATTATTTTCTCATCGGAGATTTTTTTTTTTTATAATTTGCCAAAGTTAGTATTTTTATTAGTTGTACATTTTAAATGTCATTGTACGTACAATAATTCTGAAAGTTGATACTTAAATGGATTTTAGGATATTCCAATACGGCTTTATTTATTAGGATTTTTAATTGGCACAAAGGATTTGTTTTAGTTTAAAAATGTTTCACCTATTTTTCCCCTCTCGATTTTGCGGTCAATACTTTTTTGAGGCGATAAAACGCGTTCGGGTCCAAAATTTTACAATACAATACAATGTTAATCGAACGCAAGTGGTGCTTTTAGACAAGTCACTTTTTATTTCTATGCGATACTCAAATAACAATGCTACAAAAAAAATTTAAGTTTTAATTGTTTTAATTGTTAGTTTTGTTGTGGTCCGAATTTCTAATGACGAATTTGAACTTCAAAACCATGGATTTTCTATCATTGGTAACACAATTGTTAAACTATACGTTTTTGGTTATTTATCAACAGTTTCAACCAGATGGTGAGTTGTCACCAAGCTTCAGACAAGTTCTTAAATATTATATAATTTGTTGATAAAACAATTTTAAAAACACATCTATTCTCATTCTTTGTGAATCAGAAGTTTATGTTTTTATTTTTTATTATAGTCACGGTATAAAAGAACAACATTAAATATTTCCTTCTTTTTTTTTAAAAATGTTCAACAAACATTTTTTTTATCGACTTTAAATGCAATCTTTTATAGAGTCTTATCTAAGTACGGTTCCCAAAGGACCGGCGGCCGTAGCACACCAACATTCTCCGTGATGACGCCAAAGGCATACCCACCACGAAACTTCAAACTATTATATAAATATTCTTAAAAGATAATCATTTTTTTTTTTTTTTTTATGACTTGAAAAACATATGTCACACAATTTTATTACGCTGTAGGTGTAAATGACAGACAAAGATAAAATAGACGAACCGCAATCAATTTTTTCTCTATTTATATCACAACACTGTGTATCAACTGACTTTTACGCTACTTGTGGTTTAATTTGGCGTCATATTTTCTACTGCGATAATATTATTATTTCCATTAGAACCATTAGAAATTGTAGTAGCTGCTTTCAACCATTGGCTTAACCCTCAATTGTCTCTTGTACCGATATTGGAGTACAAGTTGTACGCCGATTTAGTGCCCTTGATAAATTGCTCGATATCAGTCTATATTTGTCCACGGCGTAGGGTCGTGCGACGTTTTCGGACTTTACATTTAAAATTAACGCATATTCCGTCGGTATTTATTATTGATCATTCCGTTAAAGGCGATTTTATGCCCGATTTTCGATATAGTGTTGTGTAGACATCGAATCAAAGGAATTACGCCGAAAACCGATAAAAAAATAAAGGAATTACCTACATCCACCCCCTGAGTATTTTGAACAGCTCGTGAAAATATACAACGACTAAAAGACTGGAATCGTATACATCTGAATATTCATGAGTGTATAGCGTACGCATGTTCATAAGGGTTTGCAATGTGAGCGTTTCAAATCAAACCGATTTTATAGATTAAACTTTAATTCATATATTCGAAGGGTAAAGAAATATTTCGTTATCAACACATATAATTTTTACATTTTATATACACCATTTTAGTAAATTTATGTACTATTTCCTTTTTCCAAATTTAAACAGTTTATACAGTAATTTACAATTTATACGACAGTTAAATGTGTTAATCAACAACTAGTTTCACACATGGAAAAAGTTTTTATTATCGAAAATAATTTTTCTTAATTTAATACAAATAATTATTTTTTCTTCTAATGGTCTGTATGCAAAGAAATAATACTGTACGATAGTTACTACGGTTTACGGCAATACCACTTCTGTGACGTTTACACGACTTCACGACCAAATATTTATCTTGTTGGTTGCTATAAATGTTTGTTAATTGATATAATATATGAATATTTTCAATTTTATAATTGATAATTTAATAATACTAACCGTTTAAAAATAAATACGCACTGTGTGTTGCATATATGTAAATAATAAATAAATGTCGATTTGTTTAATTTCCAAGTGATAAATTTTTCGATGAATTTAATTGCGTATTTTGGATAATTATAGCGTATATTAGTGCCGATTTGGTTATTTCATTGTGTTTTTCAAATTTTTAGTGAATATTTTCCTGGTACTTACAGATGACAAATCGGCTTTTCGTTTACAATTTAGACAAAATACTACGTAGATTTTCAAATTAAACACCGCCGAGTTGTAATTGTTTTTTTATACCTAGGAACTTAAAATTATTGAATTTTTAAAATTTGTCTTATACTTACAGGGCAATAAAGTTGCGCTGAAAACGTTAAAGAGATCACGTTTGGAATTAAAACGTCCGCTTCTCCTGGAATTTAAAAGGGTAAGTTTTTTGTATCACGTACACTAATATGATAATAATAATATGCTTTTTTATTTATGTATAATTTTCACTCGCATGTCTTCGCGATGCTTAATTAACTGTGTAGTACCTGCCGTCGTGCACATGTTGGTATTTGTTTTTTTTAATAACGCCTTTACGTTCCAAGAAGCGCGGTTGATCTTTCACATAGTTATTTTGTCTCATATTTTCATATAAAATATACGCAAGACGTGCTTACCTACTTACCTATTCAAATAATAATTACATTCTTTTTTTCGTCAGAAAAATACTGAATGATTTTTTTTTTATCATGAACCAGTAATTTTCTCAGAGAATTCCACGTGAATTTTATTTCAATGTGGAATCATTTATTCTTTTTTTAAATTCCATTTTTAGATTTTAACCCTACTCCGTATACCTTTAATAAATATATACTTTTTTTCAAATAAAAATCCCCCTTTTTGAATACAAATCCGAATAGAGAATACTTTTCTAGACATTTTGTTATTCAAAACACTATTATTAGAATTATCGTTTGTGAATTATAAGTTTATAACTGTTTTAAGTATACACTGAAGGAGTAGGGAAGGATAATAAATTGCATATCTATGTTTAAATTATAAACTAATAGTTATTCTATACTCCTCCGGTCTAAACTTTAAACGGTTATAACTCATAGATGGTAAATCTGATATTAATATTATATCGCATATTAAAATTTTTAAAAAGGTATTCTCTATTCGAATTTGTATTTAAAAGTGGATTCCTGTTTGAAAAATGTATGAATACTTAGTTAAAGTGTGTGGAAAAATTAAAAATATGATTTTAAAATAAAACTTAAACGATTCCACAATGATAAAAAAAAACCCCCAGGAATCAAATTTACTTAAAATTATCCGAGAAAATTGCTGGTTCGTTATAAAAAAAAATCAACCTTTATAAGTAATCTTTTACTAAAGAAATGTTATCATCACCTCAGTAAAAAATTTACCCCACCCCAACGCATCAATCAAATTTTTCCAATAAAAAGATGGTCCTTTTGTTAAATTCCACCAGTGAAGTTTTACTCCCTGATAGTTTACTGATGGGGTATAATTTTCTAGCAAACAGTTACCGGGTGGAGAGTCATAAATATTCACAAACGAAATTTTACTAGAGGGGTTTTTATTTTCATTTTTTTCAAACATTTTCTACATCAAAATCGAAATACTTTTTGCCGAATATAAACTTTAACAGCCGTTTAACATAAATTTAAATCGCTTCATAAAAATAAATTTCGTTTCTATTTGGCAAAAGCCGTTGGAAATATTTCGGAAGAATTGTATATTATACATCGTTTCAGCTCAAGGATTTGCACCATGATCATTTGGTTAGATTCTACGGTGCGTGCGTGGAAGCCAATTATTGCTGTTTGCTGACAGAGTACTGTCCAAAAGGAAGTTTACAGGACATACTGGAAAATGATCAAATAAAACTCGACTGGATGTTCCGGTACAGTTTGATGCACGACATCATCAAAGTAAATATAAAATACCGATCTATATTATATATTTTTAGTGGTTTCTGTCGTATTATTATAAGTAAACCTGGGATTTCAATGAACTCTGCATTGTTTTACAAAGCTTGCACAAATTATAATTTTTTAAAAATGCAAAATAAAATGTCTTGACAATTTTTATTTTAAAATACTTTTTGATTCATTATTTTAAATTTTTAGAACATTTTCGGAATTTTAAGGGGCATCATATTCCCAGCCTCAATACTATTATTACATTGTTTTCAGAGTGACTTAAGACAATCAACTCCAAATTTATTAACCACAAGTATAATTTTCATCGGGAGACTACATATCATTGTAAAAACGTTTTAGGCCACTTTTGTACAGAAATAATAATAGGCACCTTTATAATACGATGTCTATAATAAACCGATCGAATAAAGGACAAAGATCCAGACTTGAATTTAGGTTTTTTTTTATCTTTCTAGTTCGTAGTTAGGTACATTTGGAAAAATTGCGACTTTAATATTATGTAGGCAAACCGGTAAAAATGAACTCCACTGTGAATCGTTTTTCAATTGGTATTTTATCATTGCATACAGCATGGTTGTTTAAAATTTTAAACTAAATATCTTACAACGGCGATCTACCAACGATAGGTGTGCAAAGTATTTTCATTCGTAATTTTTAAATTTTTTTTTTCAAATTTATTTCTGCGGTATTCCTGGATTGCACGGGTAGAAAAAAAATGTTATTAATGTTATTGCGTATTATCATTTAAGTACACTCTTATGGTTGTCAAGGGAAACAGCGCTGTGTATCGGAAAGAAAGGGGAGGCGTACTCCGGTAGTAAAATATTATAATCCTGTTGCGCGCATCATACCGCATTTAATTTTGGACAGTATATAATATACGAGTATTTTAATAGCTCCCTGTGACCGCATCATTATTTTGTAATCTTGTTTTATTACCAGAGTATCCGGATATTGCACACGTAGTACCACTGGTTGATTTTCCCAGGAATAGAGGTAATAGAGGGGATGGGGGGGGAATCAAATGCCTTCTCTCTTGATCTATACTTTTGTTTAAATACGTATAGCATATAATCATTAGTCGTCATATAACACATTTTACTACCTATTGAATATAAAAAAAATTCGATTCGACCATACTAATATTGTTTTAACAATTATTTCGTTTTCATAATACTATAATATCGGTACTTTCAACCAGGGTTGTAAACCAGTTACAATATTATTAGGCATAATACTATATTAATATTATGCCTTCTTTAATGATATTATATCACAGTAGTGTAGGGGTCCCCGGCAAAATATCTTATAAATATTTTATTACATAAAGTTTATTTTTTTTTTAATGAAGTACCTTAAATCAACCTAAACGACGAAACAATGGAAAGCCTCCAACGTCCGTAACCTAAGCCTAACTCACATTTCACCTGGGCAGAACATATAAAAATCAAACGTACCATCCTAAACTTCAGAAAAAAATCACTGTATTATTTGCTAGCTAATCACTTTAAACTCGATCTTAAAACCATAATACTAATTTATAAGCAACTTTTCGTACCTATCTGGCATCTGGATTCAAAACATCTAGCTATGGGGTGCGGCCAAATTGTCAAATTTAAATAGAATACAGAGATTCCAATCGATCACCTTGCGTATGGTAACTAAGGGACCTTTCAATGTATCTGATTATACACTTCACACAGATCTAAATATCAAAACTGTTCCGGAAATATCCTCAATTAAGTATAAACGTTATTGTTCACGATTAGAAAACCACTGTAACCCATTAGTTTCAGCACTTGACTTAGACTCAATACCTGGGAATCCCTAAAAGAGGCTTAATAGACGATTATGTCGCGATCTGAACTTTTAAATCAATATAAATTGTAGCTGCTAGGTTCCTCCATTTATCAAGTGACTCGTGTCAATATTATTATTATCATAGCACATATTCTTATTTTAAAATTAGTTTACAGATTGTATATATAAAAAAAAAAAAACAAAGTTAAAATATATTAGCGTACACATCATTATAAAATAACTTCGAATTTATATTTAAATAACAACTAATGAAAATAAAATAAATGTATACTGTGTGTGTATACAATGGCGTATTTATATAAGTGCTAAGAGGGCTTCATCCCTTTATATTTTTCGTGTTGTATACAAAAAATACTAATAATATAAAAATTATTCAGCATTGACTGATTATTATTAATAATAATCATCGCATACTACTAATGCAAATAAATACCAATATATTTTTCTGCATAATTATGTATATTGGAGAACAATTTTTTTTGGTTTAACCGCTCTCATTGAAAAATCCTTGATACGTTACTGTATGTGTTTATCTAATACAATTATCAATAACCACCTCTGTATGTTACCGAAATAGGCCCACGAAAAACCAAAAAAAGGAATACAACTACACTAAAAGAAATCATTTTGTATGTGCAAAACGCACATTCTTCGAATCGAATATATCGGATATTACAAAAAAATAAGTACCGATATACTGGTTTTTGATGTATTATTGAAGTCCGTGTCAGTTAGACATGACCCGTGAAAAGAAACTCCCTTTAACGCATATAAATGGACACCTTTAGAAAAATAATACTTTTTTTTTTACTGAAAACCATTCCTGTATATTTAATGTATGGTTTTATAGCTAGAGATGGTTTTCTTTTCTCTACCGATAATAGTTGATTTTTTTTCTAAACAATATTCTGCCAGGGAGAAACAATTTTCAAATAGAATAGGTACTTTTTGGTATGACTAAAAGTGGCGAACCTAGTTCCATTAATGCGTTCACTCCTTCACATTTTAACCAGTCCCGGCATTGGTTCAAGCTATTTTTTTTTTTTGTTCTATAGTACACACTAACCGGACACAGCTATCGTGTCTGCGAAATTCCATATGATATCCGTTTCGATTTTTCAGGGAATGATCTATTTGCACAGCAGTGACATCCGTTCTCACGGTGGTCTCAAATCGAGCAACTGCGTAGTGGACAGCCGATTCGTTTTAAAAATCGCCGATTTCGGGATAAGAAGCCTCCGAGGAAACCCGGAAGAATCCAACAGCGATAGCGATTCGCACGCCTACTGGAAAGGTTTGAGTTATTTTTTTAAAATTGATCATGATTAAATAACGATATTATGAATCTTACTTTATCTCTACATTAAACTTCGACCTAAATCGTGTAGATGAATATTCGGTATGTCTCAGTTTTAATATGGACGATGACATGTATAATAATAATAATAATAATAAGACGATAATAATAATATTAATAAGCCTATGTATCGAAAAAATATGTCAAAAATTGAAATTAAATTTTTTTTTTTAACTCGTGATGTAAGATAGAGTGAAACTAGTTGTTAAAATGTTGGTATATTAAATTTTTGTAATTATGTATTATGAACTCGTATCATAATATATTAGGCCATTTTTATAAAGTAATTTCTTAAATACGTACAAATATAAAACGTTTCAGTCGCACTATCAAAATGTAATAACATGCCATTAGGTAGGACAAATTGTTATAATTAAAGATTATAGTTTACATTTTTAGTTATTATTATTTAAAAAAAAAATCAAAATAATAAAAGGTATAATAAGGTTCGTTGCAATTTAAAAAGAAAATTTACCAACTAAATTACTTTTATTAAGAATAATAAAAAAGGGTAGGTACATCGTTATTTACACTGATTAAACATGCAAGATAAAAAACACAAGTGGAAATAACGATAATGGAATTTGTTTCTTCGGGCCATGATTGAAAGTACAAAATATTTCTGCTGTAACAACTAATTCGCGAAACAACAACTATATACTCGCTCTCCCTTAAAGCTGAGAGAAATTGCGAAAAAAAATATCAATTATACATACTGTTTCTAAACGATGACCGTGTAATATAACAAATACAATAAAAAAAAAAGAGACACCGAGTGATGTTTAAAACTTAATAAAAATGTTGAAGTACTTGCGCGAACCCATAAACATCGTTTACGAAGTCTGTAAGTACCGATATGTAATTAAAACTTTGACATTTAAAATCTCGCACGTAAGATAAATACGACAACGTGAAACAGTATCCATGTTTTTCCGTCAAAATTAAAGGAATAATAAAGGATCTCTCGTCTTGACCTTTTCGTTCGAGGACATTAAAATAAACATCGTGATTAATGATTGTTGAATAGAGTATCTATTATCCAAGGAGACAAAGACTAAAAAGATATTAAATACCTGTTTTAGAATTTATTATCAATTCTACCGTTACGAATGTTACGATTTTTATAGAAAGTGGCGCACCGTCAAATATCTCCCGAAAATAGTAGCATTTAAAATATATATAATACTTTATTTATTTAAAAATATTTAAGTCGCTCCTTTGGATCACTTCGAATATTTCCATCTGGACCAAATGAGCTCAAATTCGAGAATTAATTTTGTTTAAACAAGCGGTTTGAACTATTGAAATGATAAAAGTGAGCGTAAATTTCAATTTTATTTTGAACATGTATGGGGATGTTTATTTAGCTTTCAACACCCAGTTAGATCCACCAAATAAAGCTAAGTTGATGAAATTTCATTTGGATACGTGTATTGCGTTTTCATCGAGAATGTGCCTTTTTAGCCTATTAACTTACGACCATTGTCCTCCACCATTTCTATTTGCTATTCTATCACTATAATTTGCATTAATTATTATATGAATATAGTATATTATAGTATTTATTCGATTCAAGTGACGCAGATCTGATGCTGATAGGTGTTTTTCCTTACCGTCCATATAAAATACACCTTACCTTGTATTATAATATATACTATGATTTACATAATATATACGTGTGCAAACTCATATCTCTATGTGTTTATGTTGTGCCGACCAAAACCATTTTCCGGATTTCCGTTCAACGGTGAAAATAATATTTTGCGTTTTCGCCAGACCGATAAGCGAGTGAAAATATCTTCGCCGGCGTGGTCGTAAAACTCCTGGGAGTTTTGTCCGCTTACAGCGTCCGATACCTAGGCACTATTATTATAGCCTAGGATCACAGAGAGGTCCGTTATGGAATCGTTTTATCGGGTCGACGAACGTCGTGTCGTTTGATATACGACACGCATAAAATGTCGTTTTATTTAAACCATGCAGCGATATATTATGATAATATTATATGCTATATATGTTCACCTGTAGCACGACTTTTTGCTATAATATACGAGTGTTATACGACCCTGTTGTTTTCAAACGCATTCATTTTGGCTATTCCGCTCTAGATAAATTTGACAAAATCTAAATCGCATGGTCTGTATATGGTGGTTTCTTACCCAATAAAATAATTATGTCGAGGAATAAATTATGTAATATCATTTATATCAATTTTACGAGCTGACATATGAAATTTCAAATCGTCGAGTACACATTTTTGAAATTATTTTTTTCCACCAAACAGGAAATTTACAGGACTCTGGTCGTGTTCGATTTATAAAGCATCTGTAAATAAACTACCCACAATATATAGAAAAAATTCTTATTCTTGTTCTTATTACTTATTCTTCGAAGAGCATTTTCCAAAATATTTTGGAACATTTAAAACAAAAAATAAAAATTATAACAACCATTTATCACTAATTTATTTTGTTACAATAACGGATAGGAGCAGTTGACACAAAATGATTAAATACTTTTGAGAACTTCAAAAAGCAGTTTAAAATTAAAATATAAAAAATATATTTATCATAATAGATAGTGATGTAAATTTAAAACAAATATTTAGGTTAAGGTCGTGTTCATGAACATAATGGTGCAATGGTTTGATTAGTTATCAAAGTTGTTTAGCGTTATCAAATAATAAATATGTTTTAATTTATGTGTCAATCGCTGTTAATGTTTAAATATACCTATCCGTTAATTCTGCAACACTATACTTACAAGTTACAGAACCATTATTTGTTTATAGAACCAAATTATCCATATATTTACAGACTGTTGTTTACTAAACCTAAATGGAGGAAAAACTCGCTCGAATAATTTAAGAAAAAAACAAATATTGTAAGTTTCGTTCTTCCTCGCTTCGTTCGATTTCCCCGGAATTCACAAGGACCCGACGAAGGCAAAATATTATATTAACACTGCCTGTGACTTCCAAGCGATTAACTATAATATACACTCATCTCGAACGTCGGACAAAAGTCCACTTATCGACGATATTATTTTACAGTACAATATTGTTTTAGAATGAAAAACAAAAACATGAAGAACAATATGCTGTCGAGTTAATAAAGGAGCTGTGAAGGGGGGAACAATTTGTTTGAACGATTAAGAGAATATTATACCGAACGATATTCAATAATAACGTTCAGTACTGTATTATATACGAATTCTCGTAAAATAAAAATTCGTGATTTCGAACGAGAAAATAACAATTTTATCGTTATCACTGCGATAATTTAATAAAATTCGAAGCAAAGTTATACAATAGATTCGATTTAATACTGAATCTCGACGTTTATACAAAATATGATTACACATCGTAAAATTAACGTATCGGTAAGTTTACAGCAACAATGATAGGTGTGTACACTTTTGAAGGAAAAATAAAGATTTCGTCGAGAGAAGTTGTACAATTAAATTTCTTTCAAACGGTTTACCAAAATAATTTGGTATCAGTAAGATAAAAATAAAGAAATAAAACCGCAACAGCACACGTTACCAAAAGTGTTTTGTACGACAGTTTTAGAATATAATATTCGAGTGAGAATAATATTATTACCTACGTATTGCGAGAAATAGTGTCATACTATTTTAATTCGTATATGTATTAATTCTGAAACGATTCTAACCCAAAAATATGATATTACCAAATGAAACGACGAATGTTTTAATTTTTCCTATCATTTTTTAACGCTTAACACGGCTCTTCCCAGCTTCGATTAATTTCCTCGGTCCAACAAGATGAAATGAGTTATCCAGGTTTGCTGTTAATATTAATTTGCTAAGTCTTCATTCACTTGACCCGGTCTCCGTTTCCGGGATCCCTCGTTGTCTACCAGCAGAATTTATTATTACATTTTACAATTTGTAGATTTAAAAAAAACGATAAAAAAATCTGGCCAATGCTTATTTTCGAATGATTTATAAGAAATGTTGCGAGTATAATTAGATCTATAATCAAACCAGAACACCATTTGCCAATTATACGAAATGTTATACTGTATACGCATCAATTATGTTCAGTTTCGTTCAGATCCGATCAACATGGTCGATTCCGATCCGGACCGATCCTAACTTCCAGATCTACTGGTTTTCTCATTTCGTATTCACTGGTTGTCTGGAGTCTGAATATTTCCATACACACCCATATATCCATAGTAAAAGTCCGAAAACGGTATATTTTGTGTCGCACAATATAATATTATTCTTTCGAGGATTTATTATCATCGAATTTTCCTTTCGTATATCATAATAATAACAATAATGTATACGATAAGTGTACTTATAGTTTATATATATATATATTGGTTTTTGAGGCGTTTAGGGTGAGAAAACGATATTCGCCCAGGGCCCAGAAAATACGAGTATATGTCTTAATCCGGTTCTTCTGAAATATAGCCCCCGTGCATTTCGTTGCGAGAACACACGCTGAGCACGCCCAACGCGCCACGTAAGCCAAATTACAAAAATGGCACGTGAACGTTTTATTGAGTTTTCTATACGAGTTTAGTACTATATAATAATAATATATTACGAAAAACCGAAAAATGGCGAAGATAAAAAAAAAATCCCGTATTATTCTAGATTGTCTACTATATTCGTATGTAATATTTCTAGTGGGAAACCCGCTATTACTACTACTAATAATAATAATATAACTGCTACCTTCTTTTCCCCAACAAGAAATCGGAAAATCAAATAAATATTGGCGGTAATTCAGTATTAATATCGTTGGAACTGTGGTATTAGGTCGAAAATAAAAATTTAAAAAACAGTCCAACTCGACGCGTATAGATTTAAAATTCAAAAGCCCCGTCTGGCCCGGATTAATATTTAAAGATCCTCCAGCCCAAAGCTCATACCGAATCCAGTCCGAGCCAAGTCGGACCCTTTCTAGTCCTTTAGTTTCGTATGAAAAAATAATCATGCAAATCATTATCCGCCTATAATATTCTGGAACTCCGTAGACCGAGATCGTTAAACATTTTAATAATACATAAAAGAAAAATATTTCAGATTTCGCATTTTATCAAAATATTAAAATAATTAAAATTAACTTGGTTATAAAAACAATAATAATAATAATAAAACAATCATCGTATACGAGACGTTTATTGGAAATGATTTCCATAAAATAAATTTTAACTAAGCGCTTGTTGATTATGCACAATCCCGGCAATCGAATTTTGGCAAACGACCAAAAACAAAAAAACAACTTAACTATCTCTCCACTGCACTACACCGACGACGTCGGAATTTTTGTTTATTTCTAATGAGCTTTACGATTATACTTTGAGTCCTTTATACGCTCACCAATCACGAAATAAGTGTCAATTTACAAAAAAAAAAAATCAAATTTCAGTGGAAAATGTTTTGAGAAAAATACATATTGTTTATATATTTACATTCTTTAGTACGATATTTCATATAGGCAGATAAAAAAAAAAAAAAATATTACGTTTAACGTTAAAGTTGTCCACTATACGGACGGGTTTAAATTATTATACCGGAATAATCGTTATTGATTATCGTGTAATCAATATACCCACGATAAATGTTCAAAAGGCTGCATTTTTTTTTGCAATAAAATGTTTTTTTTGTTTTTTTTTTTAATAAGCACAGTTTCACGATAAACACGAACGGTTTGCATTTCGTAAAATTAATAATTCGTTTTTAATACATTTCGCGATACATATACTTTTAGTCGGTTAATATTAACCAATAATATTATTATAAGTTAAATCGATTTGAAAATCAGCTTGAAAAAAAAAAGTTATTATTCTGATTATAACTTTAGTTTCAACGAAATAAAATGCCTTTTTCTTTTTTTTTACCAATGTAATTATACTAATTAATAACTAACGTAAGTCGTATGTATATTCACTATTGAAACGAGACGTAGTCGTAGTCAGATGTCCTCCGAGTATTCGATTTTTTTTTACCGATTTCACAATCACTTAGAAAGTAATTTTTGATACAATAAAAACATACTTGTCGAAAGTATATTACTGTTTTCGATTTGTCAGGTGTATATTCATTGTTCAACCAACAACTCATATTATTTAAAATTGAATGAATTGGCTATCATTGCACACCATGTCAAAATTACAAATTGTATATTAATGACGCGATGGTTAAAATGTCCAGGTAAAAAAACAATGTCTTGTACATAATGCATGTCCAAATACTTTAATTGTCCAAACATCAATAACTAATAATAATGAAATAAATTTCAAAATTTAGACACATTGAACATAAAATGTTCAAATTATCATAAAAACATAAACTTATACATTATTATAGTGATTATAATGGATTTAGTAGCGATTTAGTTTCCGATAACAATTATCATCCAATGTAATAAATGATAACAGTAATGGTTAAAAACGAATTAATATGTTGATCAGATTGAATAACTTATTAATTTGATTAATAATACTTACTTTTAGACATTTATTTGAGCACCAGTCTAATAACTATATATAATTTATAATAACGACTCCTATTTTATTTTTTTTTAACTTAAAAAGGTTTTTTTTTTTATCATTCGGACGACGTGTTACTTTCTCGTTGATTCAATTACTCAATTAACTAGGTAACTCTATAAATTATTACTAAATTGTTACGCAAGTCGAGATGAACTCCGTAGTAAAATAATTCCGAGCTCCACTATACGTGCCCGGCCGGTACCGAGAGCCGAGGCGTATAGTTAATTATTCTAATTCACAGACAATGGTCAAAGCTGTTTCAGTCTTCACGCAAATTGATTTACAACTTTACCACCTTAGTTCACATTTCGCAGCACCCTCCGAAATTAAATTACGGTATTACATTACATAGGTATGCTAATGTTCGTCCGTCCGTTGTAATCGAATTCGAGTTTATATAGATTAACTTACTGTTCGTTAGCGTTATACGAGAGGACCACGTACACCATGTCATCGTAATTAAGAAATATGCCAATTTTGTTAGGTAGATATATGATATAATTTTGATTGGAGAAACTGTAGAGAAAATTATAATTGCCTTGAAGAGTGGAATCATCACAAGAAGTAAGGAGATTGAAGATTTGTAAAAATAAAACAGAGTACATTATAGATTTTGTTGTTAATCAAATATTGATAATGGATTGGGTTAGTTATGACGATGGCTGAAGACGAAATAGGTGAGTTCATCGTGAGGTTTAAGCGTTTAGGATAATATTTTCCGAACAACAGTGGATTTTAAGATGATGGGATTGGCGTTGTTTTCACTTTGCCTACGTCTTTCATTCTTCGATACGTGACTAACAGAATATACAAACACACTGCATCACCTAACACGTCCATTTTCGTTTAATGTACATAAAATATTTCGCGTTGACTCGCGTCCATGTGGACCTAACCTTATACTGCAGTTTTCCCTATTAAATTGGATAGTGAAAAATCAATAAACTGTAGTTCTAATGTTATAATATATATTATGATTGTATGGTCAGCATTTTCGGAGACATGTTATATTTTGTTAATTTTTTTTTTTTTTGAATTGGAGTGTGGGGAGTTACTATATGCATTTTAAAACCAATAGTTATTTAGTAACATTTTATTGTATTTTATAATAACGAGGGTTTAAATATGTTCTAAATGAAATATTGTATTCGATGATTTTGTAGGTAATGTCTGGAAAGACCGAAATCAAATTTACTCGACATTTTATCTTAGTATCGCTCTGTATAAATGAACGTAATAGTCCATCCTCCGGCGTTGCTCTTTGACTGTGCTATTTTATTCGGTTAGACTAACAATATTGACGGGATATTAATGCGAGACTCTCTTTGTTTTCGTTGTGTATACGTATAAAATATGTAAAATAAAATGAAACGTATACAACGACGACAACGGTCGGAAAAGAATAATATTATTTCTTCTCTTCGCACATAACTTCAACCAACCCCCCCCCCCGCCCACAAGGCAAATTGATACTAGACGAACATCCTTTACACATCTACACTCCTTGGCGTTATCTCGGTTTTCTATTATTATTGTTATTTACTCCTGTTTAATTTATTTTTCCACGCGCGATAATAATATTAATATAAACGACGACGGCGTCCGTAATAATATTATGGAATCGTTTATTATCCGGTCGAAACAACGCGCGCATCGAGTTTGAATAGAATTATTTTAAGCTGTACACAATATTGGTGTAATAATATTATTACGACTAGAATGCGCGTCGTGATTTGAATTAAACGCCCATTCAAACGTCTTGATGCCGCCTTCGGTTCGCGCGTCGTTTTTTGAACATTTCGCGTTTTCAAAACACAGGTAAGTTCATAATACTTTATGCACGTCGTAAAACCGCACCAAAATTAAAATAGAAACGCCTCTCTTAGCTCAAATTTTACGGTTTTTACAATCGAATTTTCGAATTGGCGTATAGACTTTAAAGAAAGAAAAAAAATCTCCCAGCGAACAACAGGCGTACAAGTCCGATTAACACGTTTAGTGTTAACGTCTAGAGTATACACGTAACAAGTTAAATAATTCCGATTTAGGAGTTTGCCGTTTCTACGGTTCTTCCGGTTCGTTTCTTAAATAACTCAGGAATAAATAATATCGCGCACAAACCACCGGATTTCGTACACAAACGGTTACCCTGAGAATGATGTTAAAGTTCCAATTTTGGAGAGAGATTACAGAAATGCACCCGACGCAACCCTAAGCACAATAATAGTGAATGATGTCACACGACGATAATACGCATAATATGTTATAGCCTGTCGGGTCGCTAGATTGTGCACGCGTATGAAAAAGGTCGCGGCCGGTCCGTTTCTAATCGAATTTCCCGGAAGAAATTATATATATACACATCCAACGGTAGAATAATGTACATATTTATTATGTAGAAGTTTTTTTTTCATTTTTTTTTTTTTTTAGGAGACCGTACGGGATCGGGGGAATGACTTTTTGATGGCGATCCGAGTTTTTCTTTTATAAAATTATTATTAACATTACGTTACGCCGGGCAAGTCCGAGGCGAATTATTGTTCGTGACGGCTCTGATGATTTTGCCGAACCCTATTTCGCCGCAAGATATACGAGTACAATATACCTATACATATAAATATAGGTACACCTAACTCGTCCGACGTGAGTTGTTATTTTTTTTTTCTCGACGGTCAGCTGATGAAAAGTTTAGTGCGTACGAACACGACAAGCGGAGAATTTACGATTTTCGTTTTACCCCTATAGGTATATAACGTAATAATGCGCGGTTTACGAGACGGGAGGCCCGCAAACGTTATTAAGTATTCATTTCGAGTGAGGAGAAAAAACGACACGAATAACGAGTGTTGGCCCGCAGACGTTTGTTCCCGACATCCGATTATTATATCCGAGCAACGTAATAACGTAATATACTTATATATATATATGAAGAAAAACTAATTTACCGAAAACGTCGGTTCTATATAACATAATGTAATAATATAAGAAAACTGCCACTCGGGTTAAAATAACACGAGTACCTTACCTACGAACGATGTTTTAGTTTATCACGAAACAGATCGCGCACACCCACAGTATCTGCAGACGAAGCCTGAAGCTGCGGCTGAGATTTTGCATTTGTTCGGGAAATCGATCGAGAAAATCTCTAAATAGTACGGAACAATAATTCGCTATCCACGTCTGTCCGTTTGGGCGCTCGGTTTTTCTAAACTACACAACGGGTTTTGAAACGATTTTCACTTTCATTTAGAGAATTTCATGCGGAGTGTCCGTACATATATAAAGGTGGATTTACATCAGCTCAGTTGAATTGCGCAAACTAATTTGTGGTATTTTCGTGTAGTCCGTTTATACAAACAGACTGAGTAAATTATTTAGGTTTAGACGTTCAACTATTGACAGACATTTTTGTTCAGTTCTAATTTGACACTGCAGCAAAAATGTCGTCCATTACCGAACAAGAGCTCTGTGTTCCCGCAGTGTGTGTTTGATTGAAAAAAAAAAAAAAAACTTCAAAAAATAAATGAAAATGAAATAAATAAAAATAAGTGATCAAAACAATTGATTGGTAAAAAGACAAAAATGTTCGCACTTTAATTGGTAAATTATTTAGAGAACCAGACGACTTCAGGTACACTATAAACATTAGTATTCTGCAGTTGTTCATGAATACACGACACGAACGTACATGTACGCACATGTACTATATCGTATGATATTTTTTCCAGAGATGCCACAATATTTCATAGAAACTATACCTCATAAGCCACAACAGTATTATTATATTATTAAAAACATTAATTCAATATTTTATACACATTTAAAACTATCACTTTGTCCAAAACGTTTACACATATAGGAAAACTGTGTAACTACTATAGCTGCACAGTTTTTATTCAGGCATCGCCTAAACTTTCACAGTCATAAATCTTGAACTGTGCAGCCATACGATTTTCGATTTACACAAACAGTTAGTTTGCGCAAACTTGATTTGGTGCCGTCCGTTTGCGCAGTTTAACTGAGCGTGTAAACCCACCTTTAGTACGTGATAACTATGTTTATAGACGGTAGAGAAAAGTCGATGGTTTGGTAATCAAGTCATAAACAAAATATTTTCGAGCGCTTATATTGTTAATCAGTGGCGTAGCCAGGATATTCTTTTAGGAGGGCGTTTTTATTTTGTGTTTAGATGTAACTTTGTAACCTTTTTGTGCGTATGTAACACCCATAACACAATTATCAACGCGTAATACATCTTGTAGAAATCTGATGCATAACTGTATATTATTATAGTAAAAATTATAAGTATTGGCATAAATATATTCAAAAAAGGGTGTTTGAACACCAAAACACTCTCTCCCCCTCACTACGCCACTGTTGCTAAATAATGTCCTACAAAATTATGTTCCTTAAAAGTATCTCAAAAAGGCCTACAGAAAAGTACACAGTGGTATATGACGTCTATCGCTTAAAAATATTGTTCACAGTAATTTAAATAATCAGTGAATGTTTGTTTGAATGGATGTGTGGATGCCAAAAACAACTCAATGGATTGAGCTGAACTTTGCATAGATGCAGTTTTAGACCAGGACTAATAATTACCGGCTATGTTGCATAGTTTTTTCACGTGATTCACGTCAAACTCTAAACTCTTGTTTTGTTAGTATATCATGCATATTTTTCGATTTCCCGGATTCGTACACATAACATAAGCTTTCGAGTGAATAGAAAAAAATCTCGCTGAACGGCTTTGCAATAATAAAATTTTAAAAATCGAGTAAAAAGGATACCCCTTGTGTATGCCCGATCAGGAGAAAACGTAAAAATGGTTATCCATTCTACTCGTAAGAAACACGGTGATATTCGTGCCAAGTATATTTACAAAATACAACAATGATACTATAAAATATAAAGAAACGTGTCATTTTCTGCATAAAACTAACACATGCCATTTTTTTTTTTTTTTTTACTTGCCATAGACAGAGTAATGAAATGTGTCAAATGTGTTGGGAGGAGAGAGGTCAAGCCCAGCTAATACAGGCCTTTTTTATTGTACGGAATTTGGTCTAAAATTCTTAATTTGTAGTTTAGGCTTAAATCCCTGAACCCTACTTATTCTTATAGTAGTGACTTCACCTATGAATTATTAATAGAACAATCTAAAAATTAAAATATTAGGACTACAGGACATAAGGTTTCATTTTGTGTTTTTTTTTCTGCAGGATTTCTATGGACTGCTCCCGAAATATTGCGGACGCCAAATCCGTGTCCGGAAGGTACACAGAAAGGCGACGTTTATTCATTTGCCATAATCGTACATGAAATTGTTACAAGACAAGGTCCGTTCTATCTGGGATCGATCGATCCACCGCCACCCAAAAGTAAGTGAACGATATTATATTATTCCGACACAATACTGACTCCGCTATCTGTCGGACGAGTTAATAATACTATTTAGGTTGAGCGCGCAGTCTAACGATTTGCTATTTCGACACACGACAGATTCGACTTTTACCAACTAGAGGGCACTAAGCATACATTATAAGCTTAATTTATTAATTTATAGATAATATTAAGTTTTTTGATGATTAAAGCTGTATTTAGTTTGACAGCCAAATAGTATGCATTAAACATACAAACCATAAGCTATTCGAATCTAATTTGTTATGGTTATTATTATTTACAATATCTATATGAGTATTGTATATTATTGTAGCATATTGTATTATGCATTTATGCCGACCATAATGCAATTTTGAGTTCCCTTATTTGTTTCAATAATATGAGACATGAGTGTTTGTTTCTTTTAACTAACATGTTTAAATAATTTTTAATATTGATGAAGATAATGTAACATTATAAAAACATTAGATATAACAGCGCTTATCACTTACAACCCGTCAAATATACACTAAAAAATAAGCTCTAATAAACTCTTCAAATATGAATAATTAAAAAAAAACGAATAGAATAAAAAAAACAATTACCCACCTAATTAGATTATGAACCATACAATAGTTAAATTTAAAAAAAAATACTTTATTTTTGTAAAAATGTTGATTTTAATTTGATATGAACTTAAGGTAGGCAATATTTTAATGACTAAGATATTAAATTAATTGATTGATTTTTAAATGTAATATATTTTATTGTACATTCAATTCTCTGCCACTAAAAAATGTAGTTTTTAATATTTTTAAAATATTGTCGTTTTGATAAATGTTATTGATAAAAAATTATGCAATAAAAGCTTCCGAAACGCATGAAAATCTAAAGAAAATGTATCATACAATTATTATAGATTTGGCTTTTTCGTAACATGAAACAAATTTTTTTTTAGCTAGCCTTTTTTTACAACTAAGCAAACAAACATACAAATTCTAGAACTTATATGTTCTAATGATATCATAATAATTTAATAACCTAATATTATAATAACTTTTTAATGATGATAATGTGATAATGAACGGATATTTGCTCAGAGATAATCAATTGTGAACCAATGTACCTAAGAGCAAATACATCCAGGCTTCATTAAAAACATAACGTAAAAATAATGGGGACAAGACGGGAAAATTAAAACGCACAAAAGACAAATCCAACCCCAGCCCGAACCGTTAAGTTTCAACGCGCTTCAAACGTCTCTGTTTTTGTTAGAAATTTGACAAAACTAGGAACTTCTTCAAACTTATAAAAGTTGAGATATCTATTAAATAGGCACCGTATTTTTCGGGATTAACAAATAAACACGTGTAGTGGACGGGTGAGACAAACATTTGCTAAAATACCGTAATATTTTCGGAACCTTATCTTGTAATCGAATAAGTTTTTTTGTCTGAATAACACGTCATATAAGCATCATACTGTATGTCTATTGTCTATGTATACGCATGGTACCGTATGTCGATAATAATCTACTCGACTTATTTTCGAGTGAAGAATACCTATCCATTTCGAATAGTAAAATCGTAATTCGTAATAAAGAGTCAACAATTATACTAGACGAATTCGGTTTCTTGTTGTTGTGAAAAATCATTAGTTTTATATTTTGAGTATCACGAATAGCTATACTTAGTAAGCTATATTATACGTAGCTTTTCATACATACGTGCTTATTTTCTCAGAAAATACTTTTGGTTAAATAAAAATACTACGAATTTTTCATGCAGTAATATAAAAGATGTGAATTTCGTTGCCAAATGACACCATTTATATGAACAATTTTTCGAAATTATCATTACTTTTCCAAAAATTGGGTTTTCTTTACATATATTTTTTTTTTTTTTATTTAATACGTTTTTAGTGACTAATTGACCACTATTTAAAACTCACAACAACTTAATTGTTTTTTAAATTTTTACTTTCGATAAACACTTTTTTGATTAGTAAATTTGCAAAAAAATAATTGGTTTAGGTATAAGTACTATAAATAAATAAATATATATATATATATATATATATATATATATATATATATAAATACTATATACTATATACTATGTATACTTAAAATGAGATTCTTTTACTTTAATTGAAACGAAAAATATTTAAATTCCCAAATGTCCATCTATAAAATTAAAAAAAAAAAAAGATTATACATTTTGATTAATTGATTTTATTTATGCTGATTTCTGGTTTACCTATTGGCCATAAAGGGACACAAACACTTACCGCTTTACGAAACTCTTATCAGAATCGTTTTTGATTTCAATTGGGTTACATTCAGTATATAAATTAAATTACCATATACAATATACCCTATACTTTTCAAACATCTTGCCTTCTACGGTAGTCTACTCAAAGTACGACCTACTTATTAAGTATGATTGGCATGATAACCGCATATTTTTTCTCCGTCTTACATACGTGTGACATAGTAAATTATCATTTAGCAGGGACCACATTATGCTGTTTCAATATTAGATTGAATTTACCTATTATTAAAATTGACGATGGGAACATAATCTGTACGACTTTGGTGCATTTTTTTATACTTAAGTTTTTAGTACAGACATGAGTATGTGAAATATCACAATTTATCAATGCTTATATCTTGCTTGAAAATTAAAAATCAAAAAAATATGCCAACATTGCACAGTAATTGCTCTGTCTTTAAATTTGATAGTTGATCAATTCACTCGATTATTAAAACTAACAGCGCAAAGTTGTCCTTGCTGAACTAAAATGTACACGTTTATTAGAACGAAAGAGCATATTCGGGTGTTATATCTTATTAAATTCGTAAAGTTTAAAATATCGCGTTAGGCTTTATTTATATTTTTATTACTTATTACTCGATCGGATTTCCAAAATGTTTTTCGAATCAGAAATCGTAGCTTGCACAACTATTCTTTTATTTCCAAAGGTTTATTGCATTTATAAAATACTCGAGGAAATGAAAAACCCTAACGTTTGGACGAAGATCGAGGATATTGCTTTGTTTATACAATTTCTCCGGAAATTCGTATCGCAATATTTTTAAATAACAAATTCAAAACCATTTCTTATGTATATTTTCAGTTAATTTTTTTTTTCCCATCGTCCTAAAGGAACTACGTCATTTGCTTTTACTTTTTACACAATGCATTTATTACGCGCCGATAATATTATTAGGTAGTTCTCTCAAATAACTCAAAGGGCGTGTCCACCTCTCCTCCCCGTTATCAACGACATCGAGTTCACTATACTACTATTCAATTACAACTGACTAGCGCACAATGTACAGGGATGACTTCAAACAAACAATATACGTCAACATACTTTTGATAAAAATATACTCAAGGTAGACACATATATCATATACCAATAGGTGTATACAAATGTAATGCCAAGAGAATGATACGAACGAATCGGACATTTTACAGAATAAAAATTCTAGTTATAGAAAAACTAACTACTTATAGAGATTAAAATGAAATCCTTAAAAATGTACCCAAAAAAATGAAAGAAGTGCGATAAATTTAGAGAAAAATTTACATTCTTGTAGGATCCATTATTCTAAATATACATATACATTTTGCATTGAAACCCAAATCTAACTAATCGTAAAATTCAATTGACCATAAAAAAATTTTTTTTTTTTTTTGAATATTGAGGTCTACTTTCAAAGTATGGTAAGCTACCAGAAACAAAATAATAATTTCCACCTGAAATCAACTGTAAAATATTTGATTTTCATAATTTATTGTGTTTTATCAGTTGTTGAGTATTGTTTTACTGAAAACATTTAATTTTTTTCCTATAAAAACAAAAACTAAACACTCAAATCAATGCACATAAAATATGTGCAATAATTTAGTTACCGAAAAGAAAAAAAAAATTTACAAATTAATTTAGGCCCATCGCGAGAAATTTTCCGTCTTTCGGCAAATATAATGTCACCTCTTCCATTAAAATCAAAATATAAAGTATTTTAATACATAATTAATATAATGAATGATAACAAATTAATTTGATTGTTGAATTTCTGTAGGTTTCAATAAAAAATTGTGTGAAACTCCCTACTTCGTTATCAATATATTTTTGTTTAGCTTCTCTAATTTTCTTATATTTAAACCCATTAAGTTGTTTCCATGATGTCATGATTAATATAAGAAAATGTTTTTAAATAATGGTCAATCCCAATAATTTTATTAGTCTAAAAATGAACATGAACCCGTGATAAATGTGTTATATAGTAAATATGATAAAATGTTAGATCCAGAGAGAGGGCGCAGGGGGCGCGAACCTCCCTAATTTGGTTGAAAAAAAAATATTCCTTAAAATAATTGTGTGAGAGCGTAGGAACGGTGCTTTTTATACATATCTTAAATCGCCGGCTGATGTCCTGTGAAAAAAATGTGTGCCGTGTGGTCAATTTAAACGTTTATAAATTACAAGAAATTTAATATCTATAAATTGAATCTATTGTGATTATTATTTAAAATAAATCTAAGAATAAATATTGTATTCAAATTGCTATCTTCGTAATTGAAATATATTGTAATATTGTACTTGTCATCATCTTACAATTTGGAGGCACGTAAAATATTGGAATATATAAGTATACGTATAGGGGGGATGGTAAACTCCTACAAAAGTAGGTAATCTCCTACGTTGATATCGTGTTTAACTCCTATACTAGATAGTTGTAAAGTTGTAAAAAGTAGTAAAATAAGGTATTTTGAAGTAAGTAAAACTCAATCATAAACTACAAAATTAAGAGGTATAAATTGTTGTATTTCCAATTTACGGAAATAACGTAGATGTTATCGAAATGTTCGAGAATTTTCTATACTATGCCTTATATTTATAAGTGTACTAAATTTTTTTCTACGAACATTTATTCAAAATGCAACAAAAAAGGTCTCTTATTATTTTTCCATTAGAGAACTATTTCTGGTATAAAGCGTTGTGCGTGTTTATTTAAAATAATGAAATATTGTACGCTCAGAATCTAAAATATAAAAAAATCTGCGTATGAGATTTCTACATGTATTTTTGGCAGTTAAAAAGGGACTATGTAGGAGTCTACACTATGTTCTAAATACAGTTAAAAAGGTAATTTTTGTCGGAGTTTACATGTAACCTACATATGTATCTATAATATAGATTATATATATTTTTCCGACCAAATGCGGTGCCGACAAAACACTAGATAGGTTAGGCATAAAAGCGATATATATAAAATAATAATTATGTATAATACACTATTAGATAAGATAATAGATACCTACCTAACCACTTAAATCATCATTGATTTTACATTGCTAGTATTATTTTGAAACGTGCTATTCATCTTTCGGATTTATTATTGATTGTCAACCAACGATTTGTTGGATTTTGTTTAATTCATTAGTTGTGTATCTTATTACAACACATTTTCTAGTATAAATAATGCCGCCACATTTTCATTGAATATATTTCTGCCGTTAGGCAATAGCCTAACCTGCTTTTGCCCTAGCGACGGGCCTGAAAATTATGCAATTCCGATTTTTTAAATTTATTTGATAAAACAAGTACATGTACGTATTTCGAAAAGAATTTGGTTTATATTTAACTTTTTCCCGAGAAATATGTAGACATGGCGAATTCCAAGTTTGTCAATGTAGATTTTTTTGGGTCAAAATAAACATGAGAACGGGTTAAATTTTCCAACTCTGGTCATTTTCTTATTTGAAGTACGTCGTTCTATGTTTTTGTTTCTTCTAAATGACGTCATCAAACCAGAATATTTACTGTAATACGATGTATGTGCATTATGTATGTACGTAGAACTAGATTTCGTTTTCGTTCGTGTATTTGCAGTGTTCTTTAATTTTATCTTTTACACTGTGACGAGTTCTACGCAAAAGACAAATAAAACGGAGAGAAATGGGCGAAAAACAAATAGCAAATTAGGCGTTTCTGCATTGCAAAACTTAAACTCGCGTTTTGTGTAAAATGAAATTGTGAACAAACTGTAGAACTATACACTTATAGCGAAATAGGAGTTAGCAAAGAGAAACCGTTTGAATAAAACAAATAAAAACAATAATATACACAAGATATAGTCGCTAACACAAACGAATATAACGAATTTAAATTTTAATTAATTGAACGAGGGATTTTAATTTTCTAAGTATTGCAAAAGTTAGCATTTTATAATTTAAACGCCCAAGTACTGCCGCGTTATTAATAAAATATATTTTACAAAAACTCCGAAAACGGCTATTTTGTTTAATATATTATTGTTTATAGATTAATATTATATTTGGATTTTTTTTATCTTATGATTTTTGTCTTTTTAATGTATCTATTTAATTTTTTAAATTTTATAAATGGAAAATATGATAAAAATTACGGAGCCATTTTATTTTGTAAAGTCCTTTCTTTTTAAAATTATTTATGACATACAATTTTTCATGATTCATATGTCCAAATTGTGTATCAGTAGTCTTTTTTTTTATATATTTTAGTGTTAACTATTACCCATCAAATAGTTAAAAGTTTGAACTAAAATTGTGTTATTATAATTATTTTTTTTTTTTTTATTTTGATTCGCTAAGTGTATCCATGTATGTTCGGTAAAAACATACGTTTTTATTTTCAGTTGAATATTTCCTCTAGATTCCCGAATTTTGTTGGTATTAAATACATTACAATTTTTTAAAAAAATATTTTTTTTTTATTTATTATTATTTTTTCAAACATTTTTCATATTTTATAATGTATTTATTTATTAATTGAATATTTACAATATTCAATTAATGTTTCTGGAAAAATTCATTTTTATAAGACGCGTAATAAGGAAATATTTTGATAAAATTGTGAACAAAATGTTATTGTTAAAAAATAATCAATCAATTACTGAAAAAAAAAACTAAATCAAATTGATTAAAAATTACCAGCAGTTTATCACTAGTTTTAATCAAATATTCTGAATTACAATAGTCTCTGTACATACATGTAGGTACTTGAATTGTTTATATACCATGAACGAAAAGAAAGCAAATTATACAGATTTATTGATCATAAAACCGTTGGTCCGGTGGAGGTCTCTGCATAATTTATAAAATATCATACATTCCGTCCTTACTAAATAGTTACTATAATATATATTATATTGTGTATGTCCGATAATAAATACTATAAACACAAAGCACAGAGATTGAGTGGTTTCGGAAAATTGTTCATAATATATATTTTAAAACTTTCGGTATAACGCTAACGTGTGCGTTAATTTTTTTTTTTTTTTTGTCTTAAGTTGGTACATCGTGTTCATTATTTTTTCAGGTAAAAAGTGCAAGTTCACCTCGAATATATTGATTAAAAATTATTGATACAGTTGTCTGTTGTTGCTTCGAATAACTGTAGACAGTAAATCGTATTCATTATTTTTTCAGGTAAAAAGTGCCAGTTCACCTCGTGTATATTGATTAAAAACTATTGATACAGTTGTCTGTTATTGCTTCGAATGGTTATAGATAGTGTTATATGAAGAATATTAAAAAATATCTAAATGCTAGAATAATTATCTATATAAAAATAAAAGAAAAAAAATTTAACTGTTTAGATAAAGATAAAAAAATCAGTAACATTTATCTAAAAAAACTAGTCATAGTAATAAAACAGGAAACTAAAAGTATTAAAAAATGTACTCAATTTGGTACACATTTAAATTTCGCATACATTTTGTGTGGTTTATACAGTTTAATAATTTATTTATTAAACCATATTACTATAAATTAAATATTTTACCTATTATTTCTAATAAATATAAAAATTAGGATTAAAATAATTTCTCTAAGCTATTATTCAATTATTCATCTCGGATAATGATCCAAATCTCAGATTACTTGTTTCTTATTTATCTAAAATAGATTTATGATAAAACACATTACTGATTGTAGATTTTGTAAATACCATAATCATATTTTTATTAACAGTTCAAATCTAAAAACAATACTTTAAATGCTGTAGCATAAATCATATAAGTATAAGTATCAAAAATATAATAATATACATACTGGACATTAGTTTTACTATGATGAGTGCTTTTTTTTTTGTTTATTAAATATTTTTCTACCAGAAATTTTCTCAGAATTTGAATCTCTTCTAAAAGGAAATTTTGTTCAGTTTATGTTTGAAGAAGAAATTTGTTTTTATTAATCTTTTAATTTTTTAATGGGAAAAACAGCGAAAAACTAAAAAATTTTCAAAAATTTAACACGATAGTATTTATAAGTTATATGTACAGTGATAAAAAAAAAAATTAAGCCTAATACGTTAAGTTTTTTATACGCATTTAAAGTTCATGTTTGTATAAAAATCTTAAAAATCGAATTTTGCTCAGGATCATTTTTAATTAGCAACGAGTTTCGTCATCATTGAGTACAGAGATAAATTAAATAACTCTAAGTTTACTAAGTTTAATAAATGTATTTATATAATTATATATATATATTATTTTTCCAACTTCTAGTCTACATGAGTATTAGATCTTTTTTTTTCAAATTAGATTTCTTACCGTTTTCTAATTAAAAATCAACTCATAAATAGCAGAAACGTGTTCTATAACTTAGATTAGTTGTAATTTTTTATTCCGAACAATTTTTCGGTTAGTTAATTTTGTATTATTATTATTATTGTCGATCGAGAATCTTCGCGGGCTTACTTTAAATAAAGTTTTGGAGTTTTATGCAAACATTTCACGAACATAATAATATTTCTACTTACCGTTGGCTTATTAAACAAATCAATGCGCAATCATACCCATTCAAAACGTTGGTATATTTGGTTTTGTTCCGGTGAGATTTTTTCTTCGTGCGTTTTTTATTCCTCTTGAGTAAATAAGGTCTTTTAAAACCATTTGGGGAAAATCGATGTCATTTACTCCACTCCCCCACCTCCTAAATAAGCATGCAGTAAAAACTCGTATAATAATATTAATGATGATATTACCGTAGATCGAAAGACGTGCCTCTATAGTGTAATGAAATTGTTTGTGAACGGATCTTTAGAAATTATTTTTTCGTTAAAACCTGACCGACCTGTCTGCAAACGACCGGAATACAAATAGGACCTCCTTAAGGTGAGGGGGAAAAGGGACTGTTTGATTTACGAGTCAAACGCCCCGGACAAATCCACCCGAGACCTGCAGCAATCCGCTTGTTACCGACGCTGATTTATTTACATTGTATAGAAGCCAATAATTCCGATTGATTTGGTCGTACATTATTACCTACGCAAATAATGTACTGAAAGAAACAAACTAATCGTTTCTGAATTTAATTCGCGTTAATATAGTATACGCTTCATTAAAAATCACCATAATTTTATTTTATTTTTTTTGCAAATCGTTGTGTAGTTTGTAGGGAATGTTGACGTTGGATTATAAATAGCTTCTTTTTCTTCCAGTAACGGATCCTAGGGAGGGCCAGGACCCCAGTCACCTTTCGGGCTATCAATTTTCCCTTTTTATGTTTACAAAAAGTATTGTCGAATATTTTGTGCCTACTTTAGTAATCGTTGGGAATATAAATTTTTCATAAATTATTATAGTATTGGAAAGTAAACCGATAAAACCACTAGAAATGTATGTATAGCAAACACTAAAATCATAACATTATCTACGTTGACATTACAGTTTATTCCAAAGACGCATAATGTACACATTCGTCCATCATTTGGTTATTATTACATATATTACGAGAATAATGTTTTCATTAGCACTGGTGACATAGAATTATAGAAGATGAAGTTTTTCAACATTAGAACATGGTACCTCCGTGCAGCGTAGTAAGCAAAGAAAAATTAAACGATTTATCTCTTTTAATCATTGATGAAAAAATAATAGAAAAAGTTGTAAATATAATTTAGAGTCTAGGAATAAAAAAAGAATAGAGTTTGTTGTATAATACAAATTTTTGTTTAATTTTCTTTTTTTTTCCTAATTTTCCTCGAAAATAAAGACTATTGAACTATATTATGTCTATTATATAATATATATATATATATATTTCTCAGTACATTTAGACATTTTTAGCGGCTCCCTCTCAATCAAAGACTTCAAACTTGGGAATAAGAGTTTTTTACAGGTGGATTTAAATACTAACATGTCGGTAACATTTCAATATAAATTTCATCATGTTGAGAGAGAAGAGGAGTTTTTTTAACTTTGCATAGTGAATATAGTCCTACAATTTAAGCCAAGGATATGCTATTTATATGTGCGTGGTTTATTGTGGATCTGCCCTTGATAGCTTCAACTTTAATTCCTTTCCCATCCGTTTTTGTGCTCAGATTTCCTGTTTTTATAGCAAATACAGAGTTTTAAATATTCTTATTGACTCATGAAATAAAGTACCATGTGAAAATGTGTATACAGAATTATTTTCAAAGATCTGCTTTTAATATGTTATTTTAAGTTAAAACCCCTGACAACACCGTCTGTTTACATGTAATCAAAAATCTCGAAAATATTTTTCCTATTTTGAAAAAAAAAGTTAGATTATTATGAATTAAAATAAAAACATGAAATATATTATAACGGCAATAAGTCGGAGGGGGCCGCCGATTTCAACTCTAGTGATGGAACTCTGCTGTTCTTGTATTTTTTTTTTTTTTTGAAGCCTTCTTCTCTTTAGAATTGAACCCTAGATCCACCACTGTCTCGTTCGTCACCTTTATCTCGTGCGATGAGCGAAATCAACTACTTATCTATATACTTTTGTTTGTATAACGAATAATCTGTTTTAATAACCGTTTGTTTGATTTCAAAAGTTACCTATAGCCTTTGTGCGTAATCATTTTGGAAAACAATTAATCCCGTTGTCATTCGATTCGCGCAATCAATTAAATTTGCAATTGAATTAGATTTTCACGACGTGTATAATGTACAAGTGTCCGGAGTGCGCGTTAGCCACAAATGATAATCTATCTTAGTGTTTTGGCATATACCGAAGTCGCTTTTCTAATCCAATTTCTCTCAAAACCGCGTACGTCGTGTTATTACGTATAGATTCCGGACATGATTGCGAATTTATTAGTTTTACAAATAAAAAGACCCAAATTTTTACTAACGCAACCGCGGTTATTAGCATGTTACAGACGAAATGGACATTAATCTACAAACAGTCGTCGTCGTTTATAAGCAGCCTATCAGTTAATTTGATATTATATAAATACTGACAACGTTGAAAATATAAAATTATATTCGCTTTGTCACGTGATCAAATATACTAAAATATAATATATATATATATATCAAATATACCGCTCACAATGCCGCAATAATGTAAAAACCAAACCCGTGCAAAACTCCTAAAATATAAATAAATCCTTATATTCCTTAATTCATCTGTGATGGCCCTAGCGAGGGTATCACTGACAGTGATACCCTCGATAACCACAACTAGTCCATCACATCTGATCAATCGACATGTGAATGATACAAGTGATACAGTCATATTAGAGACCATTACAGATAAATTGAGGAATATATATTACAAAAATATAAATCCTTAAGTGACTATATTAATAAGTAAATATATTTACTTTTTTCTTTCTTTATTCATATGTCTTATCAACTGAACGTGTAACAGTCATATGTATAATCCAACAAAAGTTTTTTGCAATTTTCGATGGAGATTTCCTATTAAAAATAATCGATTTCACGATATTGCATAAAATAAAAAACCATGGATTAAATTTAAAAAAAATGTTCTTCGATCATCTCGTTCGGTTTCGTTGAATGAAAGAATTTTGAAATTTGAATTCATTATAAAATGTATAACTGTTGGATACTTGTAAAGTAGAAAAAAACATAAAACCTGTATTAACGGAGACTTATACTTATATAACGGGTATCTCTCTTAACGAAGAAAATAATAAGGTCTTGGGAAAAAGATAGGCGTTTCAATGTAGTTTAACTAGTCTAACGGACTCAAACTGTTATATTTCTCTAAGTTGGTATGATAACAGACGGCAAGTTTACAGTAAAATCCAAAATGTTTAACGAATTATATATTTGATTACATTTTTATCGCTGAAAACGATAACGTTTATTGCATGGCCAAAAAAAATATTATGTCCCATTATCTTATTTTGACCAGAAATGGTCATTCTGCTCTGCTATTATTCAGAGTTGGTTGTTTTATCTTTGCAATGATACATCTTGTACCGTAGAAATGATTTAAATTAAAAAGTTAAAATTACCTATTTGGTGCAAACGATACTAGTAAATTGTCTATTCGTAAACTATTTGATATCAGGAATACGCATGTAACCGACTGGATTTAACTATAAAACCACTAAAACCATACTACAATGGACACCTGTATATAATGGATACTTTTGATGGTCAATTCGTGAGTTCTAAGCAACTTTAACTGTATTTTATAATTTTTAGGATATCATATACGGAATTGTTATTAAAATAAACTATACAATTATAATCTATTTTATTGATGACGTTTCTAAATGCGATCGAACGACATTAGAGATTTCCTTTTTCTTATTGTCTTGTGTCAATTAATTTTCCTTTGACCACACCTCACCATGCCGTTTGCCTATCGTATTCTTTGTACTTGCATTATAAAATAAATCTTTTATAAGAATATGATTGTATATTTTTATAATAGTATATTAGTATGTAAACCCGAAGCCAAACGTCGAATGAGTTTTAAATTCAAATCGAAAACTCACAATACGGGTTGTCTATTATGGTTTTTCTCGATATAGCAATTTGTTTTTATTTTATCGGTTCAGTAGCTGGAGATCTCAGACGTCCATAGAATATAATATACATAGTCGCGCCGATTTATATATCAACATTCAACAGCGATCAAACCGAAAACGCAAAAACGGTTTACTTAAATTACAGAGAAATAAACCAACACAAACCGGAGTATCGAAGTAATGTATAGGCTCCCAACGAGTTAAACGACTCGTGTTCTATATAGTGAAGTATCACTGAGAATATTCCCCTACTCTTCGGAAATATTCTTTGAAGAAAATAAATACTTTATACGAATACGGTATCCCACTTATTTATTTCACATAACTTGATCATACTGCTTCGTTACTCGACAAATAATACCATATAGACCAATAAATCAATTGAAACGATTAATATCGTGGTTATTTACTTTTATTAACACTGATTAATATTATTATTGCTCTGAGTAATCAATACAATATTAAATTATAAAGGTTGTTATATTATTCCCAATAAATGTATGCATGATACATTAAGGTGGTCTAATATCTTGATTGTAGTTGTAAAAACTCGGGGAAATTTATTTTCACCAATTAGACTGAACATCAAAGAAGGCCATTTTCAGAGCCTATTATTAATAATAATACTTGTAATAACAAATAATATTAGTTAAATGGAAACCGAATTCTGGAATGCACAGATTATTGGGAGATGGAGTGCATAGTGCATATGGACATACAGACACTGACAGATGCACAAACTGAATGTAATAAAGTTTATTATATCAAAGTTTTTGTTATACCTAATATCAATATTTCATAATAACAATTATTAAATTAAATATATATATATATATACATAAGTCGGTGTTTCAATACAAATATAAATATCAATGGTTGTGCATTATAAAGTCGAACATTGACAGTAATAATCTATTAGAAAAAAAAAAACATACGATTTTACTTGCTATTAGGAACTTTTCAATGAAATTGTTTGTTTCATTATTTTTCAAGATATACGCGAGAGGAAAAAATTGCACACAGTTCTTTTAGTGGCGGTAGTATTGGTACAAAATTAATATGCAAATATTGGTTTTATTTGTTTAAATATTTTTTCCCTCGTCCCAAAAGTATAAAATATTATTATTGTAATACTTAATTCACTAGACATTTGAAAATTGTTTTTTTTCTTTTATCTGTAAATAAAGTGTGTAGTAATACTTTTGCACCAATTATCAACATTATCAGTGGTTTCTGATGAAAAAAATATTTTTTTATTGGTACAGAAGTAATTTTTTGATTTTCCTTACACTTTTTTTAATAATGGGAAAAGTGGAAAGAATCAATGGAATAACGATTTTGGTAAAAATCGATTTTAGTTTTTTTTGTGAATCCAATGAAAACCAATAATACAGAGACGTACAATTTCTACTGAATAACTTATAATACCGTTTTCCGGACTTGGTATAATTTTTTTAAATTATTCTGGCGTTTTTTGAGTTAGATATTATCTGACGTCTAAAATTGATTTTATGTGGACACAATTTTCAGCTTAGCATTTCATGAATGTTCAAGAATCATGATTCATCGTAAATTTTCTTATTTTGCAAAATATTGTTTGTACAAGGCATTATTTGTAAAAAATATATATATATATATGGATTAATATAACGACAATATACGAAACAAATGACCTTTGAGAACAATATGAATTATCTAGTACAAAAACTCGCGTTTCGTCTAATTGTTTCCGGTATAATTAATATAATTTATATGACTGTTATATATGATTGTATATTAGGTACATATACTACAGATATAATACTATACCAACGTGTTTTCAAATAAAAAAATCGAAATTATAATTTACATAACTACTAAACTTAGTAAAAGTACTCAAATTTACTCACGCAATGCCTTAAAAGATGTGGAGTTTCTGTACTGTAGTAGTATTTTATAAAAAATATTTATCCACATGTTCAACATTTCACCCTCTAGATTCATTGTGTGGATTTTTTTTTCGCTGATTTCGGGGTTACATTGGCATCAAGGAGAATAATCACGATTAAATACTACTCCATTCAGAATCGTAATTACAATGATTTATTATCGCATGGTGCGAAGTATATTGGAATTTTTAAATTTGTTTTTTTTTTGAAAAATTTCACTGCTGTTTGTTTAAAAAATATACTATATGAATAAATCGACGAGTTCTAAAACTACGATGAATATTTGTTGTTGCCGTATATATATTATATATATTATTAGATACCGTATTTTAAAGAAATGGCATTCAAATTAATGTTTAACAATATTTTTGTATGCATAGATGAAAATGTCTGTTTATTGAATTCCAAAGGCCATGCTATAATATTTTTACCTTGACTTTTTCCTTAATATTTACGATCAAACTCGAAGCGCGTGTATAATCTTATTAATACAGTGAAATACGTTATAGGAATAAGAGTTATTTTATTACTGTCCGAAACGATATGTATTGTGCGAGGCCGTAACTAAAAAATAATTTTAAAAAGGGGAAAATCGCAATTCGAAAATTTAATCTAATTGTATTGCTTGAAATAATTATTTTACCACAACATAATATAACAAGAATAACAGGAACCTCGAACCCAACTAGTAAACTATCCAGATAAATACGGTGCCCAATTAGTGTAGATTTTTTATCGTGGAATCCAACTCGGATGCGTTGAGTTCACGGCCTATTGAAAGTCCTCTTACTGGTTCGTAGTGTCAAAAAGGTTTGGGAACCGCTAATCAATAAATGAAAAAAAAATATTTTCCGTTTTTCTTTTGGATTTTTGATTGTACGCGTTCTCGTGTGAATAAAATAGTTACAGATACTAAAAACGTGTGTATGTGATCTAATGCAGGCATTGCATCGCGTTGCAAAATCGGTTTCGGGTGTAGATACCGATAAAATCGTTGAAATATAATGTCAATTAATCGCACGAGCGAAACACTAATTTATTATACATACGAGCACTCAGAATAGATTTTCCGACGCGATAACTGTCACGAAACAAGGTCCATTTTGGCGAATCGATTTGAAATGCATTATACATTTGAGCGAAAAGTCATATAATATTATAATATATTGGTACCTCTTACTATTTGCACGAATGAATACTCTCACCGGAAAACAATAACAGTTTTCATTTTGACCTTAGCTGACACCTAAACGTTGATTTGTTTCGTTTTTATTTTCAAAAAATTAAAAGCTCCAAATAAATGATTCACGAGGCAACTAAAAAGTATCTTGTTACTAAAAAACTTTTAAATAATATAACCTATCTTTTATATCTACTAAATTTGTAATTTTATCAGTAGCTACAAAAATTACTACAACTATCGTGCAACTATACTTCGTTACAATTTCGGATAAAAATGGCATAGAAATGTTTAATAATTATGTGCAAAATATTCTATGGTGTTATCTGTGTATTGACACCATGATCCAGATGATGTCAAATCATATCAAGTCTAAAACGGGATAGATAGGTGCAGTTATTCAAAAATGTTCAGGATACATACAAATAATAATAGTCTGTAAAAGAACAATTACTGTCAATCTATCAACGTAGTTAAGTAAGCCTTCTATAAAAATGATACGTAAAACATCATCTGCGGGCCTATGTTTAACTTTATTTACAATACAGTTTACAAAATAATTTATTTTTATAAAATAATAATATTTTATAAATTTATCTATACAAGGGGTATCATTTTATTGTACCTAAGTAACTTTAGAAATTAGGTAGTTTTTTACAAGGAACTAGTGAACTAACGAGTTACTTTTGTCTTGTAGTAACTTGGGTAGTTCTAAGATATCATAGTTACTATACCAAGGTAATAATAAACTGTAACTAAACTCATTTACATAAATCGTTCAACTTACCCAGCTTTGATTTTCAAAAACAGCTTTAATTTTAAAAGAACTACATATTAATCAAATGTCTAGTTTACGCACTATCATACATTTTTTTTTTTTTTTTTTTTTTTAATATTATCTCAGTATTAAGTACTCATTGCGTTTCGAAAATTTCAAATGTCTAGAAACACGTTGAACTCAGATAAAAATAATTTCATTTGCTCTCTCAAACGGATAACCAGTCATTTTATAACTCGTATACTCAATATCAACGACAATGACGACAACGGAGTCTATACTAATAAATAAAATTCGGATATTGTATTATTTGGGGTACCAAATGACGTCCTGAGCCGTACTGTATTTACAGGTTATTAAATCGGGAATTTGAGTGGCTCGTATATTCCAGCCAGTGAATAAATACGTCCTCGTAAGAGGGTGTAATTATTGATATGCTGTTTATTGGATAGGTAAATTAAATGGGTACCGCGTTTTCGTTCGACAGTTTTCCCAGTTACTTTTGATCTCTCTTGTCCGACCGCTCGAACGCTTGAATGAATACGGGGTTATACATGTAATAGGTTGTGTTTTAACAGAATTGCTAGATATAGGTAGAGAGAAATATTTTTTTTTTAAATTTATATTTTTTTTATATTAAGTAGACTAATAAAAAAAATAAAGTTGTTAACTAAAATAAATTAAACTAATTCACATAGATTATAAATGAAGAATTGTAATTCATATGTTTATTATAAACAATAAAAAAAATAATGTTTTAACGTGAAATTCAAATTAATTACGACAAACGAATAAAACGTAATTGGTCTATATTCCGGCACCTTTTGCGACACTATTACAACACTGTATAATTATTTTCGCATGAGTTTTTTTGCTTCGTTTTGTTTTGTTTTGTTTTTTTTTTTTTTTTTTTTTTTTTTGTGTGTGTTTCTTGTATTTTTCTTTTATTCACTATATAAAGATATTATGACGATTTTTCGTGTGAAAAATGGACGTGATTTAACCCACCAAAATCGCGGCTATAGGTAATCGTTTTCGGTTAATATTCATAATTTTTTAGGGGTAAATATAAGGAATTCAGTGTTTACAATTTGGTAATATACATACTTTTGTAATAAATTATACAATAATCGTAAAAATGTTTCATTTAAATTTCTAAGAATTTATTTTTATCCACATACAAATAATAAGGGTAATGTTAAAAATTAAATTAAATTTGCCCAAATTCAAAAAAACAATATTTCAGAACAGAAATAAAAGTGAGAAAATCATTTTAATAATTGTAAAAACTGGAAATGTTTATGGCATTAATGATTTTATTACTTTTGATTTGTATTTTTAATGTAACTTGAGTAAGTTGTAGAGACTTAACATTTTTGAATTATTTAAAGGCATTTGACATTTTCGAGTTTTTATTATTTTTGATTTGGTATTCTGTAGATGAAATTGATTTTACCTAGAAAAAATAACCGAATATTTAATATGACGTTAATTATAATTTCTGCTTAGTAGTGAAAAAAGTTGAATGTAATATGTAGTAATTTTTTTTTAAAGCGTTCAATTTTTGACAAAAATCATAAAAATTGTAGCATTTAAAAACATGTTTAACCGAACTTGTTCAGAATCGTATTGCTTTAGCAATGAATCAATGTTGTGTGCAGGTATAAACTAATTAACTTTATGTGACCTAACTTCTCAACTTTCCACACATAAAAGTGATACTCCTTTCAGCAGTACCAATTATTATTTTTTTTTTTTTTAATTTTAGCGTTATAGATTTTATTGTTTTGTTCGGAGGTTTACTATATAATAACCTGCTGTAAACATATACTTCGTAAACATTAAAATATCGTCTACCGATTTCGATGTTTACACGTTTATCACGAAAAATTGTTTGTCGAAATTGAATTTCCTTTGCGAAATAATTGTGTTTGTATTCTCTTATTATATTTCTCCCCGTCTCTTCGTTTTTCTATTACGTGTATCATAACAACTGTTGTAAACATTTTGGGAAGGGTATGTTTTTTTTTTTATTCTATTGTTAAAAAATAAGTACGGAGAACGGATTCACATTTTTATTTAGTTTTACGAGACGCAAATAAACAATAATAATAACAATATGATATGTCGATATTTATTATGTTGTTTTCAGCAAAATTCGTGTCTCCGGACACGTGCATGTGTCCGCGAAAAGCTCAAGCAGATCCAAGTAAACTTTTCGCTGCGCGAAACAAACAGTAGGAAATTAAAGTAGAATAAAACGTCTGTATGACGTCTCTGTTACATCCGATCGGATAAGTCAAATACGATCAGAAAATAATATAATTCTTAAGCCGGTTATTATTTATTTTTAGAAAATAGGTTTACTGCGGTGCGTAGCGAAAAATTACTTTTATTAATATATGTATTATTAGCATTATGTGTGTTTTTCCTGAGAAAATACTTTTTTGTTTTAATTAAAAACGATTCGATTTTTCAAAGCAATACATTAAAAGATGCGGAATTTCCGGTACTTTATTTCGATCATTTTTCTAGATTCCCGACAGTTTTTAGTAAAATATTTGACAAAATTGTAGAAATCTTCCGAAACTTGCAACAAATATTCGAAAATACCAATTTTCAGCCCTGCGCGGTGGTAGGTACTTATTTAATCAAAACGATTGAACGGCTGATTATTATTTATCAGACGTCATTGTTGAAAATGCTCCGAAGGTCCCGAACGCTTTTCAAAAAAAAAAAAAACAAAAAAAAATGTAACCTAATTAAATAGATAATATTTATATTTTTATTTTATTTTTTTGATAATTTCGTGTAAAAATTCCTATAGGGTTTGACATACTACTACGGTATAATATACTAATAATAATATTTCGTTTGTTTTATACAATATTAAGGACGTATAGTTGTGATACCATATAGAAGAGGAGGGAGGAGGGGGCGTGGAATCTCTGGTTCAATCTCGGATTTCGGGACACACGATTGAATGTGTATACCTTTTTAGCAACACCATTAAGCATAGAATATTTTATGTGACGTTGGCACATTCAAACCGAAATTTTGTATTTTATTATTTCCACGCGTATTAGTACATCGAAAGCTGCAAACTTCGCCCTCGTGTCCACGCAATAGTTCAAATATCGCTCGAAACATAAACAGAAACTTTGACCAAAATTAATTCAGTTGAACATAATCTCATAAAGTTAAAAACCTCTAAAAAACGTAAAAAAAAAAAAAAAATTAAATGTAAAAACTTTCGATCAAATTAAAAACATACTGAATCTTTACTATCATATTATAGACGAATCGGAAACAGATACACAAACGGTACAATAGCCGTTTAACAATTTAAGGGGTTTATTTTTTCCCACAAAAAGACTGATCATTTATTATATTAACCTATGACCACGAAATAGCGTTATTTTTCAACTCGTACCGCGTTCGTATTATTGTTATTTGTTTAAATTTATATTCGCTATATTCGCGACTCTGCGACATCGCGGAATATTGTCGTAGGTTCAATCCCGCAAGAAGATTTTCTTTCGTATATCCGCGTATTTTTTCCGCTGGGATACGTCGACGAATTTACGCGATCGTGTCGTATAAAAAAATAATAATAATAATAATAATAAAACGTCTTTTGCTCTCAACCGTACTACGGTCATCCCCCGGGGACGGAAAAATATTTCTACCGTCCGCGGCCGCCGACAAACGTCAGAAATAATAAACGGCCGGGAAGGCGGTCACGTGGTCGATGAAGTCCTTTCGGGACGGCCAAAACCCGCGCGGACATCGAGTCTTCCCGACGGGAACCCGGTGCCCTCGACCCGTCCGGTGCTCGGCCGATAACGACCGCCGTTGACAGGGCCGGGCGGCGGAAATGCACGTAGATCGATAGGACTTCAGCGCGTCGAAGCGGCCGTCGCGGTCTTGCAACGGCAGAGCCGCGGCGGCGGTAAACAATTTTATTATCCCGCGTTGTTTTTTTTTTTTTCCTTTTCCCGCGCGCCGCCGGTTCGAATCTCTCGTCGCCGTCGTCGTGTAATTATTATTATTAACATTTATTGCGTACATATTTTGTATTATTATTTTATTTTATTTTCTTATTTACGAACTGCTGCGATCTTCTTACGCGTAATTTCGCGGAAAGTCTTACCGTCTGGCGGTGCTGCGGGAGACAATATCGCTACGCACACTGATCTGTCGCAACGTAAATATTATTATTTCGCGGTATAGGGTACGCGAGATCGATCCGGTCGCGGGAAACACGTTCCGGTCGACCCCAAACGGTCCTCGCATTCGCTTTTTCCGCCGAAATATATTTACCCCTCCTCCGACACCAAAACTCCCCCTACTACAACTCTTCCCTCCGGACAAATCAATGATGTGTCTGTGGGGGGGGGTATTCGATCCCTCCGCGAAGCCCGTATAATTTTATTTTTTTTGTTATTTAGCAACTAGTTTGCTACTTCGATAGCTCGACAATATTACAATAATAGATACAAAATGTACAACTATATTATTATACTTAATATAAATATTAAGCAATAAAGCCAGTTTCCAAAATAAACGCGACAGTAATTTTTATGGCAGTTTCAGATCTGGCATTGAGAACGGAATGGAGATTGAAAGAAATATTGAGAGTTTTGAGGGAATTAATTAAAATATGAGAGAGGTCGACAAATACATTTACTCAGATAGAGTGTAGAAAATGGGAAATCATTTAATCCTAGTGTAAACAGGTAATAAATTATGTCCCATGCGTTATCGGTTAAACTTAACTATAAGTAGTCTATGCAAGTACAAGTTGTTAAATCAAGTTTTATTGAGGATATTGGGTGTAATATGTCTATATCTTGAAGTGAAATCCGCGGGAATGTTCTTCCAATGGAAGGACCAAAGATCAGAGATAAGACGTTTAATAAAAGAGATAACATTGGACTAAGGTAGGTGATCGAGGGAAAGACAGATTAGATTAGATGTAGATTTAGCTAGGTTCTCGGCAACCTCGATACCAATTATCCCAGTATGATCAAGAAACCAAAAAAAGTGAATATTCTAATTGTAATATTGTCAATGTTATTTTTTTAAATGTCTAACCGGTTAACCCAGTCGTATATGCGTGCATTATTGTTATTTGTTTTTAATGTTTTAAAATTGTTTTCATAAATTAGTTAATAATATGATAACATGGTCGAATCTATAGATATAAAAATATTTGTGTTATCATTTTTCGTTTTGGCCGTTCGAACGTTTTCTCTTATCATTGATTTCTAGTTACAAAATAAATGTATCAGGATCGTTTATGCGGACTTGCACTGTTCCATATTTACCAATAAAAATTTATACCGGTGGATTATATTATTGAAAGATTTTTTCCTATGAAAAACTGGACGTTACACTTTGTATTACACATTCATTATTGCATTATGCATTACAATATTATATTTAATTAAATTAAAATGTATTATTTTATGCATTAAAAATTTATATTTCACAAGCATAAAAAAGCACAATTCCTGTGTCTTGATACACAATTAGCTGTGACGTTAGCTTTTAAGGAATTATCTATTTTAAGAGTGAGTGAAAATTTATTCCCCTCCCTTCCCCGTAAAAAATAGCAAGGGTACTCCACTAGGGCAAATATATTCTTAAACAATTTTCATCCATTATAGTAAAAAAAATCACTCACGGAGGGGGTGGGAATAATTATCAGTCTACGCATTGACGTTAAAAAATAAGGTAACTTTAAAATGTAGATATTTTTTTAATTTTTTTTAATAAATAATTTGTTAATTTTGTATTACATTTTGGAAATCAAAGTATGTAAGTTAATTTAAATACCTCACCTACTTCTATGTATTTACCTCTATATCTAACTATGAGAGAATATAAAAAACTGAGGAAAACGATTTCTTAAGTTATTATTACTGAAAGGGGTTGGGGTGTAAATACAATAGACATCTGTACGAAACGACAGCGGGAATTGGATTTGACGACGACATAGAACCTATGTAACCCAATCTAACTTAGCCGTTGACATTTCCGCCGGTCAAAATCCCCATCCCAAGAATAAAAGGTTCGAAAACGAAAAAGAATGCACGAGCGAATGTGAGACCGAAAGGACGAAATTCTTACAAAAAACTCTATACATTTTATAGAGTCCAGAAGAAAACTAAACGGACATGGTGTTCTTGTAAACCGTGTAGTCTGAATTGGTCGGGAAAACGAAATTCCGAAATGTCCACTGCTTTCAGATTGCATTAAATATTCATAGCAACTAACAAATATAACAATACATTTACCAGATTTGTAACCCAACAGTACTGTAATGTTATTATGTCCCGACAAGGATTTTAATTTAAAATATTATTTTGGTTTTTAATATCTTGGCTGACGATCACAGAGGTGATATTAAGACGACGAAACAAAAAGTACATTATACCGAATGCAATGTAATAATATTGTTATGATATTTTTTGTTAATTTTTATTTTTGAACTTACGATAAATTATATTTCAGACAAAATTGAAAATGTCGATATTCTCGACCGGCTTTTTAGGTCAAATTCCAAAAACAAGCATTTGCAACTGCGCCAACACATGCGACACAGCAACTGCACCAAAAATGTTGATTTCTTTGTTTTTGAATACACATAGACATAATCTATACCTGTAGTCACGTACATTTTCATAAATATTTTTAGAAAAAATTTGTTTTATAGAGCATTTAAAAAACGAGCAACTCTACAATTTCACATTTATGTTATTTGTTTGTTATCTTTATTTTTGAAGATTGGTTTTTCAAATGGCTACATAAATTAAAAATTAAATAAATAATTGGAGTATTAGTTAAATAAATTTTAGTGTTGAAGTTTTTGATTTCCGTTAAGTCATTGATGAGATATTCCATTTTCAAGTTTAGGTCGAGAGAGAATAGTAGTGCATTATTAAAACGTCGTGCGCCATACCATCACATAAGTCATGTTCCATTATTCTCCTCCAACCCAAACTTAAAAGTAGAATTTCTCGTCACCGGGTTGACCGAAATCAAAAATGTCAACATGTATTTAAACTAATACTCCATATATTCACGGAATGTTAAATATAGCTTGTTATTTAAAAATCAAAAGTGCGGTTTTACCTCTTCAAATAAAGGTGACAAAAAATAACCACAATGCCAAATTTTAGACAAAGTTTTTCTTAAGTTATCTAAAAATACTAAAATACTTTCTAAGATAATGAGATAATGAGTTTTTACGTTATTTTGATCACATGTACAAAATGCCGCATGTATGTTGTATTTATTAGAGTATCTATATGTATTATTTTCAACCTATCATGTCCCATGTGAAATATTACAATAACTATTAATATTATTATTTTCGCGAAATTCAAAGAGATAAATAAAATTATTACTGACAAAAATATTTCGCTTACACAAGATTTTATTTAATTTAACCTATTTACTCAAAAACATTAAAAATCTTTTGTTTTTTGCGGTCATACACAATATACATTATTACATCGGTATTATATTTTTGGTTCCAACGAAGCTTAAGTAAATGTTTTAAAAATAATATTATCTTATATAATATGTGCCTGAATTTTTGGTCTAAATGGCATAAGTGTCTACGTATATTTCAAGGTTTAACACAAGTTACACTAAAGTTCGCAGCATGTTTGTCCGGCATCATCATAATGACTGACTTTTTAATTTTCTATGAACATTTTTAATTTTATTATAAATTTCAAAGCATACTTCATTTTTGAAGTTGCTCGATTGTTATTGCTGCATTACAGCTATTTATATTTTTGATTAACAATGGTTATGAGTAAATGACTCTTATCATTATAAGATATGAGTGTTTTGACTATTGATAATTTTCACATTAAACAATGACTAAAAAACTAAACAGTTTTATATTTCATTCCTCGCGTTATGGAGCAAAGTTTATCAAAGAAAACAATTTATACATATAATTACTGCAAATGGAAAAGTATAGTTAATGTAACCAGAACGTATAATCTTATTATTATTAGTATGAACAAAATGACTGTGATATAAACTAAAACTTATATTAATACATAGACACTTGCATGTTAAAGAAAACATATTTATCAATTATAGTTTATAAATAGTTGTGACTTATGGTAATGTGTAAAAATTAGATACAATGTAATTCATAATAACTAATAACTACCTAGTAAAAAGTAGTTGGTGTAAAATTGTGTAAATGACAAACAATAAAAATAACAAAAAATCAATAATTGGAAGAAAATGTTTACACACTCAACAACTCAACATTTATGCTGGAGTAAAAAACCAGCATATTTAAAAATAAATGAAAATGCACATTTATTACCAAGATAAATTTATTTGCACTTTAGATTTCCTATACTATATTCAATAGAATAATACCAAAATAATATTAAAATGGCTAAATGGTAATACACAAGTGTATAGTTTTAAATATAATCCTCAAGATAAAATAAACTACCTAGGTATAACCATATAATACCAAGAGATTTATTTGATAAGAAATTAATATGTGAAATTATAACATTTTCATAATTTTGACGAAAATTGTCACCAAAGATTTACATCACTAATAACGTCTTTAAACAAGAACGCTGAAATAACGATTTTCTACTAAAACGTTACCTTTTTTCCGAAAAATATTCATACGACAGTGCCCTTAGTCTTATGTAGACAGCTAGTCACTGTTACAGGATCGATACAATATTACGATGTTTGCGCGTGATATTAATAATATTTTAATGAAAAACGGCAATGTATTAATATATTTTTTAGGTTGGTTCAGTATATTAGTTCAGTAAACTATGAAGTTTTAACAGCATGGCGGGTAAACATGAGAAAAAAAACTATAAAAAGTAACGACTACACCGGTATAAAATATTGTCAACACGGTGAAGAAGAAACATATTTTAAACGAAATCAATTCCGATAATTACCGACGCCTTGATGATGGTGTCCAACAGGTATCCGTCTGGAGTCTATATAACATAATATAATATATAGTCGTTGGTTCGTTCTCACAATTCTAATCAATCGCGATTTACGTAAAACATAACTTTGTTTTCCATTATCCGCCATAATAGTGAATAATGATAATAATATTGTAGTTGTTTACTCACGCACACATATTTCATCTTGTAATAAACAGCTACAGAGGAATAATAATATCCAGCAGCTCATTGAAATGAAATCAAATATTGCGTCTTATAGAAAAAAACACGACTACAAAAAAAAGGCCAGGAGCCATAAAAAGGAAAGGACAATAATGGGGTATCAGTTATATACCCCTAACCATTTCTCCTTAAATATTTATATTATATTACTTATATTATGATTTTTTAAACAATTAAAGTAAATAAGAACAATTGTTAAAAAAATGTTTATGAAATTGGTCTTATTTCTTATGATAAAATTGAGCACCACTGTTGTCAGCAAAAGTACGAATTTCCCTTATATAATTACGCATATATCCCAGATTTGGAAGAAAAGGTACAATTAAACCGTCTTTTCCATGGTCTCAGGTGATAAGGTTGGATAACTACTAGTATACTTAATAGACATTTCGCATCGCTTAGCGGGGTGAAAACATACACCTACAAATGTAACCGCTATAAAATTAAGTGCAATTTCTTATTGATTTTTTTTATTATCAAATGCCTACTTTTTAATTATAATTTTAATTTGGTAGTGCTGATTTAGAAATGAATGTTAATATAATATTTTGAAAATAACAAACATTATTATCTTATTTTCTTACTGAGCAAAGTTCCTTATTCTCATAATAATTTATTATATCCATACATAATACCGAAAGATATTCAAATGTATTATAATGAAAGTGACATATTTTATTTAGCATTTTCATGATTTAGAATCTATAATACCAAATTCAAAATAAATGAAACACAAATTTCTATTTATTTATTTTTTTTTTTACCCTCCTTAATTTCCTAATCTAAAAATATATCTAACAGATAGCGACAGCAGAGGAAAACGTTTACATCTCATTAAGCAAAAGTATTATTATAGGTGGAAAGGTAAGGAGTTGTCGGGCTTTACTTTTTAAGACCATGTTTATTCTGTATAACAACCGCGATCAAAACTGATTTTAATTCTACTGATACGTCTGTTTATTTAATCGTGGAAAAAAAAATAAAAGAGAACCTTAGCTTAGAGTGTATAAGTATTGATTATATTTTCTTTACGACCGTTTTTAATTTTCAAAATCCTCAATAGATGCAAAACTGGAGTTAAACAAAGAAAGAAAAAAAAAACCGTGATTTTACCTACGAGTACAGGCTGTATTTATTTAATTTTTTTAATTTTGAATATTATTGTAACATCGAATAAAATACATAGATACTGTTCTATTACATGTTTTTCTAAATTGATTTACTAATATTATACAATATATTGATGTTTGAACATGAGTATCACTTGTACCGTAATACCTCGAACCCTTCAAATTCCACAACAATAATATATATTTTATGCTATAGACAGTCAAGAGCATAAATGATTAAAATGAAGTGTGCTTGGTGTGCGCTGTATATAAATACCGTACTAAAGAATAATTAAGCACATGGCAATATCGATATATTAAAATAATATAATCAGCTAAAACGGACGATACATTATAGTTTATTTAGACAAAACTCCCTAACCAAACCTAATATTATAAAGTCACTGTTATTATTGTTCGAAATGTCTGCTATTTTTTGTTGGTTTCTTTTTTTATAACGGTTAGGTAAAGTAACGTAATTACTACCTATAGGTATCTTAATAATCTTGAAAACTTACTATACAAACCGAACAAATTCGGTCTTTCATAAAATATTACAATAATTACAACCATAGTTGAATTATAGTTATTTTAAAATGTCATATTCTGAGCAAAAAAGGCATTGTAGTTTCAATAAAATTTTTTCGGTTAGAAAAATGTTCCAATTTTTTCACACAATAACCAAAAATATTTCTAATTTCTGGATAGCGGTATTTCATTTGAACTATTTTTCTATGACAACAAATGGAGATATATTAGTTTTATGTTTGATAATTTCCGGATTATAGATAGGTAACATCTTGATGATTACACGGGGAAAAGATGGCTTATTGGTACTTACATCTAACCAGTTTATCAAGCTTCGATTAGAATCATATTTCTATTGAAATAATTTGTATAAGTTGCTTCCGATAAAAAAAATTAAATTTATCCCTATATCTCATGTGTTCCCGAATTCTCACCTACAACAGTAGCCTACCCGCGCTGTGAAGTATAATGGCTTTTTTTGTTCATCATTTTTTAAAATGTGACACGAATCAAATATTATAGGAGTTTTTTGTGGGTTCTTATGCTATATAGACAGAATAGCAGTACCTAAAAGAGCCACTAAAACAATATTATATGTATATTATATTGAAGAAATAATAATAAACACCGAGTTCTATATTATACGCGGCACGTGTGCAGTGTTATCATATCGTTTAGCGTTTTGGGTGAATGGCATTAAAAGCAGGTGTGTACACCAGAGTTAAACACGAGTTTATATATAATATGTGTAACATAATTTTCTGCAAAGTTAAGCCATCAAGTATTAACTTGGGTATACTGAACGGAAGTCTCCTTGTATAACCACTTTGTCGGTTTTGGGGAGCTAAAGGTGACGCCGATGCGAGCAGACATTGCGCGCAGTCAAATAAACTAAATTGCTACCTAGGTATATCGTAAAAACGGATGTGAGAATTAATGGCCCTAGTGTAGTGTTCGTATAATATACGAAAGTTAAGCCGCTGAAAACGGCGGTGTTACGACTTTTGAATGTTATATATTTTAGGAATTTGTGCGAATGGTTATTATGCCGTCAAGTCTTGGAAATAAATGACGATCGAGGTTGGTAAAAATAGAAATACAAATTTTAAGATTGATAGATATAATACACAAAATACACAAATCTAAATAAAATTTGTAATTTAAAATCAAATTTCTCATCAGAAGAACGTAGTAAAAAAATCCATACCTCAATTTCTTAATTTTCTGATGTACATACTTAGACTTTAGCACTAGAAACACTTTTTTTCTTAATTTAAACCGAACCGATTTTCATTGAATTATAAAAAACAAAAAATCTTTTTTTCTATTTCGCAAACCACGGATTATTTTTATTTTCCAAATTATGTTTTATCATAAATCAATTTGGAGCGGTGATAAATAATACTATAAACGCTATAAATATTTTTAATGCAAAAACCACCGATTATTTTTATCTCGTATTTATTATTGACGAATCAATTAATAAGTATTACTCTCAGCGGTTATTTCGTTCGATTATAATATTAAAAATGAATGAATAATGAAAAGATCATTATCTTTTCGATCTTTTTTTTTTCGACAATATTTTAATATATTAAATTGACAAATATTCAATATTTCAAACGTCCGAATAATATACTTTTATTCTATCATCCTGGCAGTCTCGCCGAAATGAATCGATATTATCGATGGAAATCGTTTTCAATTTGTACTGTGGGAATACTTTAACGGATACTAAAAGTGCACCACTACAACCGATCGATATTTCTCCGGTAGAATTTGTGGACGGTGAAAAAGTTTTTATCCTTTCATCTGATTTTTGATCCTCAAACTATATAGGTATAGGTACTTAGTGTAGCTTCGTTGATAGAGTTTTTAAAATGTTTTTTGTGTATACGGAAACTTTGTGCTACCTGTCTGTATATTATAATATAGGTAGCTTTGAAACTTCAGACGCGAACCCATTTTAAAATGAACCTGCATTTTGTTAATCGCAGAGAAAATATCTCTTAATTAAATTACTCCGCACCTAATTAAAACGTGGCTCGGAGTTGTGGATGAGGAAAGTTTAATTATGATTTTATCGTTGGCTTAACAAATTAATATTAATTTTATATTATTATCTATAATCATTATTTCCTGCAGTGTACCCATACGGTGACTGATAATTGAAGTTTTTATAACTTCTAATCAGTGCGATACTGCGATCCTAAGAGATTTACATTTATATTACTATCTGCAGTTCATCAAACTCCGCTGTTTGAAAAACATAATACAAAAGTCCAATACAACTGATAAATGTGTGTCACTGCAGTTTTTAGAGGGAAGTTGAAAGACAAAACATTATTTAGGGCAGTTGAATATAATATATCTGTAGACTGTACACAACGACGAACCATTGCTAAAGAAATATAATTCTAAATGGAATCTTATAAATTGTAATTTTTCCTCTATTGTAACGTTAACCTAAGAATCAATGAAAATAGTACAAAAAAATTACCAGAATTTCCCATTTATTAAGAAAACTACAAGGAAAATAAAAAAAATAATAACATACCTAAACAATGCTCTAATGAGATAAAAAATTCTACCTACTAGAAAGTTCTGATAAAACATTTGACTAGAGCGAGATTTTTGGTAAAAAAGTTGTTTACAAACACACAAAAAAACTCATAATAAGGTTAATACCTGCCGCGCTTTTCTCAGAATCGAATAGGGTTCCTAAATAACAAACGATTTACATACATCAACAAAAAATTATAACCCAACAAATCCAATAATGAATTTAAAACGGCACCCACGATATTATTTTATCGCGTAACCGGCCGATTTCTAGGTCATGGAATACCATCGTAAACTTATATCTACGGCCAACGATAAACACGTAATACAATAGTATACATTCCATCGTCGTAAAAATAAACCCAACTCAGTGCAATAAACATTACCGCAATATCGATTTAACGGTTAGAAAACATACAAAAAATATGTACATATATATATGCTCATTCGGTATTCTCGCAGTAATTTACCTATTGCCTCATCTGACACCGATTAATTGTTTAGATTCTGAGCAGAGCAATAGTATGTGATTTTATTTATTTTAGTTGTCTAGAGACGACAACTTTTATACCAGAAATTTTGCTCCAACCAAAAAACGACATGAGAGCTGTTTAAAACATTTTGGATCTAGTTGGTAATATTAAAAGGGATATTTTTTATTTTTCATATAGATTTCATAATAATAAGGAAAACCCAGAAAAAAAAAAAAGGACAAATATACGGTAATACAATATTTGAATTTTTTTAAATTATATTTGTTTACCAGAAATTTTGCTCTGAAAGTAGCATATTCTCAGTGTATTTTTTTAATAATTGAAAAAACCCGCTAAAAATATAATGAAAATCAGAGAAGTTACGGCATTAACTTGTTTAGTATATTCGATTTTGCTCTTTTGTTTTAATTTGGTTAAATTTAATCGTAGGCAATGATAGATCGTTACGTACAGTAAAGAATTAAATATGCATTCTACCTTCCCAACATTCAACCTCAAACAGTATCACACTCATCAGCAGTATCAGCTCTATTTGCAAATGATCAACTGTTTTCGAAAACCATTTTTAGTGACTTGCACACATACGGTTTAGAACGTGCTGAATAGTTCGTACGTCTGCAAATACATTATAACATAACATTTAATGATTTCCAGACCTTGAAATCTCGTACGAAGAATCTCACATGATAAAAAAAGTCGAGTGAAATTAAATTGCATACCCATCTCGACAGAGGTGTACAATATAATGTGTATGGGATTCAAGAGAATTGACCCTCTGCTCTTTTCGTAGGCTGTAAAATGGATTGGCGCCTACTGCAGTTTTTGACTCCACGCTAATCTAATTTATTTTCGGTCGTTTGACCGTATACGTGATTAAAATACAAGAGAAAAAATCACACGAACCTCCAAAAATATAACGATATACACACGTACATTATTAGGATTTTAGAGTACATTCCCGGAAAAAAACTCGATTAACAAACAAAATAAAAAGGCGGACATCCCGTTATTAAAGTTATGTACCTAACTCAATCAAAGGTAGACAAATTTTTTTTTTAGATTCTCAGTGTAACGAAAAAGCTATTAGTTTTCAAAACATTTTTATGATCTGATTTTTACTCTTCATATTTTAAACAAATGTATAATTTTCTAGTACTTTGGTTGAACAATTTTCCTATTTTAACGACTAAAAAATTACAAAAAAAAAATTGACAGTAAATGTAATTACCTGATTTTTTTTGTCGATTTCTGGATTACCTCGATCATATACGGGCAAAAACTTGTTTAACCACTCTGGTGTACAGAGCTTCATTCAGAATCAGTTTTTCGATAGCAATAATTTATCGTCGCTTTTTGTGTACTCTACGTACTAAACTACCGGTCCTATAATAATTATTTATGTCCTATGCTTAATTTCCCAAATGTCCACCGACAACAATGGCCCACCCGCGGTTTAATTTCAAAATGGCCACGAGTGTCGCAGGTCGGTAATCGCGGCGTAACATCAAGTCGGTTCATCGTGGTTAACATTAATATTCGGCGACGTCCGTGTACTTAGCGCCGCGGCTCGCATTGATAATTTGCTCGTTAATTTTCAACCGTGATGCCGGCAGCGGCGGTGGCGGTAGTCTCGTATTCGCGGAAAATGCTAAAACAAACGACCGCGCCAAAACAATGGTTGAAATAATATATTATTATTATTATATATTGTGTACACTCGGCTTTTTACAGTATACGCCTCTCGAACACGAGCATTTACAATAATAACCGTTAAAGTTAGTCAGCGAGGTCAATGCGTATAACGAGTATAATACTTAAATCTAAAATCAATGAACGAAATCGCCTCCTATAGCTCAGTATACGAATATAATAGGGACAATGTACCTGATACTTTCATTGGGGGAAAACTGACGATAAAATAAAACACACACACACAGAATCGATAAGTCAGTGAGTAGCTAAGTATACTAAGTGTATATATTTATCGATATTGTCACGGGCCGAATATTTTGTAAAATAGGTAGATATATAAAATAAATAAAGTGGCGGATTTTAAAAAGAGTTGAAAACTGATGATATTATAAAAGATCGCATACTACGCTATGGTAGACTTTTTCGATTATTGAATAATTAAACATACTCATAGAAGATAAAATTGGAAAACGAAGACCAAGGACTGGCATGAGAATAAGGATTTGAGTTTTGACAGAAATGCGTAGAATCCTATAGCCGACGAATCGAACTGTAGACTTCACGAAAAAAATAGCGAACGTAACGCAAATATTATTGCAAAAACATTTGTATTTTATTTTATATTTAATAATAGTACGTACCTAATAATTCGTCGGAGTGACGAGAAATACAATATAACTATAATAAAACAGAGTGGTTCTTCATTGCAGCGACGACACTCGACGATTATTATTATTTCCGATTCGGACGGAGGATTGTTGTGCAGTTCATTTACTAATGAGCGTTTTTAATCCATTTGAAGTCGTGAAGCTATACATGAATCTCGTGCAGAGTTTGAAATGTACAACTATTCGTTGTTTTTTTTTTTTTTTTAATTGCATCCATTGCCCTGCCTAGCGACGTTTATAATTGTATAGATTTCTATCAAATGGGTAAGGGTGAAAGAAATTGTAGTCACGGGGGCCTGCAGCAAAACGAATGTTAAGAAAAAATTCCGTCATTTCCTAACCTGATACTGCTCCAAGGAAATTAGTGAAATAAAGAGAGAAGGAAAATGGCAAATGTCACATCGAGTAAGTCCCATTTTAAAGTAAAAAAGTTGCAAACGGAAGAATATAATAAGACAAAAGGCTAAAAGAACGAGATTATATTATGGCATTATGATATTTTGGGAGAAAACAGTATTGACAGGAAGGGAGAGTTAACAATTTCATTTAACTAAGACAAAATTCAGTAAAGTTTCAAATTTAAAGTAAACTAATTATTTTTTTAATTTCGTTTAGTTAAAATTAAATTCCTAAACAAATAAATTAAGTTATAATTCTAATTGAGTTGAAAATAAACTTCACATTTTTTTCGGCAATCAAAATATATTAACAGAAGAAATTAGATCAAATGTCTCCAATAATTTTACGGCAGGCCAAAACGTTTCGCTATCGTAAACCAAAACTAGAAGAATATAAAAAAAAAAAGAAAAAAGTCTATTATCGAATAAACTTATTAGTTATTAATAATTCATGTTAAAACTCAAGCACCTTGCACTATAGCAGTATAGTTTCTTTGAACATTATATTTTTAAAAGTTTCCTGAAACTATGGCCTATATTATATACTCAGTTTACATTGGTCAATAAACTAACGAAAGGCAACAGACTGACGAACTGTCGCGAATCCGTTAAGAAACCATCGCATGATGGCAGCAGTGAACTTTCAAGATCCTTTGATACTACACATTACATAAATATGTATAACATCGGAAAACCCTAAAACTAAAATTACTTAATTTTTTTTTTTAACGTCTTTACGGTTTTCTATACTTTTATTTTGTGCATTGGAATAATTTTCGTACAATATACTATATTATTAATTCTCTGAATTGGCTGTTACCAGATTTTCATCTGAATTATAACAACAATATATAAACTATACGCAATATTATAATATTTATTAGTGCTTCGGCCGAAAGCGTACTTTAATGCGTATATTTAACACTCGATCCAAACTCTGCGTATAATAACAATACAGTTGAATATTTAACAAGTTTGTTGTAATTTACGGCGCCACAGTATTCAATTGTTATTTATTTATTTTTTCGTACAGAGAATAACAACACACCGAGCTCACAGATATTGCCAAAAATTAAGTTCAATTTCCCGATATTCTTCTTACAAATTGTATACATATATAATACGTATGTATATATTAATATATATTTTTGATTTGGATCCAAGCGTTATGCTTCGTCTAAATGAATATTTGTGTGCTTATCTTTTATTTTAGATAAATAAGAAATAAGTTGTTTGAAATAAATGATTAAAATATCATTTAGAAATCATTGATTGTTTTTTTTTTTAAACCGGAACTGATATTTTTAAATCAAAATTAAAAATCATATTTTATATATTTATTAAAAATAATAGATAAAATATTTAGTTTTTATTAATACAGTTCGATAAATAAATTAAATTAAATCAATCGCACGACCTTTTTGATATTTAGATGTGTACCAAATATAGCACATTTTCACTAGGTAATTTACATAGATTTACGATTGGTAATGAATAAAATAATATTATTTTATTTTAATAAAAAATGTTGCTGATTACTTTTCTGTATCTATTTATCTGAGATAATTCTACCAATTTTATTATCTTTTATCTTTATCTATATATTTCTATATTTATCTTTATATAATATTAAATATATTTAGATTATCGAAGATCAATATGGAAATTTCTCACGGAAATGATTAAATATGATATTATTATAATCATTAATATATAAATATAATAATAATTTATTTATTATTTTTTTTTTTTATCAATCTTTTACTTCTCTTTAGCTTTCTTCTGCGGCCACCCCTGGTATTCTTCTATTTCCCATACCCCAAAATAATATATTGTCAATAATTTCTTTTAAATGAAGTGTAGTGATATATATATATATATACATATATTTTTTTTTAATAATCAATTGATTAAATTGTTGATATCCCATCGCAAGACCTGTCTTGTTATACCGTTAAAAATCAGTTTCGTTGGATTACATGTGATAATATGTAACTTTAACAAAAATAAAAATAAAGCTCATAATCAATTTCCAAACAATACGTGCGAAATTATTATATTTAAAGAAACGAACATTTTTTTTTTTAATGTTTAAGATGATATTTAGTATCGCGTATGATTTTTTTTTAACTCGTGTTACAGTTTTCTTGAATTGGCATTAAAATAACGCGTTTACAAAGTTTAAATTCGTAGCTATTAGAGTTCTCACAGTACTATACGAACATTAAAAGGTTTTAGGAAAATCAATATCCGATAGACATCAAGTAATAAATAAAACGAAAAACCAGCGAAAACGAGAGATTATAGAAACATATTATTAATTTTTACGGAAATGGTTATTAGCTGTATTACAATAATTATTTTAAACTGTGTTTCGGAACGTTTAAAAAAAAAATGAACGTCGGGTGGCACAAGGAGAAAATCAATACGGACCTCCGCCGCGACCGGTGCCCCCCTCGTATTTGTTGGCGGTGACTCTAAACCAACAAAGTGAATCAGGTAAACAGTATTCTCGGGAAAGGTAAACATTGTTTGTTGTTCGCCTAAGCCGCTTATATTAAACGTGTTAATATTTTGTTTATCCGAAACGATTTCAGACGATGTCGTTCTCGTAGCCGTCGGTTCTCTTACGATACTATCATCAAAACATATTAATAAAAAAATACGTTTTATAGTGATTGTCCGATGTTTATTTCACGCCTCCGAGAAGTTCCAACGAGATTGTCACCTCGAAAAAGAGGTAAAAATGAAAACACAGTTTCGCACTTTCGAATCTTACGAAAATTTGGCTTCAATGGCCGAAAAACAAGAAAATATTTTATAAAAGACAAATTTAAAAACGGCCGAAATTCGAATTGTGAGCACTCGCATAGACATTGAACTTTAAAAACCAGACTTTTAGATTATGTCGGACTTCCATCCATCCACCGTATGTATGTTATAAATAATATTACACATATTTTCCGTGCTATGATTTTTATCATTAACTGTTGGTTTTAAAATGTGTTTAATAAACCGTTGCGAATCTAGAAACATTATTTAAATGCTCGGTGGGAAACTATTGGAGGATTTTTAGCAACCGACAAAGCGGTCACAAAACAAAACCTATACATTATTATATTGCACCACTCGGAACATAAAATTAGGCTCCGTCCGTTGTTTTATCTTATTTCAACGAGAAATCGATTGCGGAAAATAATCAATATATAGTCTCTACGTAGGATCTAGGAAAAGTGATTCCGGGTAGATTGGAAAAAAAAATGTTGCTAAAAATCGTACACAGGAAAAAATGAATAGAAAAAAAATTTCTTTGGTATATGAGAACTATTATTTACCCATAGTTGAGAAGTGATCAAAACTCCGACTTAAATATTTTTTTTTTTTTTGTCAACTTGCTCGCGAAACAGCCATACCTGCGATTTTTGAAATTAACGTTTACGGTGTATATTTTAAATGTTAAGCTACCCAAAAACTGCAACTAAAAGAATCCACTGAATTTATTTAATTTAGATGTGTGCCCCCCCCCCCATTTCTCTCGTTTTTGTTCTGAATATATATTACTAATATATATTACATAAAGTGAAAGAGAGAAATAAGATATCCAGCAGCACCGAATTCTCGTCGAAATTTTCACCGATTCCCTCGGGATCTCCCACAAAACGCGAGACAATATTATTATATTATAACCGACACGCCATCGCTGCGCTTTCCGTTTCGAAGAATTTTTCACTGTACCCATTTTTGAGTAGGTACAATATTATGATATTCTGAATGCTTTTTATAGTATTGGTTATTTTTTTTTTCGTACGGTTTTTAAATGATTGTGCGCTCGTTTCGATTTTGTTGATATTCACAGGAGAATATTAGTAACTTTTAAAGCAGATATTTATTTGTATGCCATAAAAAACCTTATATTATATGTATGCAGATAATGTACTAAAAATACCAGATTGTAGACTAAAAATATGTTGTAAAAAACTGTATCTGTAAAAGATGTTATGTTGATGTATTGTCGTCTTTTTAATAAATTATTAAAGCCGTATATTTAACCCGTTTGTTTTAACAAACTATTTGAGTGAAACAAATTCATGAATAATAATATTTCATGCAAAACATGGTTATCCACTAATTGTATACCCTATTTTATTGATATTTACATCATTTCAACAATTATTCTCAATTAATTTAGTTGAAAATGTCTTAAAAATGTATAAAATCCTTCATATATGTCCTACGAATTCGAAAATATCAAAAATATTGGTCAAAAGACAAGGATGGACGAATGACGGTGACAATACCGTACAACAAACTTGTTGGGAAAAAAACAATAGTGAAGAAAAGATCGCTAATATGGATAGATGGAAGAGAAGAGTGGTGGTTATGTCTGAATATGGATGTGATACATTAAGTCAACGGAGAAGGTGTCTTATTCGAATTTCGCTCGGAAAAATATTATTCGTCGCGGTGTTCTGTTTGTTTAGGTATAATAATATACCTACCGTTTTTAAAGCACGTCAGACGACTCGCGGCAATGACGAGTGGAACCAAATTTTTGTATTCGTTACACGCTTGTAAGCATATATGGTTAAATTTAATATTTTCTACATGCATTCAAACGGCAAAATGATTAACGAGTTTTGGGTAATTATTATATTTACGCTTATACGCTTATGTCGGTGTTTTTACACATTTTTCAAACACGACAACGACGTTTACAGCAGTTTCAGTAGAGTAGTTTGTTTCAGTTTATCGATCATTGTGCATATCATTATATGCAATGTATGGTTGGTATTTCCATTATACTGTCATCACCGTCCGATATTGTCCAGCTTTAAAAAAAAATAATAAACACCCGTAACAAAGCTTTGTCATAATAGAATCGAATTTTCCAACATCTATTTTGTATTATAGACATAATCTATGTAAAACTATAAATAACGGAATATTATAATAATATAATTATTTACTGTACCAAAATTATATTATTTTCAAAAAAAAATTGTGAAATTTAAGTATACAACAGACTATAATAGTGTTGAAAATCTCAAAAGTCATATCCTTTATTTTAACGTCATACATAATAATATATAAAATGTCATTTCATTGACTTCATTTAAGATATTTATAGTGTTCAAATCTAAAAAAAAAACTACAGATACCAAAAACATATATACCAACAACATGGTTAAATTCATTAACCATTTGTCACTTCAATCCGTCTATAAAACACCTTTATCACCAGAGTTGAGTTTATATATGGTTTAGAGAGAACTCTTCTAAGTATACAAAAGTAACGCGAATTGTCTGAAAAAATCGACAGTTAAAAAAAATAATAATAATAATAAATTTAATTTATGAATGGATAAAATGAATAAATGAGTAAAATGAATGGACTGGATGAATTTGTGTAAACCCGGAATAGAATATTCAAGTTAATGATGAAGAATGACTAATTTATATTTTATTATCCTTGTACAACTATTGCTATATACGACGATTATAGATAGTACTAGATACTGTAGTCCATATTATATAATCGGTTTTTCGGTACGATAACGTCTCTATCATAAATATACCTTATCTTAATCGTACTTTATTTTTAGCCGCAACTTGGGCCCAACGACACGACTATGCGTATAATTTCTATAAGGATGCATTTAAAGTATTTATTATTTTTTTTTTTAGTTTTATGAGGGATCCTGTATTCCTAGACTACATACCTACTGTAGTCACAAATAAATAAACCAATACATTAATAATTTTAAATTATCCCATTTGTTTTTTTGACTTTATAAATTATGTTTTTCTTAACAAATCTAGATTAATTTGACAAGTACATACTTGTACATATATGACTTCCATAATAAATTTAAAGAGAAATACGATAAAATATTTTGAACACTTACAACAAATATTTATTGGTTTTTAGTGTTATTTTTTAATAATTATTGAAAATATCGGTTTCTAACATCTGAAAATGTACCAATAATTATTTTTAACAAAAACAAAAACTAGAGATAGGTGAGTCTATTCAACTCATTATTTTTTATACAAACAAATAAAATTATCATTTTTACATTAATAAAATTAAAAACTATAAAAATATCACTTTTTTCATAAAATAATTGATTTTTACCCCTAAATATCATCCGAAAAATATGAAAAAATGCATAACATTTTTATGTACTCTCAGAAATAACATACTAAAATAGCGAAGAAATCTGACCCAAAAAAAAGTTTTTTTTGATCCATCCTATTATAGTCTTTATTTTCAAGGTTTTTGGTTTTTTTTATAAAACATCTAAATTTTTTTTAGGTAACTAATTAATACGCTATATAGGTTTGATATAATGACCAACGTGCAAAATGTCTCTATTTATGAAATTATGAAAGGTTTATTTCGATGTTTTTTTCTACTACGAGTATATTAAGAAAGAAAAAAAAGGTTTACAATAAAAAAAATCTTACCACTTTAGTGTAAATGTGCAGTACGAGTGAATTGATATTACAGACCGCGTAAATATGTTACAAGTTGAAAATAATTTATTGACATGGCCCATCAGACGATCTAATCGTAAATTAAACATTTAAGAAAATTCGATCGATTCTTCTTTGCAAAACTATAATATAATAATAGTATTATTATTATTATTACAGATAGACAAAAACGATCAGTTTTATTTTTAAAAAAATACGAAAGATTGAACACTGATTATTATTATTTTTTTCCTCAAAAACATTTTTCCTATAGGAATAAATCTTATTCGTTGTAAGATAAACCGATCCTGATCATCAAGATCATTAAAGTATATATTGGATTTCGATTTTGAAAATTATACTTCTAATTGTTTTAGTTAGAAGTTGAATGTGACCAATTTTTAACAATTTTTTTAGTTTCGTTTTAATTTTGAATAAATCAAAACCCAATATGTCACACAGAAATTTTTCTCCTTTCAAAAAAAAAAAAAAAAAAAAAAAAACGAAATAGGATCACAACGATCACCACGAGAATTTTTCCGGTAAAACATGTTTTGAACATAAACATAAAATATAAAGTTTCGTTAAGGTATAACAATTATAACTTTATGTACTAATATTGTTAAAACTTTTTAGTAATTTGTAAAAATCTACCATCAATCATTATCAATAAGACAATAGTATCTTTGCACGCTATTTCTATTTATATTTGTGTCGTTTTCAATTTTAATTTCCATTTTACATTTGAAATGTTCGGAATCGAATGTCAAAATAATATTTTATCATGTTAAATTTTACGACTCCGAGTATTGTAAGTTATGTTTATATCGTTCTCACCGTCTGTTTTATACATAAATAATAAAATAATAACAATTTATAACACGTCACTGAACTGTTGTCACTTTCGACCGGTTGTAGTGCTATATAATACGTATAATACTTATTCAATACATTTTTTTTTTTAAATTAAATATTCTAAAACATTTTTATTTTTTTATTTATACGAATATTTCCTTGTTTATACTGCTATAGCTTTTCACAAGAAACAAAACAAACTCTTTATGATCATCACGAATAAATATTATAAAACAATAATATTAAATTGCGATTAGGCTCGTAATGTAAAAAGTTCACCTTCTTTCTATATAACCCCTTATGATGGTCAATATTCATAAAATGTTTAGTATCTATTATAATACTTAAGTCCTATTTTCAAAAAAACAAATATTACCTTAATGAAATTTTGTTTTATATTTTTAAAGATGAATATAAATAATGAAAATAATTCAATTTTCAAATAAAAATAAAAAATACTAAAAACCCTGTGCAAGCCACCTTTTAGTGGTTAAATCCAGCTTCGTTATGCATATTGAATTCATATATAGGAAAGAAATCAAAGAACTAAGTAAGTCATTATTTGAATAGAAAACAGTATAGCAGCATTAAATCATTCAAAAAAATCTATGGGTTGAAAAAAATAAATAAATAAATAAATAACGCACGAGCGCACGAAATTTGCATTTTATTTTTTATGTTTTTCACGGACTGATAACGCGAGATGGTCGCACGTCCTCTTGTAAACTCCGTTTTCGAACATAAAATTACTGCAATGTTGTGTTTAGTTTCTTATTGAGACTAAAGCGGTAGCGGTGTCATTAGATATATAAGTGTACAAAACCTGGATTGAGTAATTATAGTTTAAAAAGAAATCGGGAAGCATTTTGAATGTGATATGAACGATGTTTATGATTAAATAAGAGAAACATAGAAGTTAGGGAAAAAATTTGGTAAGATAAAAATACTTTGACAAATTATAAAAAAGAACAAATAGGTCACATATGATTATTTATATGTGACCGCCATGATGGTTTGTAAGCATTGGTTATTGAAGGTTATATAGAAGAGAAAATTTAAAGACAATTTTAAATTTAAAAGAGGAAAGATGGAATAAATGTATGAGCAATAAAAAACTAGAATAGCAAGAAAGATTTATCGAGAGTTAAAAGATTTGATGTGTTTTAACAGAGAAGCATGGAGTGCTATAGCCAACCAATCGAAAGATTGAAGACCTAGTGAAAAATTACGAGACTATTTATTGGTTACATTAGTAAAATCGAAACATTAATGAAACTAAATATTACAGGTAAATGACTGTACGTCCATGCTCTTTAATTCGTTAAAAAATTGTATTAAAAATATAATAAACTGAAATACATATTATTATTATATGTACGTGAACTATTTTCGAAATCTGCATTTTTTAATTTACCAAAAGCTTGGAAAACAGATGTATTATGTACATTAATATTGCGTATTTTATAAACTTTATTAATTATATAAATATAATATTATACTTATTAAGCAATTTAAATTCACATAAACTTTTTATATAGGTACTTTTAATAATGTGAATAATTTACCGTTAAGTTAATCATTATGTTCAGTTAAATCAGTTATTTTCTCGATATTTTTATAAAAAAAAAAAAACTGTAATACTTTGTTATACTTTATTATACTACTTTATATTACAAGTATAATATTATAATTATTAATAACTATACTACCAAATTAATTTTTATGAGCCCTACCTACAGCTATTATATCTAAAAGCCGTACGTATCGAATCTTCAGTAAATTATTCAAATATTTACGGTTTTTAATACACGAATTATTAATTTATTCTGTTAACGTTTCTCCCGTATAATACTCACTTTGTAAAATGCAAACAAAAATTCCACAGTCTTCTATATATATAAAGTGCCAGCTAAATAAACCGTTAATCGTATAAACCATTATAGGTACGCCGTTTTTAATTCAATTTGGCAAATATAATGTGTATCTTATCTGTATTTGTAGATCTCTGTGTAAAACGTATCATAAATCACAACATTTTTATTATTATTTGATTGAACCCACGTATTATATTATATAAACAGGATAGAAAAATATATACCTTTACATTTCAATGGTGGATTTCGATCACATATTTAGTACATTTTGTTTGCTTGCCGACAATAACACGAATATTATAGTATTACACGCATGAAAAATGTTCACTCAAAATATTATCACAGAAAATTGTGTTTCCATTATGACCTAAAACTATATTGCTCATCAATAAAAACGTAGTCGACTGTGGGTATTTAATACGAATACTGAAAATGACTTTTACGAGAAAAGAGTCGGATGCTACTTTACTAATTATCAGACATTTTTAATAAGCTGGCAGAAAAACATTCAGTTTGAAGAACAGATAAGACAACTTGATTTAATCAGCATGAATTCTAGCGTTGAATTTGCGTTATTTTCAGCTTATTCTGGGGAATAATGTGATACCAATTTGAATTTTTTGGAGAACTGCGATTAAATTTGTAGGAACTTAGGAAGACTTATTTAGGTGGAGTTCGTAGGTAGACTAGATAAGCGATACACCAAATTTATGCCAGTTAAAGTACCTAATATAAAATGAACCGAAAAATTATCCACAGTCAAGAGTGGAAAGCCTACTGGTAGATACGACAGTTTTGACTTAAAACTTCTAAACAATGTATGATGATAATGGACGCAGGGGCTAGGCACAGGTGGAGCAATATAACCAAGAACGACTACGTATTGTAAAACACCCCGTGTACGATGAGACACAATTAAAGAAAGATAATCAAAATAGTGTGTGAGTAAAATTTAAGACGCCAAAAAATGTATTAAACGCAGTCACACTTTCACTATCGTTTAATGACTTCAAGATGCATGAGTCAATAATTATAAAGGAAATAAAAACAAATGGACATACTTCGCACATGTTTTGAAAGGCCGTAATATTTATGATTTGAAAATAATAAAATTAGTACATTTTCCCTTTTTTTTCTTTTTATTATGAAAACTCATGAGAAAATAAAAAAAATTACTTCTTTAAAGTACGACTCTATTAAGATTTTCTTTCAAAGAAAGTAATACACTTAAAAATTTGAAAAGTTGTTCATAGAAAAAAAAATAAACATCATTGTAGAACAATACATTCCTTGCTCCTCTCAGAATCTAAAATTATCGGTGGAAAATAAGACGAAGCAGAAAAGGTACACGAGCACGTAGTTAATTCAACAGAGTAACAAAAGATAAGATTAACAGAATTAACTTGTAAATAATGATGCAATAAGCAATAGCCGATACGTGACGCCGTTAAGGTACAGTTCGCTAGGCATAACATGTTGCAACTACGACAAGTCGCCAACTTGTGATTTTATTAAAACTGTATGAACTAGTTTGTTTAGCGCGACCGAACTTTTAATCTTTGCACAGAAAACATAAATGCATAGAAACTATTTGTAATAGCGTGACATACGGTTTGAATATTGTTTAAAATTCCAACCGCATCAACTTTGGTTTTCTTTGCATCTGAAGATGAAATTCTCATACGTGAGGTACAGAACAATTAGATTCTGTATAATATGGAAGATTCCAATTATAAATATACCATATTGAAGAATTAAATGTGGAAACATATATCTTTGAAATTAGGAAAATCGGGTAAGGACACATTTTAAATTATATTTTAAAATAATAAAAAAGTTACAATAATAATAATTATAGTAGCTGTTAAAATAAAAGTATCATAATTAATTATTAAAAAATAAACCAATATTCTTATTTTTATATGATCAATATACCTAAAACGTAATAATAATAAATGAATACATTGTAGTGAATGTAACTAAAAAAAAGGTGGACAAGCATTAAAGACTTTTATGCTAAGAATAAAAGGAAGCTAGGTACTGTATCAGCAGCATCAAATAAAAAGAAGTGGACGTTAGCATCCCACCTTTGATTTTTTGAGCAAGTTGAATATGAAAGATATGTATGTTCATAAATTAATATAATTATAAATAATTTATTATTGTTTGTAATATTGTAAGACTGGACCTAACTTTATAGGCTACAATATGTTTTAACAATTGCTTTTTTACATAATAATCGTAATCGTGAAAATACATCATAAAATTAAAAATATATTATGCACCAGTTTCTAAAATTAATAATACGTATTTAATATTAAATAATAATAAAAAGAAAAAAACATTATTCAGTTAGTTGCACTAGTTTTCTTATAATAATTTTTGTTTATTTTACTATCGCTATCTTCTATTATTTAGATTTATATTTTAAAAAATTACCACTACGGTAATCACTTTATACAAATACTATAATATATATTAAGTAAATAAAAATGATTAGTTCCAATAACTATAAGACATTTTACTAAGGTATCTATCAATAATTTCCATCATAGATGTATGTTTTACATACGTGTATGTTGTATTCTATGATATTTAAATTTACAGATCGACTTCCAACGATATTAATAATCAAGGACTTGATACCGGAAGAAGAAGAATACGATGAAGTATGTAATGAAACAGAGAATAAATCTCCACCTCAATTGTTCATTAAAAAACATGGTCTTACAAAGTCCAACCAAATGTCTGATTTGTTGATAAAAAATTCAAATTAACGATATATGTTGATAAAAAAATACAGGCCCAAACTAATCAAATTTTAAAGAAGGATAATATGGATTTGTTTTTTAAAGCATTAGCTTTAACAGGAAAAAAATTCTCAAGTTAAATAAAACATGAAGCAAAGTTCAAAATATTTGCAATAATGGCAGAATTAGAAGAAAAGTATTCAATACCAGAAACCACTTCAAGTTCACTTCAATCACCATCATCAACAATACCATGCCCATTTTCAGAGTCTACATTTTCCCAGTTCAATTTACATATTTTTGATGACTCAATTCCGTGAATTATATTTTATTTAATAAACATTATATTATTTAAAAAATGTATTAAGTGGTACATAAAGTTACAACAAAAAATAAAATCAATGATTATAATAAATTTTGTAACATATTTTTATAACTATGAAAAATAAATAATTACTACTATCAAATTCAATTTATTGGGAAAATAAAAACTATTTCAAGACTTCTTTAATTTTATTCAACAAAAAAAAATATTAAAAATATATTGTATTTAATTTTTTGGATTTAGTTGGCAGGCAGACACCCTTTATTATTTCAAAAATGTTTTGAACATATCCCTACTCTAAAACCTTTTATCAAGATTCATTTCAACTTAACAAGATGCCAGGGAAATGGACATTGGTCCGAGTACATAATTCGAATCTAACGTAACATTTATTATACAAATAAATTATTCTTATTTTGCTTTATTTCCGTTTTCGGGTTATTTTTCGGCAAATTTAAGGGCCAATAAATCCAAATATCAAGCAAAATCAGTTAGGACCCTCACCAAGTCACTATATTACCTATTCGATTTTCGACGGATGCACTCGAAACACGCGGCGTAATATTATAATATATTATTTCTGTATGCATATTATACACAATAATGTGATAGTATGTCATACTTTACGATCGTCGCGTTACGATAATAATAATATACTGTTACTATATACCTGATCCGACCTCGGACTGTCGGGTCAGTGTTCGTATAAATAATTGTAAATTTGGCGTGTTCGATTAGTCGGTCCTGCGTAGCCAGACATGTATGTACTCACTTAACGATCACTCTATATAATCCCGGGCCTAGTACTCGCATACTCGTATGCCTCGATTTTTATTTTTTTTGCTTTCAATAACAGGATAGATCAGTCAGTTAAACCACATGACGACTATATTAAGCTAGAATTATTATTTATTAGTTATTTCGACTAGACAGTTGCAGAACGGATAATTTCGCGTTAGTGTCAATCTTAGAGTGTTTTTTCTCGTTTTCGTACTGAAATATATGCGAAATTATGGTAATATCAAAGCTCTGGGGTATAATTAACAATCACGTTTTCTACTGCAAGTTCCCAAAAGAAACTTCTTAGGATGATATTTAAAAAAAAGAGGTTTTTTTTTTATTTTTTCCTTAACTCGAGGTGTTTTTTAACTTTGCTGCTAAAGATTTCTCATAAGCACACAAGAATGTTGTGTCCCCCCATCAAGGATGTGTTTAATGATCTCGGAGAAAATATTAAGTATGATTATTCACAAGTCATCCACAGAAGTCGCACGCACAAATTGTGTTTATACTGCATCAAACGCTATTCACTCGTAATGTTTATGAACGAAAAAAAAAGTTCTCGACCCTTTATATATATACGTGCTTTGTTTTGACCAAGAAAATGATATTTAGTACAAACAAAAAGTAACAATTTAGGGAACGATTATGTTTCCTATACAGAATACTACAGCAATTTTTGTATAAGTAAGATGGTTTTGCTGTGTGCTATAAATTGCCAAACAGACAACCAGCGATCGAATCATCGATTGAATTCAATTTATTTATACAGGTGTAAAAAAACCATTGAATCTTAAAACACTAGAAAAAAATTGTCCATTTCACGTGCAGACAATAATTTAAACCGTAAAAAAAATAAATGCATACAAATTACGTTATTCAATTAAAATTGCTTCTTGCAAACTGGAATTTTGTATTTTCGTGAAATAAGATTCGATGATTTTGTTACACTTGTATGAATAAAATATAAAAATACACCGACGGAAAAGAATACTCTAAATGTTGTACTCTCAATATTGTTGACTAAGCATCACTATAAACTGAACACCGCTCAGAATCGTTTTTTCGTAAGTAATAGTTTATCGTTTAACAGATATACATTAAATCCCCCCCACCTACATCAGAGGCTGCACTTGTCCCCATTTTCTTACCTTTCTTTTTTATTTTTGTAGGTACATTTTATCCTCCTGTCATCTACGGCAAAAACGTCTATTACAAAACATTAATTAATAAAGTGCTATCGCATGATTATCGTTCTTCAAGAGCGTCAGATGAGTACCTTGCCGATGACATTTTAACGGAATCAAAATGGCCGCATATTATGCGTGTATAATTTATTATTATTACTTTTCACATTTTGTGTTATTATTCACGGACTATAATTTTTCCAAAGAAATTCATTATTTTCAATCCTCGAAGAGTATTCACGAGCACCGCCATCTTCCTTTCCCACCATATCGACCATCATGTTCCCCGGAATTTTCGTGACACGGGAGTGCGCGTGTTCACGGATCGATGCGGGAAAATAGAAAAACTTATCAGTTTTCGCCTTTTCGACGGGTTTTTATTTTTCTCGTGATCCTCGTACACGTCCTAATTGGCTATAATAATAATACTCGTATAATATACCGAGACCACGACGAGAAAACCGTTTACCTTGTCCGTCAGACGAGCAAACTTGAACGGATATATTATACAGAGTGAATCGTTTATAACAAGTTACATACATATTATTTTATTTAGCACAAAAATGTACAAATCAAAATTTGGTGTTCGTTTTGGTATAGATGAACGTGATAAAAGTAAAATTTCGAAAATGTATGTACTGCAACTGTTAATATTTATTTATGTATTCGTGTATGGCTTTTCTTGAATCAATGTTCAAACAATACTGGTATAAAACTAAACTAGTAGAGCGGGTCGATTATCAATGGAAACAAAGTATTATAATATGTTACAAACTAACGCGCAAATCCCTGATCCTTTTCGTCGCCTCGAGTATTATTGTATCATTCCCCTCGATTCCTTAATTAAATTTTCTCGTTTGACATTCCATTATATTAATGTGATTTATGGTGTGTCCTTTGACCGCCACAGTCACACGCCGGTCATTGCTTGTCCATAGTCGATTTAGTGTTGCTTTTATTTCTTGGTTGCTATCCAACACGAGGTTATTTTTTTTTTTTTTTTGAGATGAAAATATATTCGCGTACCAAAAACTAAAAGTAAAATACGACTTTTTATGAACATAGTATACGAATTCAAACTGATGCAATGTTCGCTTGGAATCTTACATTTATTATGCATGTTAATATTCTTATAGGTATTTTACATGTTGAAGACTACAGGTACTGAAGGAGAATGATTTCGTGTTTATCATTTTCATGGCGTCCAGCTACCGAACTTAATTCAAACGACTTTTATACGTAGCTCAATTCCAAGCTTAATATAATCAAATTCATGTCATACATATTTTAATATTATCTAATTTAATTTAGCTGTGTGCGTTATTGATATAGTTATATTTGTTTTTTAATTGTTTTATTAAATACTCTTACATTCCAACGAAACCAAAAACTGGGATAAAAAATTAGCCCTGGCATTCATAGAATAAGGCCCCATATTTCACCAATATCAGCACTTATAGATTTAATGAGAGGAATGTATATAAGCAAATTTCTTAAAATATGCTCTACAACGACTGCAACTACCTACTATATTATAGTATCACTATTTATTAGTAGGGAATGGATTTATATGTAACTCAAATTCACAAAAAAGCTTTTAAAAACGTCATAAAAGAAATTATTTAAAGAATATTTAAAAGAGCAATGATTGTAGAGGGGTTTAAAAGATTTCCCATCTATCGTTTCTAACTTATTAAGAATAATTGATTAACACCAAAAAAAAAACGATCATTATACAAAACAATTTTCATCAAGTATATGTGTACGTGTTTAAAAAAAAAATAATAATAATGGTTTGTGTTATCATTTGTCAGTGTTCGAAAATTGTATTCAATATAGTTAGAACTATTAGAGTGGGATTCTTTAAAGCCCTTTAACCCGCTTTAGATTTTTGAATATTTTTAAGTGCTTTTTTGACGATTTAAAAGCTTTTTTTCGGATTTTAAGTACTTATAAATCTGTTTTCTACTTATTAGTATTGTCCAAATAATATTGCAAATGTGTACTGCACTGAAAACACGAGTTCAATATACTTACGTTTGAAGAGCCGAAAATTTTAGTGGCCTCGCAGATTACTCACCCGCCCGCCATCCGGCTCATTTCACGACCTATATATGTGGTTTCTTTGTGGTGGATCAAATTAAAGTATAAAGTTTGAGTGGCTGATAATAATAATTCGTTTAATTTAGCCTCATATAGACTTAAATTTTTTGTTAATCACAAAATTAAACTAAATGTGTTGGGACCGTTGAAATAAATGAATGATCTTTTGATTTAAATATTTAGCCATACTATACTTAGAAGTCTGTAATTATATAGTGCAGTAACCAGGTAGAGCACGGGGATCATGTATCTTGTATCCATGAAATTCTGTTACGTTTTGATAAGAGTAGATAACATAAATGTATTTGAACTGCTAACGAAATTTTGAATAATTGAATGTACATGGCTGGTTCTGGTTGTCACTACTTGCTTATGATCGGTATAATTTATCAGTTGAATTTTATGAAACGTTTTCCATTAGAAATAATCAAATCATAGGTATGCAATTTGACAGACGTATAATTTAATTTCATGGATCCATTACTTATTTTTAAGCGACCCAATATTGACGACAGTAGATTATTTCCATATTTCATATTTCACAAGCAAGCGTTCGGATAGAATTTGTTTAAAATCTACCCGGTACAGAAAATAAACGTTAGTAAAGATACAAACGTGTTATTTTTTCAGGGGAGGCGTTCCGCTCTGTCGCCCACCCCCGTTGAGAAATCCACGTTACGCCACCGCGAAACTATATATGTATATTATTATAAAAACGTATGACGAAATTCAATATATAATTTAATGTCTGTGAGGACGGGGGTGAAGAAAACAACCAGAAATCGAAAATATTTTACACTGGAAATATAGACCTCGTCTCTGTATACGTAAATATACATATACACATACGATCACCGCGGGATGAAATCGACCGCCCTGCGCAGCGATATAGGGCGGCCGATGGGTAGGTTAATCGAGCCAAAAAATCTCTTTTCACGCACACGCACACACACACACACGCATACGCACATGTTACACAAGCGCAAGAAACCCAAACGGCACGCGCGCACGCACTTTTCTCGGAGCGTTTTCCGTGCGCGCGCTTGTATACCGTACACACGGACGCGTATTTCGCGCGAACCGTTCGGGCCGCGCGCCGCCGGTCGTCGTCTATCAGTTCGTCCCGGCCCGTCATCCCTGTCGCGCGCCGCCTCGCCGTTTTCCGACGACCGACGCCGCCGCCGTCACGGCAGTTCCCCGCGATAATAACATGGCGAAACCGAGCGCCCTGAGCCCGCGCCGGGCCCACTGCACGCTCAACTGTTACACTTGCAACAACATACTGCAACAGCGGTACCGGCACAGTGAGTATGATATAGGTAATAAAACGCACGTATAATACGATTTATAATAGCAATATTATTAGAAGTTGTAAAAAGACAAAAAACACCCCCGAAAACTACCTACCGCCGGTACTGAACCGGACCGGCCAGTTCGCGGCCGCGGGAGAAGTCTGGAGACATTTTTATTCGGTTCTAGTGGGGACGACTTTCGCCTAATATCGTATATTCTACCATTCCTC